GCCTGTAGGGAAGAAGTGCATTTACCTCGGCCTATATTGTATCTAGGCTAGGCTTTCCTTCTTCGTATGTCTCGATTATGTGCGAGTTATGAATGGAACATCGATCTACGTATGTACTCAACTTTACATTTAGATGCCGATTACAGGTAGAAAACCATATGATAATATCAAAATCTGAGGTATCTCATTTCTACAATTTTTTTTCGTGATATCTTCTCTAAACCCGTTTCCCATGCCAGGCCAGCGCTAATCCGACCAGCAGAAAAGAAACCCCGTAGAAAAAAACAAAAAAAAAAAGTGACGTCTCATGAAAATGGAGAAGGAACATGACAGTCATAGAGCGCAAAAAAGCAAATGCAGAAAAAACTTGAGATTTGCCACAGTCTCATTCCCGAAGGGATAAAGGCCACGGACTCAACCCCGCTTATTTCTTCTTGGGGAACTTTTCAGAACCGATGTCTGAACCACGCAGCTTAATGTTCAGCACGCGCTCCATGGATCCGAGAACCTTCTGGTCGGGGGCGGCGGTTCCACGCTCGAAGTCCTGGACAATGGTGATAGTGGTGTTGCACTTGGTGGCGAGTTCCTTCTGGGTCATCTTGTAGCCCTCCTCAGTGCGGCGTCTCTTGATGGCATCAGCGACGGCGAGGCCGATGGTCTTGGGCTTGACGATATCGTCGCTGCGGTCGACCTTGGTCAAGTGTTGGCCTTCGGGGGCACCTGCCTTGGCGCCCTGGTGAATGTGTTAGTAGAGATTCAAGGGATTTTTCTGGGTTTCAACGGAGATGTCACGTACAATGTTACCAGTGGTATACTTCTTCTCGGTGACGAGGCCACCGGCGCGCTGAGCAGCGTTCAGGGCACTCTTGCCCTTGACAACGGTCTCGCGGGGTTGAGCGCCTGCTCCGCGGAACTTGCTGCCGATCTTGGTGGTGCTTTCCCAGTCAGACATTTTTGAAATGGGGTTGGATTTGGTGGTGTGGGTGGTTGAGGTTGGTAAGAATGATAGCTGAGCGTGGAAGGAGATGACGTTGGTCGTGTGAGGGTCAAGAGAGAAATGCAATTTATATCGATGACACAGAAGCTTCTCGAGGGGGAGGAGCCCGAGCTAGTCCGTCTTGGGCCTAGCGTATATCTGGGTCAAAGGCGTCTTGTCCTTGTTCACATTGTGTGGCTCGGCTCTCATTTACAAATAGAATATGAGGACCCGTGGGATTGACGCCGAAAATGACCGCTTTTGAGGCCAAAAACGGCTGCCTTTCCACCCTTTGATCGCCTACTGCCCTGTAACACCTCTAGGGCTCTATTCTGCACCCGCCCAAGCACTTTTAGTCATCCTCCTGTCCTGCATGTGATGTTGACGCTCGACTTGCACACTTGTTCCCCTCGTTTCCACTGGTGACCAAAACAACGCCAAAAATGGCTCCCTTTCAGCTGAATTCAAGTCCCCTCCCTTTTCGCCCGGTTTACTCGTGAGACCATATTGCGGGGTTGAGCTAAGCCCCTACTTGGTAATTTCCCCCGTGTGATTGCGGAAATTCTGGCCGTTTTGGTACCGGCTATTGATTCAATCGCCATTTCAGTCGCCGAAACCAAACAGCTGGATCTATCAGCTGGATCAACCGGGGGGCTTGTTGTGATAATGACTATATTGTTTAGTAAGAATTGAGGATGACGTTAATACAGGCTACAAAAAGGCTACAAGTGAAAACGACATTTCTAGATGTAACCTTTGACAGTGAGTGAAAACATCCATTCATAGAGAAATAAGAATGCAATGATCATAGTCGCTGCTGAACAAAAGCTAAAGCGAAAGTAAAAATAAAGAAAAGCAAAAGGTAAATTTGGCTCATCCGTGGCTTGTCCTCTAGGGCTGCAGCATAGCAATGATTTAGAGACTCTTCATGGCAAGAATTGCGTCACGGACATCAGCTCCAAGGACAGTTCCAGCGTCGGCGTCACGAGTGGAGGTATCACCGGAGTCAAACGTCTTGTCTTGAATAAGGGATTTAGGGAGTTCCGATCCTGAAACACAACGGGCTAATGTAACCAGTGTTGACCGATTAAGGTACTCGCCGGCGGAGGGCCAAAAACGCGTGGCTTCAACCTTTTTCGCAACGGCGTCACTGGCTCCTCGGCTCTTTGCATTCAGGTACGCAATAATGAAACAGAAGTACAAATACCGTCGGCGAGGACGGTTGTCGGAAACGAACGTCAATGGCTTGTTGTCAATCTCCTATTATATCATTAATATAATACTCAACTCTAGCTTTTGCAATACTGACCTTCAGTTTCATATAGGATCCACCCAAGGTACCGATGATGTTCTCCTTCTTTGATTCGTCCAAGACAACACACCTCCATTGAGTTGGACTTTTCATTGGGCCGGGCATAGGTACAATCGCGATGGTACCTTGGTCGAAAAGTAGCTCAATATTGTCTGCCAGTGTGATGCCTAATTTGTATGAGTCAGTCATTTCCTTGGCCACAAAGAGAACATTCTTACCATTGCGGGGGTCACCAAGAACTCCATCGCTGACTCCGAATAGGTGGGAAACTTCCTTAGATGTCATAGATTTGGGTACAAGATGGGCAGCTTTGATATTCTTTTGGGGAAGTACAGTGCCCAATACATGACACCACCCAAAGCCAGGGTGACAATGCTCATTGACACCGTAGTACGCATAAACTTCCTTCTTGAAGGCAGATTGATCAAACTTGGGACCCTTCTGTTTTGCACTTGCACCCAGCACACGGGAGATTATAGCGTCGCGGTAAGCATGCTCGAGCAGGCTTTGGTCAACCGGTCCTTCAATCCTCTGACGTTTCGCTGAAACTTCTTCATCAATGTCTTCGATGATCAATGGGCGTTGTGCCTTCAGGACTTGAATGGTTGATGACGACGAACGGAAGGACTTCAAGAAGGGTTGGATTTCTCGCTGAAAGGCGTCGTGGGAGACCTTTTCAGTCTGTCTTGCTTCGTTGAGGCCGTCTCGGACACATCGCATGTACTCAAGTTCACTTTCCATTGCCGCGAGTTTCACGTCAAGAATATCGGATGTTGTCGACTCAACTGACATCTCAGAAAGGCGGGATGCTGCACTTACAGACCTTTGCTTGTGAGTCTGTAGCGCTGACTGACGAGAAGGCGCCATGAGAGACGATATTCTTTCGGGGATCATGGGGGGCTCAGCAGGCTTGTTCAGGGTTGACATGTTGGCGGTATGATGCAGACAAGAAAACGAAGGGCTGATCAAACTGGACGAAAGAAGAGGTGACAGGCTGTTGAGGTGTTGGGAGAAAAGTAATACCAGTGGTTAAGCTGGATGAAAAAAAGGCGATAAGCTGATGAAAGGTAAGACAGACTTGATGCCAGTGATGAAAAGGGATGAAGGAAACGTGAAGAAAGGTGACAGACTGATAGAGGGTGCCAAGCTGGAGTAAAAGAAAAGCAACTAAGCCCAATTCGGATTTGACATGGCAGAGCCGCCAAATGCCGGGTTCCTGGGCGGGACTCTCCCATGGGACTGTAAAAAGTGCAAACATAGCCAAAAACCTGACTTTTAAATTACGCTATGTTTGATACCTGTATTTAGGCTTTACATAAAGGTAACTTCTGGTTCTTATAGTTAATCTATACTAAAGGGTACGTAATATTTAGAAATTACGCGTTAAATCAGAGAGATCTATTTATTTTGAATATTTTATAAATTACGAGTTTTTGGTGAGGACCTCGTGAAGTGGTAGTGCTGACATACCTAGGTACGTGACGACGTATTGGGGCGCTAAACCCTAAAAAGCAAAACTAACCGGATACAGTAATTCACAGGTCCGCTGTTTACATTTCAAATCATTTGCTATTCTATTTAGTTCTGTATGACTCGTTGCAGTTTGTTGCAGAGTTTTGCCTCTTTTCTAGGGGACTTCAATGGGGTCTTGGGGGTTCGCTATACCCATCGGCAATTCCCCCACCGTATTCATTGCCACAGCCACTGCAATTATACACCCTATCTCATACATATATTCAAGACTCCCATTGTGACAGTTGAGAGATTCAACACAAGTGTAAATAGCTCTTCAGCAATACTATATCCCTTTTCATTTGCATATAAAACATACAGTTATAGTCCGCTTCACACCATCGGCAAGACAACGATGTTACTCGACCCACAACTTGATGTCATAAGGCCTTGCGCGCACTTTTCCAGCCCTAATCACTGATATCATAGGGGGAGGGCAACAAAATATGCCTTCAAGAACCAATCGCCGTTCTCAAACGGCCTGCCAGGTGCAATGCTGTACCAAAGTAAGCACAAGAGTCACAATGAGTCTTCAATCACGGGTCCCCACGATGAGGCTGAGTGCCTGATCGGGCACCAGGATAGGCTTAGCCTCTCTGCTCATCGTACATCATTGCTAGCCCTAGAGACAAGTTGGGCCTATAGACTCTTGGGCTGGTCGGCGACTCAATATAAAAGCGAAGTATAAGGAATGTTAGTTTTTGTTCCTTGTCAATTCCATACTTCCCTTTTTATATCAGCCTTTCCACCTTTGGATGGCATGATCGGGTAATATATATATAGCAATATGAAGATATGTACATTGAGCAGTTCAGTATGAATTCCATAGTCCATATAAGAAAGAAAAGACAACAAGTACAGGGCAAAAATATTCTCAAATCATCTTTCGGAGACAAAGACCTATCTTTCATGAACAACTCGATCATGGAAATGTCCGGGCTTATGGTTATTGCCATTCGGTTTGCAGCTTGAACTACCATTCTACCGGGCCTACGCTCAATGATCGTTTCCCACCAATCAATCGCGACTTGAACGATCTTATAGGCGAAAGATGACCGTGGTTTGATTGACTTAATAGAAGGCAGTTGGAAAAGTTATTTCCAACCCCAACTCATGCTTTCTGTCCTTTTTTCTTTTCGCTGTATGTCAGAATCATGGAGTAAACTTGTATCAAAATCTCTACCTATTCTCTTTTATTTCGCTTCCATCGGGTGATCTAATGACGTACATAGGTAACCCCTTTGTAGCTGCATTATTCAAGCTTTAGTAAATTTTGATGTGATCCAGAATATGAGGAAATTCATTGGCTGAGATAAGTATGTGTGTAACCCTAAGCCGGGATCGTATCGCAATGAAGAGCTAATTAGCATTTGAACACTGGGGGCCCTGAAATCCTTGGTTATAAGCCTGCCAATAAGCGATGCTGATTGAGCCCAGTCAATCCATTCAAAGCAAAAGAATTCAAGCCACCAACGCCGTAGAATGAAAGTGAATACGAAGCAAAATGCCTAGCAAAATAGCGTGGCCGTATGATTAGAAGATGCTGTTCACGATGTTGGAGCCAACAGTAGCACCGGCACCGAATATTGCTAATATCGAGTTAGAAACCAAATAACGAGTAGCAAAAGTATATAGGACATACCGGCATTGCCCAGTTTCTTTCCGAACTTCTTTCCTCCTTCCTCGATCTTGTTCTTCTTTGGGTCCTCGGGGTTTTCAGGCTGTCCACTCTGGCTAACTGCAAGAGGCATATTTCCATAGTTTGTAGGCGGGGGCGAAGAAAGACCAGCCTTCTCATTCACAATGTTCACGTAGCTTCGAGGGAAGATACCCTCCTGGCCAGTCCGCTCATTGCGACCACGCCACCCTGTTGATCATTAGCTTTTTTATCCATATCACATCAAAGAGGAATATCATACAGTCGTCATTCATGTGCTCGGTAATCTGAATGCGATCTTGCGGCTGCAAGGCCAAGTCACCGGCATCGGTAGGTGTGTATGCGTACATGGCCGAGGCGAGACCAAGGACTGGCGGGACTTGGGGATAAGCTGGCGGGGCCTGCGGGGGTTGGCTTGCGTATTGATTGTGCAAGTGGGCTTTCTCATTCACCGACGCATTGGCCATCTGTGAGACAGGAGGCGAGTATGAGGGCGTGTAGGGGGCCGGAGGGGCTGCGCTTGCACTGGGACATGTTGAACAGGCGCAGGCTGTGCGTGCTGTCGGGGCGGCGAAGGTGATGCGTGCACCGCCCGAGAGGCCTCGGAATCGGCGGGTAGCTGTGATAGAATAGAGGAGAGCTGGCGGGGAGTGATCACAGAGGCATCGGCAAGAAATTCCAGTTCCTGGATGATGTTGAATTAGTACCTGGATCGCATTTCAGGAACAGGAAGCCGGGAAGCCATACGGTCCGGACCATGCGGAGCGACCGGGTGGTCATGGCAGACGCGAACTCGCTGGAGGCCGCCATTATGAAAGCACACGGGTGGTAGAGATTGAAGGAAACTATTGCGGAATGACAAGAGAAGTAAAAAAAAAAAAACCGGAGTAGAGAGAGTCGGGAGACACAGGGGTTTGCTAAGGTCGGGTGTTATTAAGTAGCCTAAATCACCTGGACATCTGGGCACCTGGGCAAGATCTTAGAATCTCCGCCCCGACATTGACTTAACATTTACATCAACTGTAAACAATCATAAATTCCCTATCTGATTCAAGATTCTGAATGTATTGATTGCCTCTTACACCCAGTCTCAGCCTTTCTTTTCTGGATTTGATAAATTGATCTAAAAATATATTATAAACGGGTCAAAAGGAGAATCGACCTGGACCATCAACACGAAATTCAATATACCACACTTCCTTGTGTTCAATCAGAACTCGACCTTAGCACGGTCAATTCCTTGAAACCGCCATCCTTCTATAACAGTAGGAGTCTCCATTTGCCTACAAAGATGTCAACATCATCGCCCTGCCAAGGTTGACCATCATTTTCTTTTCAACCGCGAGTCATTGATTTCACACATGTTCCACACCCCCAGCCCTAGTGCAGGAGAGAGCGCATAATCCTGATCCTAGATTAGTCTGTCTCTTCGTTTTCGCCCAGCTTCGATCAACCCTGCATCCCAGAGCCCCAAATTAACAAGCGAAATGCCAAAAAAACAACTCGACGATAGCCCAACAAACCAGCCGTTCCACGCCACTAACATCCTTCTTTCCCCCCCTCGGATAACAGTCATTTTATATATATTAACTGCCTCTAAGCCACCCATGCATCAAGGATAAGTTACGCGCCGGTCAAAGGATAGCCCCCATCTAGACCCGCAGTCCGTGTTATAGCGCGATGCGGGCCGCAACTAGTGCAGTGACAACGGAGACTTTCGCCAGCGCAGCGCTTATACGCCAGCACTAGGTAGCCTAGTGCGTTTCATACCCCGACAAGATTAAAGCCATGATCATAGTGTTCTTGATATCATTAGTTGGCGTTCTATTATTGCCACAGGGAGGCGCTTCGCGAGCATGGGGGCTCTGTACTTGGTTCTGAATCGAGTGGAGATCGGCAAAAGATGCCATCGATGGCGCATGGATGATCGAGGGGTGTTCTCTTAATAGAGCGCGGTTTGGGCGGTTGTTGGAGGATGTTCTGTTAGTTCTGTTGTATGGCCTATGTTTTATTATGAATTGACGTGTTAGTGATTTATGATGCTGTGATGCTTTCTATACTGTTTTTTATATCTTTGTTTCCTCTTGTAAAGGCTGATAATTGGGATGATTTCACGAATAATCTTGCTACGGACTTGGTATGTTTATATTTATAGTGTCTGAATGATGCTACCAGTGGTCATGCTGATATGTTGATCAAAGGCTCCTTTAATCACCTTGTTCGGCGAACGACTCACGAAACAATTTCTCTCCGAGTCCGTCAGCATTCTCGATAATGTTATCTTCGCCCTTTCGCCGCTGGGGGTCTTGACTGCCGTTGTATCGGTGATCAGAATCTGCGGAAGTTCTTCCCTCAGGGCATTCGTCGGACGAGCACAAGAAGGTCCCGCCGAAGCCGAAAGCGAACTGCTTCCTTGCGTCTCGGAATCCACTGCGGAGCTCTTTAACGATGGCGGTATTACACGAGTCTTTGGCCGGCCTAAGATCGTGGAGATAGTTGCTTGGGAGGATGTGGACCATAAGACAGGAGAAAAGGAGACGAAGATTGGCACTTTGAAAGATGCCCTTGAAGAAAAGGCTTGGTCTTGCAATGGCAAAGTTTCTCCCACTGAACTGCCTGAACTGGACATTCCTAATCTGTCATTGAACAAGGGAATCAAGAGGAGAGATCAATTTTGGTTTCATTGTGCTGCAATACTTGGTGTTGTATTGCAGAGTGGTCAGTACTTTTCCTTCTTTGAGCTCGAAATGATACTCACGATCCCACCAAGGCACTATTATGTACGCTACACTTACGGTGTTTGTGTATCCCCAGCATTTCCAGAAAGACGACAAAGCTGTCGCCCCATATGCATTCCCACTCTATCTCATTGGGACAACCCTTCTGTTTCTTGGAATGTTCTTCTGCGCGTTCATCATGGAGCGTTCCTCAAAGGAGTTCTATCTCAAAGCAGAAAAGCCAAGCAAGATATACTGGTTGCAGCCTGGTAATCAGAATGTGGGTGACCAGGTCTTCAATGCTTTCTTGGCTGTCAATGAAGGCCCCAAGTCTTCAATGACTAAGAAACTTCGTTATATCAAATCGGTCAGAGATCGAAGATTTGACAGGAAATATTTGGAAATTTACTCTACCCTCGCATCGACAATTATGGGATTCATCTTTCAGTTCATCGGACTGAGGGGCCTTCATGCATCTGTCATCCTAGCCCAGCTGGGATCAACATTCTTAATGTCTATTATACGTACCTGCCTGCGTACAGAAAGAATGGCGCCGGACGAAAATAAGATGAAAGACGACCGGGAACTCACGTCTCACAAGCAGCAAGAGATGGATTGTTTTGCATTTTACCTCGAGAAAGTAGAGGCTTTTGAACTCGCCTCGATTCCTGATCGGCCAGCAAATATGCCTTCACCGAGATTCACGCCACATCTTGGAACTCCTTTGGCCAAACAGTTAATTCGAACTAGGACCCAGCTTGCGAAGCTTACGACTAGTTCAAGACATAGTCTGGACGTTGACTGGAACGGAATGCCTATTCGCCAAATGGCGTATAACCTCACACAAACGATCGAGTCGACCATGGATTTAATGTCTAGTTGGGGAGTTGACCTCGGAAAGACCTTCGAGTTCCGACTTGGAGTTAAGTGCAAGGAAGCCTCCCCAGGCTCTGTCACTCAAGCCCCTGGAACATATTCAATTGGTCTCATGCGATGCGGCGATGCTCTGCGGTGGAAACTGGATTCCAGCGAGCTAGAAGCGATTCTCGGCTTGTGGACTTGGTCACTGTACAAGTCAGATGAAAACTGGCGGAACTCAACGCTTTGCCGCCTCATTGGATTGAGTGAAGACGAGGCAAGTAGAGAAGAGACATTCCTCTACTTTCACAAATGGATCTTCAGGCAAACGGAAGCGAGACTAGTACCATCTGCAGGATATGATAATTCATCACGCCTATTCAGTTTCGAGCCCAAGGACGTTTCCTACGATGGGAAAGTCTTGGCTGTCAGGACAGATAATGATCTCGAGGCCATGGTAGCCCAGGATATCTACATTCAATTCCTCAAGGAAGTGTTCATCAACTTGCGTGACCTCGGTGGGGATGTTGATGTTATTCCTGAATTGCAGGATTCATTTTTAGCATCCAGTACCCGCATTGATGATCTCATACGTTGCTTTGAGAACAACAAATTGGGTTCAAGAGAGGATGCATTGCTATGCATTGTTCCCGTCCTCAGGTATCGGCGTCTCTTACCAGATCTCGCGGCAGACTCAGCCAAGGTCAGAGCGCGCAGGGAGCGGCTTATTGCGAAAGGTGATTGGAAAAATGCTTTTACGCTTCTTCGTTGGATCTGCCAGCGGTCAGAGGGTTCCGAGTTTGAGCGATCAGTCTATGAACTAGGGTTCCTTTGCCGCCGGGCGTTTTTGAACACAAACAAACATGTCCGTAAAGAAGGACTCGAACAGACATGTGCGCTTCTCACATCCGACCTCAGAGATGAATTCCTTCAAGCCCACAAAAATGTCCCGCCCTTACACCGGTCAGTATCCCAGGATCGTATCGAATGGTGGAACTCGTTCTCGCGCCAGCTTGGGTGGATTGCGTGGAACATTTCCACCAATGTTCCAGGCATGACATCCTGCCAATCCATTTTGAGATCGCTCAACGTGCCTGAGGATCTGCAAGGATCACACGATCAGAACCAAGACCCAGACGCAATCCAAAAGGGGGTTCACGCTCTGAGAGATTGGCTCACGTTGCATAATCTCGATAACATTGAGCGCGAAGGATACGGCGAGGACGAAACAATAGGCTTTGAATGGATAATCCGGAACAACTTCCATGCTTTGTTACATTTCCTTTTGTTGCGATGGGTGGAGCTTTATGAAGACCTTCCCATCCTTGTTCGGATGGGCTACAGTCTTGCAGCAAGGGCTAGGTCTGAACGAGCCCTTGACATACTTCGCCGACAGGGCGCGGATATTGAGACAATAGATCCAGACAATCGTTCAGCTTTAACTGATCTGGCTTTTACCCATGATCTCGAGGGAAGTCGACTGCTACTGCAAAATGGAGCTGACCCAAACGGTAACATGCAACAGTTGAAGATCAGTTCACTTGGAATTGCTGCTCATGAAGGCTATGATGACATTGCCGCATTGCTTCTACAGTATGGAGCAAACATTGAGATTCCAGACCAGATGGGTCACAGTCCCCTACATTGGGCAGCCAAGAATAATCATCCTGATACTGTCCGGCTGTTATTATCCCATGGCGCGGAAATTGACCCAATCGGGTATGACCAATCAACACCGCTCCTATCAGCCGCCATGAATGACCAGGTTCAGATGGCTGAATTGCTCATTAAAGAAGGAGCGAATGTCAATGCTCGAGGTCAATACGGCAAAACTGCAATCATGCTGTCCATCCATGCAAGGAATCCGATCCCGATGTTCCAGTTGCTCATGGATAACGGAGCTAGGTTTGATTTGCGTGATAATAGTGGATCAATGGCTTTGGATCATGCTAGACAATTTGGTTATACTGAGGCAATATCCTTTTTATGCCAGGTATCAGAAGAAGGGGGTGCCGAAGAGCCATGAGATACAACATTGTCCCACTCAACCACCTGAGACTCATAAAATGCGGGAACTTGTATGCAACAGCAAAAATTCAGCCTCGTTTTCACATAAACCTTGTCCATGTTGTTCCTTTAAAGGTTTCCAAGTCGAACGTTTGGCAATTGCGAACGCCTTCACACTCTGTACTCGGCATCGAGTCTGCTGATGCAAAGTGTCGATCAGCCCCTCATATTTGCCCAGCCCTGGGCAAGGTTTCTTTCGCTCTTGGTACCTCACTTTCTGGCATATTACATATGGTATTCCGACGAATGAGCTATCCCCGACAAAATGCTGCATAGGACAGGCCTATCAACTTCCGCACATGCAACCTCTTTTTAGCGCCCGGTGGGGAAGATCAGTAGCACATATTCACAGTAATCATGTGTGACTCGAGACTGATTGACTGTGAGCTGCAAGCCTCATCACACGCCTAATCTTTAGGACAGAATTCCTCTCTAAGAATAGTTTGAGCTCTTGGTGAGGGGAAGCTAGTTCCCCTTTAAAAGAAAAGACCCCGCGGAGCCTGGTTTGATTATATTTCACGCATTATTACCCGTACAACAAGCTAGGCCATTGGGATAACTTTTGATTCCCCCATTGACCCAAAATAATACGGGAAAAGCTGCAAGTTTTTGCTTGACGATATTCTACCCCACAGTGAGTCTGATCTCTTCCCCAGTATCTTCAATCTGCCCGTGAACACTCGGATCCTGACTCAAAAGTACTTTTATAAGAAAATAAACACACCTTGATGATCAGATACCAAATTGTACACCAAAACCGCCGAAATCACCAAAATGTCTCAAGATCCATTCTACTACCCTCCACCACCCATGACCGGTATGTGCCTTTACAAACCCCAGAAATCCGTATACTAACCAACTGTCTAGCTCCGGCCCATATAACCTGTAATTAATTCCAATTATTGTGTCTTTGCTGTCCTAGTACTGAATATTTTAGCATTTCCACAATCTCAGATCTCACCGGCTGTGGCTCCCACCCACCAATATCCACCTCCTCCAAGGCAGCCTCCAAATGGAGCATATAGTTCGGCCACTCCACCGGCAGAGAGCCCCCAGCCCCATCGACACACCCCTTCGAGTGGGGGATATGCAGCTCCCCCGAAGTCAGTGAGCCCGCCTCAGGATCCAATTGCTCAGCATAATATAGCTGCTTTCGAGCAAAATCGTGTTATTGGAATGGAAAAAGTGCCCGGGGGCGCACCGGCATATGGAGAATTCACTGGAGCAAGGGGACACGACCAGGATGATACTGGGGTCTTCAACGGTGGGAGTTATAGGATCAGCCACCGAGATACCAACTCGGTTTTGACGGTGCAACTGGCAATGGGTTGTCCTTTGACTATCAGACCTGGTAAGTCATCCACTCCAACAATCCTTGTACACGGATATGTTTTGATTGCTAGCTGAGTTCAAAAAATGTGTATTTCCGTGGAGCTAACTTGATTCGTAGGTGCAATGATTGGAATGTCTCCAACGATGACATTGAGAGGAAGCGTCTCATTTTCGTTGAAGAAATTCGTCATTGGAGGCAGCATGACTATGTCCCACTACACCGGTCCCGGCGAGCTCCTGCTGGCACCTTCAATATTGGGAGATATCATGACCATCCACATGGACGAACCAGAGGAATGGAAAATCGGACGTGACGCCTTCCTTGGACATACTGCTGGCATCGAGCATAAGTACCAGGCCCAAAGTTTATCGAAGGGTGTTTTCTCCGGTGAGGGATTTTTCATCTACCACATAACAGGAAGTGGCATACTTTGGATCCAGAGCTTTGGTGCAATCATTCGGAAAGATGTAAGTCTATCATGCCCGTTATTTGAAAAAGAGGGCTTCATCTAACACACCTTCCCTGCAAAGCTTCGCGAAGATGAGACATACTTCGTCGACAATGGGCACCTCGTGGCTTGGAACTGCAAGTACAAGATGGAGCGTGTGGCCTCTGGCGGTATAATCTCCGGCATTAGCTCGGGCGAGGGTCTTGCCTGCAAATTTAAGGGCCCTGGTACTGTCTATCTACAGACCAGAAACTTGAATGCCTTTGCTGCTCAGATGAAGATGAGCACCGCAAGTGGTTAATTCTAGCGCGCTCATTCGACCAGAACAAAGCGTTCTGCGAAATCTATTCGTCGACTATACTTTCGTAAGAAACGAAGTTATCTCCCCAACTTGTCATCATGTGTTTTTGTTTTATACTCATTCGATGCATCAGGCACCAGCCCAATCGCGAGCAGGTCTCCGTTTTATACCAATTTTCTATGTTCAGAGGCGGATGCTCTAGTATTTCAGTACAATCATGTGGAACTATTGTGTATTTTCGCAGCGTTACCGTCAATTCTGAAATAAGTCTGGCATACTACATACTTACAACCCTGCGTTGCTGTTACTTTATGAGAAGTTCGATAAAGAAGTATTCGATATCCCTTTGTGACCCTTCTGGGTAGCCGTAGAGTTGACTGATGATAGGCCCAGAACCGATATGTGAAACGATTTTATCTGAGATTGAGAAACCGGCATGTACCTACGATGGAAGATTTTCACGTCTGTTCAACTAGGTTGGAGACCAGGGCTTACACCCCTCTGAGCCGGAGACTTCTACAAATAGTCAGGTGCTTGCTAATTAGTAGCTACTGAAGAGCAGATTAGACACGTAGGCAGAATAAACTTCAAGAGTGGCGGGTGATTCTACCACAATCCCAAACGTTCACCTAGACGCAAGATCATACAGCCTTGAAGGTAAGATATAGTGATATCAGTCCATTTCATGCGAAACTACTTTTTATTCTTCAAATCGTTTCCTCATCTCAAGCCCCGGGTAGAAAGCAAAGCAACAGTGCCTCGTTTCCACCCGGCAAAAGCTCTAGTAAGTGACACGCCATAAGGAAGCGATAAAAACAAGCCCTTCCTTCGCAAATTGCCAGCACAGCTCCATCCGCTTAGCCCACACGCTTTCTGCGGCCGATCTGGGAACGGAAACCGGTCTTGATGGCGGCGACGGAACGACGGGATCCGCAGGAGTTGCAAGTAACGAAATACAGACGGTTCTCTCCCTTGTTGAGCTCGGTGTCGGGGCTGCGGCACGTCTTGCATGTGACGTACTCAACAATATAGCGACGCAGAACCGATTCGATACCCTTTTGTTGGAATCTTCCCTTGATGACCAGGCGACGGCTACCGTCGACACTGCCTGACGTACCGAGTTCGGCGAACAGGAATTGGGTGCAGTGTTCCTCGCTAATGAAAAAAAAGACAGTTAGAAAGGAGACCTTAACGAATAACTGGGAAAGGAGCATAACGAACCTTCGCTTCATGCGCTTGCAAATATCGGCGATGTTGGCGAAAATGGTACGACGGTTACCCTCACGCAGGCACTGGGGCGGGGGGATCTTGTAAGACTTGGCGCCGCTGGACAGAAGGTCGGGGTGGTGGCTCTCGATGAGGGAGAAGAAGCGGGAGACGAGGAGCGAGTAGGGGATGGCTTGTGTGGCGTCGTGTGCCCAGATACCGGTGCCGGCCTCGAGGTCGCCCTCAGGCAGCTCCTCGGGCTGATCCTCGCCAGCCTCCTCAGCAATACCAGCCTCAGCGAGCTTGGCATCAAAGTCGTTGGGGTCGACCTTCTTAGACTTGCCCTTGCCCTTCTTTTTCTTCAGCGCGGAGGGATCGAATTCGCCATCGGCGGCGGCGGGGGCTTCTTCGTCATCGCCGGCTTCGGTGGTCTTAGACTTCTTGGAGGGCTTCTTCTTTTTTGAGAGACCCTTGAACATCTCGGTGACCTCGTCGACTTCCTTCTCTGTATATTCAAGACATCGTTAGTGGGGCTGAGGCAAAGGCGACCGGGGGACTAAGGTTGGGATCGGAGAGCTATTGCATACCGCCTGTGGAATTCTCAGCCGGAGGGGCGTCTGTGACTTGGCCATTGGTATCCATGATGACGGATCCTTCGCTGAATGCGACCGACTTGCGCTGTTTAGTTTCGATTTCCTGAGCGGAGCGGCAAAAAGCGGTGTTAGTTCTGAGAAAAAAGAGAAATAGTAGAAGAAATCGTATAGCCTGGCTTTTCAATAAAAAGTACCAGTCCTTAACCCTAGGCTCAACAATGTGTGTTCTTGGATCACTTTGGTTGGCGGCCGAGGGGTCGATATTGTGCAGACTCAAAGAAAATGTGGGAGGGTCGGTAAAAAGACAAGGGTGTGACGTACAGCGTCTGCCATGTTTTGAGGCTTCAGAGATGCTATTCGCTCCACCACAATTTGTTGGAGAGAAGCTGAGGTTGTTGTGAATTCGACGAGCTATAGCAAGAGGGTAAAAGGGCAAAATTGTCGCTGGAATCTGATATCGCCAGACCTGAAGGCGATTCTGTTATCGCGGTACGGGCACGTGACCCTTCAACTGAGTCACCAGATTACACAGTCACGTGTTTGATTACGGAGCTTGGCAGTGCCGGTCGATCAACCTTGGAAAGCAAACAGTCCAGAGGTTGCTCTCACATTTACGTATAACCGCAGTAGGCAGGCCGCTGCTTGATCAACATTCCCCTCATTTACTCACCCCCACCTCTCTTTACAACAATTTCCATCATGTCTTTCCCTTCTCCAGAAAGCTCGAATCCCTCGTTCTCGATGTCCGCATACATGGTTCCCTCCCAACAGAACTCATACTCCGAGTCCGACGATGAGATCGCCTCCCTCCCTTCAGAATCTACAAACGACTCCGACCTCGATACCTTGTCCGAATATTCCTCCGATGCTGAGGCAGAATGGCAGGAGAGCATTGAACAACTGGAGCTACTTCTGAGTATGGTCCTGGTACCCTTCATTGGGAAATACCTAGGGCGACGATGCGCATATTGGAGTATGTGACAGCAACAAGCTTCACGATCTTGCTATTTGGAAGGATAACTCGCTAATTGGCTGGCTTTTTAGGTTGGACGCGATTCATGCAGTGGAAATACCCCGTTGAGATTGTGATGCGGAACCCGGCCGCATTCAAGGCAGCGGGTGCGATCGAGGCGGCTGCGACTCTATGATAGATTATAGTCCCAATCGCCTTGTAAGCACTTGCTGTATGTCATTTTTATCGCCATCGATCCCCACTTCTCAGCGTTCGAATCCCTATACAAGACCGACCCGACTTATTTTTCGTGGACTCCGCAACATATCCACGACCAAAAATGCTACAAGATTGCCCCATCGAATTCAAACTCCGTATAATTCTTGCGCTGGCTGTATCTGGCTTTGCACGGGGACCCGGAACCGAACCCAGTCTTGTTTTCCCTGGCCTTCGATCCCCCGTGGTTCACAATTGTTCTTCGTCCAACGGCGGCATATATGGATAGGTCAACTCCATAGCTTGAATAGAGCCAAGCATTTGGATTTGAGCCATCTGATGATGTGTTTAATTTCCCTGTCCAAGACTGTTATATACCCAATGAATTCATCAGCCCTCATCAAGATCGATAAATTAGCGCAACAGTGTGCCGTCTAAACTTTACTGATTTACAGGTTTTCTTTGGTGGCTGAAATGTTGAGAGGCTTGATTTAGATAAAATGTGCGGGTTAATCTCGGGCTGAATTAGCCCAGTCATTATTACAGGCTCTGGCCTAATCATACGAGTTCGAAGGGGAGGTTGCCCTCATGCACACTATCTTGAATTTCAATGTGCTCACAATCTCTATTGACAGTTGAGTTTAACCTAGCTGGGTATGTACATGAAGCTGGCGATACTTTGTTTTGATATGGTTGATGATTGATGCAAATGTGATCAAGCTTGCTATTGACACTTTCAACTGTCCAATTTAATAATCATGTTGACGATGAAGATCAATAGAGTTTGTTCTGTCGCCAGAAGTCAGATAATCCCGGAGGCTGGCTCTGTTGCGCATCGGTTCCAGTTGACGCGCGGAGTTGTGACTGGCCGTATCCAGTAGTCAGCCATGGAAAATCATCGTTCTGGTCAAGGCATGGATCATTCGAATGACTCGTGGGTAAGTTTTGATGAGAAGAAGGCTCAGGTGGCCTTTCATCACACCAGTCTTGTATGACATCTTGGGATACCGTTGCCAAAAGCTCTGGCTCTCCCGCCTCTACCTGTCGGGTAGGATCGGGATCTCGAATACCAGTCGACTCTGGAGTATTCGGAAGTTCAGTGCCATTTAATTCGGGAGATTCAAGTAACTGCTGTAGGTTTGTTGCAACTTCTGCCGCAACTTCAGGGCGCACGATGGCGCAGTAAGCAGCATCCAGCGTGCGATAGAACACATCATCATCATCATCTTCGACTCGACCCAGCTCATAAAACTCGATGTCAGACATATGCGGTTGTTTGACCTCGGGTACGGATGTAGGAAAAAGGACTTCATCTTCTGCCGGTTCCTGGGGGAAAGGCTCACACTGATCTTCATTCAAGGCGTTCATGAAACGATCTTGGCTGTTTGATGTCCTGGCAGCCTGGATATTTAGACAGCCCGGTTTATCTGAAGCTTGACGTGGCCCGTCTTGTTGTTGCTCGACGACCGAAGCTTGTTGGGGTAGATCGTTGTTCACACTGCAAGCCGTTTCACAGGCGACGTTCGAATCCGGGAATTGTTTGGACATTTCGTCTTGCACAGTACGAACATTGACAATATCCAAATGGTCTGGTGCAGTTATCTCGGGAACATCCTGTGGAGCGGCTTCGGCTGCAGCTAGCTGCCCCATGTTGGCTTCGGGTGAAGCTCGCTTTTTGTTGCCGGCTTCATTTGACCATGATGCCTTTCTCTCCTCCAACAGTACCCATAATTCAGCGAGACTCCAATACCGTCTTGCCAAGACAGAATTTGTGATCTCAGAGCAAAGCGCTTGGGGATATAATCCGACATGCAGGAGGTTCAGCAGGTGTTGTTCCAGAGAATCGCTTTGTTCCGTGTTGTCGACCTCAGCTTCAATCCAAGTGTATGGAATAGATGATGAATGCTTCGATATCTTTCTTCTTTTATTGTGGGGAATGGGGGAAGCACTCCGAGAGTGGCTGGAAACTGGGGAAGTGTCGACGGGCGCCTCTTCAGGTGTGAACAGCGGCGTGACTGGGGCGTCAAGTTGGCGCTCCACGTCAAGCAACTTGTTGTTTGAGTGAGACATACCGAGCTTGGAGCCATGTGTCGAATCATCGAACTGTGGCGCTTGTGGATGGTACTCTCTCTCATCCTGTCCATCCAGAGTGTCTCTGGCGGTCGACATGGGATACGGGCTGAGATTATTCCCCCGGGACAGAAATTTAATCTGACAAAAGGCAAGATCGGATTCTGCAACATACTTATGAGACTTGGTGCTTGGTGCAGGTCTTGCAAGAGCGGTTGACGGGATCTTTCCATGGTGATTGGGTATAGAAGAAGAACGTCCCTTGCTGAATATACCCAGGTTCGTGTTGTTGCGCAGCTACCTGGTGTAAGTGACATGCAGCGAGACTTTGAAGAAATGTACTTACTGTCAATCTGTTTCCTGTAACATTGATAGCGTGGAAGTCATCATTCATGGTGTGCCTCCTGCCCCGAGATTTCTTGGCTCTTCCTTTGCGAGACTGCGACTGGGTCTCGACAGCCGATGATGGGCCTTTGTACTCATAGCGATCCTCGCGGGTCTTGTGTCTGGGCCTTATCTCGTAACTGTGCCGAGATCTCTTATGACTTTCATTTCCTTGTATGGTCTCGTGAGTGGACGGTGCTTTCGTTTCCTTGAAGTGACCTGAATCCCTTTTCCTGCTAGCTGCATGTCCATTCCCACCCACGTTATCAGATGTCTCAAGTGGGATGCGGATTCGTGGTATGCTCGTTGCAAGAGCCGTGTCTTTCACTTGTTCCTGGTTCTCAGCTAAAGCTCTGTTAGCGCCGAATCTTCATAGTTCTTGCAACAACAACATGCCTCCATCTTGATGGCAACTTTGTTCCTGGTCCTCCACAGTGGAAAGCCACTGGTAAATTGGATTATTGCTCTCCATCAAGAAATTTCCTAGAACTGAGAACTGGGACGTATCTGCAGAAATGAAGTAGACTTGAAGGGCAACTGGACAGAGTAAGGTGACCTGAAAGCGCACAAATTCAATGACCGCCGAAGAAAGCGCGACCATCCCAACTTCGTCCCGCCGATCTTGTCTTTTCATTGTTTCTTCATCTTTCCGTAAATTCCTAATGTTTGCTCTGTTGATACTCTCTCCCTCTCACACACACACTCTCTCTCGACTCCTACATGGGAATGGTTTCTTGAGTCGATTCATCTATGAAGTTCTTCTGGTCAGAGGCTTTTGGTGCTATTCTCCCATACCTGCTTTTCCATCAACCTACTGGAGAGGGATGTTAACATTGCATAGACGCAATCCCAGTGCCGATCGTCGCCATTTCCCGGCATACGGAGCACACGGCCCACGGCCCAAGCCGCATGTGGGCCTACGGAGCACTGCCTCTCGCCCGGATGCACGCACGCGCAAAACCAGTTTTGGGGCTGACGATGGCCAGACCTGAGAGGCTAGACCCATGACGGTAGTCAAATGCCGATCTCAAGTCTGCATTGCTAGACTCTCCTCAACTTTTAGCAGTCAATTCCCGACCGAATGAGGAGAAAAATCCACAATGCATAAACACGCATACAACCAATCATGCATGGACCTGTGAGGTACGGGGAATCTAGGTACTCCGTAACAAAAATCCACAGTCCACCCGTGGAGACTCCACCCGAGATAGCGTTGCTTCCATGAATGTAATTATATCGGGGTCCTCGTGGACAATAAGTATGGACATACTTTGTACTCTGTATGGAGTACACGGATTCACAATAGGACCCAGGTGCCAATCCAGCCCTATGAAACCCAACGCAAAATCCCCCATTTTCATCCAAGTGAGGGGCAAACAAAGGTACATCAGCCGTTGCCCTTAGTGCCGCCAATCCAAACGGAGCCTCGGATACCATCTGATTGATTGCTGAAAGCCCGACGACCCGCAATTGAATCAGCTCAAGGTTTAGGGCCATGGGACTGGCTTTGGGGTGTTTATCTTTGCAGCAACCCCCCTCCCCCACCTCGGAATACCCTTGAGATTAAGCCCGGACCTTTCTCACTCTGGTCAAGCTCCCAGACAAAGACACAGTAAGCATTAATGGAGATTGCTCGTTGTGGACTTGCCGTTGGCGTCCGACCAGTGGGAAATTCCCGGCAATGTGGAAGCCCTAACGCAGTGTGATTGTTACACGGGACTGGATGCTGACTCGCCTCTTAACCACTAGGATCTCCCTGTCGTCTCACAACCCGGACGGATTCCGATTTTTATCCTTCTTTTCTTTTTGATCATCTCCTTCCTCCAACCCTCATCTTCTCGTCCTCGGATCAAGCCAGCTTGGTCGTTGTCTGTCTCCCAGCTTTAGAACGATGTCCAAGCTCTTTGTTCAGTGTGTATTTTCTATCTACGAACAAATTTGTGCTGGTAGGAGCCAGTCTAACCGTTGCTGCGATGGAATTTAGCGGCCTTTCTTGGCATACTAGCGATGACACCTTGCGCGAAGGTTTCCAGCAATTTGGCGAGATCCAAGAAGCCGTCAGTCTGCCTTGACTAAAGTACACTCCATGTTTCTTGAGCTTCTCCTGACTCTACTGGCTACAGATTGTCGTGAAGGACCGTGCGACTTTACGTAGCCGCGGCTTCGGCTTTGTTCGCTTTGCTACTGACGCCGAAGCGGATGCTGCTCTGGGCGCCATGAACAACCAAGAGTAATCATTCAACCTCACATTCATCTTACTTGAGTCCAAGAGAAATCTCATACGTTGTTCAGATTCGACGGACGGGTCATTCGCGTTGACAAGGCGTTTGACCGCCCCCAACGCCCCGAAGGTGGCTTCCAGGGCCGTGGTGGATACAATTCCCAGCCCCAATCCAGTTACCAGGGTGGTGCAGGTGGTGGCTATGCTGGCGGCTACAACAATGGCGGGTACAATAACGGCGCTGCCGCTGCTGGTGGATACGGTGGGGGCTACAACCGTGGTTACAACAACAACTATACCCCTAGCGGTCCCGCCGGCTACGGCGCAGGTGGTCCCGGCGGTTATGGTTAGTTATTTATATTTAGACGTTTCTTGTTGTTTTTGCTAATAAATTATATAGGTGGTGGCCCAAATACCGGCTATGGCGGTGGCGGAGGTGAGTTATTGTGTTATTTCGATGGCGATAATGAACTAACATCCAAAGGCTGGCGCGGGAACAACCACGAGCAGGGTCCTCAAGACGGTCACCATTAGATGATTGAGTGTCTTTTCAGTTCCTCTCTATGCGCCTTTCTTCTTCGGCAATTCCTTCTAAAAGAAGTGACGATCTACGACGGCTGGAATATGGTGGAAGATGGATTGGGAACATCAGGGTGCTACCCTGATTATTGGATTCTGTAACGGGGGCTTGTTATTTTTCTTCGCGCTTGACTTGCTAGGAAGGGAATATGGGTTTCCGGCTCAATCTTGGGTTTCATTTGATGCAGATTTGAACTTTTATACGGTTGCGTTTCGACCTTTTGAGGCCTTTTTTTCTCTCTTTGGCAGAATGACCCATGTGGTTTCATATCTGCAATGCCTGTTTGCGTTTCACGGCATATCCTTCCTATAACAGGGCACACGGAGGAGACCAATGATTTGATGGATATTTAAGCATAATCTGAATCTATCCCCGGGGCTCCGGGGCCAGCAAGGATTACGGGTGACGAACCAAACTATGTACCACGACCACGAGGTTTTTCCCAGGCGACAAAATCAGGCATCGCCCGCCACTTCTATTTAATGTTCTATCATTTTGGGCGACGATCATATTTATGCGAGACAGTTCCCGTTGGGCATCCTTGCTTTGTAGACAATCCCGCCCAGGCTAGAAATAGGAATAGTAAACCGAGAAATACCTGAAAAGTACTCTATAACAAGATCGGACAAGACCATGGTTACAGTGTGAAGACAGTGTATTTTCTATTGCCAAAGCATATATAACTTGCAAGATCGTAAAAAGTTTATGTAGGCTTATTTTAGTTGTTCAATTCATCATCCATAGAGGATATTGATAGCTTTCCCCACTATCCCTCGAAGGAAAGAGAACCTACAATCTGTTCAATCGCTTCTTTCGCCATCTATATATTCTACCAGGTAAATATGTAACATATACTATGTGCCAATAAAAAGACATCAAAGTCATCAACAGAGCCTCTACCCATACACCTCATTCAATCGTCACACGGCCATTCTCACGATCAGCCTCTTCGGCCTCCCCCTCCAGAGACCTAATAACCTTACGTTCAGCCTCCTCCTCCTCAGCCTCTGCAAGTCCCTCGGCCTCAATAGCCTTAACCCTCTTAACCAAATCGGTAACATGAACATCCGCAGTTCCAAGCCCAAGACCCTCAAGAGCCTTCTCCAACAAGAACAAATACTCAGACCCCTTCCCACTCAATCCATGCCCAGCACTGATAACCTGCGCCACATGCTGCGGTTCGCGATGAGCTGCGTCACGCAGGAATTGCGGGTTAGTCGGCTGGCCGACGTAGAGCATGCAGATGATTGGAGAGGACACGGACGAGCTGGCGGCTCCTTCGAAATCCACTGTCGGGTGGAATGGCGTGTAGTGCGCGCTGTACCCGTCGATCTCCCGCTCGTCGAGGTAGTCGTGGACTTCTTCGGCGTGGGATGCTGGGATGTGGTATGCTGCGCCCCAGACTTTGCCTGTGGAGGATGCTTCGGATTCCAGGTGGGCGAGCTAAAGGATATGTCAATATGGCTGTGTGAAGTAGGGCGGATATAGAGCATACCGGGTCATCCAGGGTCTCCCAGAAGGTTCGCTCAATTACGGTGACTACTCGGCCCGGTTGCTCGGGGGTACCGCGGTGATCGGTACTTTGGGAGCATGTTAGTGATTTGTGATTCGTATTAGGTTTGAGTGGTTGTGTCTGCATATTGCACACAGTCAACAACATACCTAGCCTGTAATTCATGAACAATAACCACAATGTTAGTCCGAATGTGGGTATATACAAAGCTCTTTCCTCGAGTAAAGGGTTTACGCACCTGCCAAAACCGCCGCACATATCCACTAATATAGCCCGGTACGCGCTGGTCTGGATGATATAGTTAGTTGATTGGTTCTCTGATCAGAATCGACCAATATGAGGTCTTGTTTTAGTGCTGTCATTGAGCACTTTCATATCGCAGTCTCGCGTACCATAATGTGGAGGAGGTTTCCAGATCAAACTCCTATAAAGATAATCAGTATTCAATATTCAACGGCTCAGTGACACTGTTTCGGAACAATCAGTTAACTCACCCATATCCAAATACCCAGAGATCACCTTTGGGAAAATGACTCTTCCACGTCCGACCGTCTGGATGGACCTGATGTCCTTGTGCAATGGCAGCCATATCAAATATATCAATCCAAATGTCTCCAATGAGTTTATTGGCTGCACTCTTCAACTTTCCGGGGAGGGGACGGATTAATAATTCGCTCCGGTGACCTCGGGATAGCTTCAGGGCTGATTCTGTGGGAGAATAGCGAGTCAACTTCAAAGAAGAAAACTAGGGATTCGAATTCTTTGTTAAAGATGGGATGCTGTTATAAATTAGAAATGATCACAATTGTATGGACATTCTAAATGTCGAAGTGGCCCAAAATTGATCTACACTGATTTTGTTTGCAGTGTTTGTTCTTGGTTATCCCGCCATCTGTGGCATGGATGAGGCATCTGTTGCCAACGATTTCAGAGCATGTGAGATAAAAAAGTGCTGAGATGGTCTATACATAGAGCAAATCAAATATCTGTGCATCCATTACTGCGGGATCCTATTCATGTGAGACGTTGGCTCCTGTCTTGAAAAATGTCTCAATCGAACCTCCTTTCAACGGAAGGGCCAAGTCCAAGCAAAACATGGCAGAAATGAAGAATACAAGTGCATATTCTTGTGGGACAAGTGACAAGGTGCAAATGCAGCTTAATACCAAGTCGACGGCCCTCGAGAGCTGCTTGTTGCCACTCAGCCTGCCAGCCGTGCTCTTTGATGTATCATAGCATGTGTTCATCGGCCTCCAAACACCCCTGGGGGCCAATGAGTTTGAGAATGAGACTTCCAAGTCCTCGTACCGGTGGCCTGGTATGGGCTCTGGAAGCTTTGTACTACATAAGCCAATGGCTCTCCTGTCACTGAGACTCCTTGATGTACAAACTTTGGAATCCCCTATATCGTCCTCTCTTGATGAAAAAAAACATGTCGATCACAATTCCTTCTCTGAGCAAGACGCTTAATTTGAGCTGCAAACACGGGGATCTCTCATCTCAATCGCGACAGATTGAACACGAGATATCTGGACGGCGGCCTTCCTCCCTTCGACGACGAGTGTTGATCGTATTCGTGATCACATTCTGTGGGGTCATAGCTGCTCTCGAAGCACTCAACCATGTCTCCCAAGCTCATCATGAAATTGCCTCTTCAGTCGAAAGCCGCCACTACCTATGGACTTACGGACCCGCTGCCACCTTCACTGTCATCGCTACCTTTTGGTCGCGTGTTGAATTCCAAGTGAATCAACGAGCGCCATGGAAGTCCATGGCTGAGAAGCCCGGAGAGGCCAAGCAGTCCATCCTCTTGGACTATGTATCCGAGATGCAGCTGGCTTCAATGGTCAAAGCCATCAGAAACAAGCACTTTGACGTGGCGGCTGGGGTTACGTGCTCTATGCTTTTGCGTCTCTTGGTCGTTTTCTCAACCGCTGTCTTTTCATTGCAAACGGTTCAAGTACATCGAAAGTCCGTCCCAATTCAATTCTCATATGATTTCAGCGCAAAGGACGTCACTTTCGATGCTCCCATTGCCCAAGCAATCGATATCCTCAATCGCGTCCTGTTCGAGAATGGCACCCATCCCAACGGTACCAATGCAAACCTGGCTTTCCAACAATATTCCGCCCCAAGCCTTGCTCCAAATGCCATTATCACTGCACCTGTGGATGGTATGATGGCAGACTTAGGCTGTGAAACTGCAAGCATCGACACAATGAAGTGGGATGTAACGAATGTAGCTGGTCACGGCCACCATCCAAGCGCCCAGGAATCTAAGGGGGTTAAACTGATAACTCCATCGTGCACAATTTCCAACCTGGCCCTGGATGCAGCGCTGGATGGCGTAACCCCCTACATCGCGAGGTTCACTTCTGGTCAATGTGATGGTTCAAGTGCCGAGGACGGTATGCGCATCGTGCTCACTTTGGCCGAGATTGGTCTGGCCAAGGAGATTCGGAACACTTCCACGTTAACCGGAACCGACGCAACGACAGAGGTAATACTCAATCGCTCAGTTCAGCTGATCTGCAATCCGACATACTCGCTTGTAAAACTGCAAGCTGAAACGAATACCAGCCAATTCTCTTCGTCTGTTAGCCTGAAAAGAATCGGATCCGAAAGCTCTACTTTGCCGAACTTGACCGCATGGGATATTGCTAAGACTTTCCTTTCGGATTTTTCCTCCGACGCCTCATTCGTGAGACCAAATCAAAATCAGAACCCGTTCCATACCAACGATGATCTATCTCAGAATAACACAGGTGTCGATGTTGCCTTGCAACTCGGCGCGTGGCTTGCTGGAATCACTGGCAATATCGACAAGCTCTTTGAAAATGGCGCACTTGATAATGCGGCTTCTTCCTATTATCGCGCAATGGCTGCCCAGTTTATGAACAAGGGGTTGACACAGAAAAATCGGTCATCAACCATCGGCCAGGCTATTGAAAATGAAAATCGAATTGTCATGACACAGCTCTCTCTTCGCGTGATGGAGGTTTGTCTGATACTAGGGATCCTGCTAGCGGTTTCCATGCTCTTTCTGGGGCCACGCACGCCTATCGCACCTTGGAACCCGACTTCCATTTCATCTGTTGCCGCAATCATGGCAAAGAGCAACGAAATTCGTCGATCACTTCGCGGGACCGGTGTGGCTCCATCAGATGTGCTTTATGATAGTCTGAAAGAACGGCGCTACTATTCACAATTTACGCCCGAAGGCTTTTTGATCAAAACAGAAAGAGATGATATCAAAAAAAACGTCGACAACCAAGAAAGCCACACCCCGGCATGGGCACCATTTCCCGGTCTTATTGCTCGTGGTGCCATCTTCACCGCAGTCGCTTTACTTATTGCGGCCTTGGAGATTGCATTGCATGTCTCGCAGAAGAACGATGGACTGGGAAACGTCTTCAATGAATATCACCATTACCTGTGAACTATCATTCCCTCGCTAGTCATGGTTAGCATTGTTCTTTTGTTCGGGATGATGGACTTCAACACCCGAAGCCTCGCACCCTACGCACAGTTGAAACGGCGTACCGGTGCGCTATTCGAGGAATCCATGACGATGAATTATCTAGATTCACTTGGTATCACCAACATCATCCGTTCAATCTGTGCAAAACACTTTGCTGTTCTAGCTACTACATTAGCTGCCTTGATCACCTCGTTCATGGTCATCGTCACGAGCGGCTTGTACTCTGCAATCGAGGTCCCCCTCCAAATTAGTATAAATTTCACCCAAGAAACGATTTTTTACAAAGGCAATTCAGCAAACGCTGATCAAACCTCCAGCATGGTTGCCAAAGAAATTCTTCAGAAAAATTTGACTTTTCCCCGCTGGACCTACGATGAGCTTGCATTCCCCGAGCTTTCCATGGACATCCCCTTGTGCAGCAATGAGACAGATAATCTGTTCGTAAACATCCGGATGCCTGCCTTGAGAGCCGCTCCCGCCTGTTATTTCCAAACGGGCAGTCAACTGCAGTGGAATTCCACCAAGGTCAGGTATGGCAAGGAGTCAATCTACCAACTCCAGGTTCTCGCACCCAGTATGCCCTGTTCTCTGGCAGACTAAGACATAGGATCGACTTCTTCGACTTCTTCACCGGTTTTTCTCGGATCTCAAGGCCTTTTCGGCCAATCAAGCATGCTCCCATACGGCAAAGGCAACAGCTACAGTGCCAAACCCGCAACCTTGTATATCTGGGGAAACATCCAGAACGATTCCGCAAATATAAGTGCTATGACTTGTATTGAAGCTGCTGAAACAGTCGACACCCTCACACGATTCCAGCTGCCTGGCTTTGACATCACCGATGACCATCCCCCAGTCCCTGACGAGTCATCTGCGAGATCAGCCCCGGATGTTGATGTCCCGTGGATCAGTTGGAACAATTTCAGCGCCACAGATGCTACAGAAAAGCACCCAAACCTGGATAAATTCTTCACAGCGCTGATTATGGGAAAAGATGCGATCACAGCGGAAAGTGTCTTGAACCCAAACTTCAGCGATACGGTCATCAAGGCAATCAACCGCCAGGATAGGATTCTCAAAGCACAGGTATTTAACAACCACTCTCGCAGTGCCGCATACAGCACGCTGGACCATGCCTCTCTGCCCGGTAACATCACGGTGCCGAACCGACTGCGTCTAATGCAAGACGCAGCGTCAACACGCGTTCTTGAAGCCCTTCTCGCTTCTATCCTCGTGCTAGGTATCATCGGTTCCATTCTCATGAACACGGATCACGTCTTGCCAAAGAGCCCGTCCAGCATTGCCGGCGTCGCGAGTATTCTTTCAGACTCAAATATCCTCGCTCGATACGAGACCGCCGTGGGTGATCCGAATGAAGGCAAGCAGCCGTGACGTTTGTGAGAGCAGATATCAATCAATCAATCAATCAATCACAAAGTCATATCCCTGATCTAGCTTGCTTTGGCATCCCCGAGGGCCGGCTCACCTTGAGAGGCAAAGACTATACTGGATGAAATGGCCACGCAAAGCAGCCAACATTCACCTCTACTCAAAGCACGAAAGGAGCAATCATGAAGATCCAGCTGCTGATTCTGTGGATTGCCCGCAGCCTGCAGCGCCGCCAAAGATGGAAAGAAGTGTCACCAGGCAAGCAAGTCGGCTACGATGTTGACACACTATGGAACTCAACCTATATCATGATAGCAGACCCCATGATAGCAGACACCCTTCGCGAACAGAAAGAACTTGGGACAATTTGTTTGGATGCATCCAGAAGTTAACGCCCTTCAGCTTACCGACATTCAGATCCAAGATGACTTGAAAGGAGAAAGCTCGCAACACCACACTTACACTCCTCGGCCAATGGTAGAGACGGCCGAGAAGCTAATGAAGCCGTATAAATTGACATATCAGTATTGTGATTGGTCGTCTAATTATACAGTAAGTTTGTATCAGCACTTAAATGATCTTTATGTTGACACGGAGTTAAGATAGGCCGACGTCTTGCCAAAACTTACAGACCTCATGAGCGGCAAGTAGAAATTTCCATAAGGTACAAGTAAGCTACTTGTTGTCTCACAGTGTATTTCTCACTGGGGATGCTGCGCACACCCATTCCCCCAAAGGGGGACAGGGTTTGAATGTGTCTATCCAAGACTCATACAACCTCATATGGAAAATTGAAAATTGGAGCACTCCTTACCAATGGCGCCGATCCTGATATACTGGAAACATATGAAGCCGAACGGCGTTCAGTCGCCAAGCAGCTGATGAATCTGGATTCTCGTCTTGTTCAAGCATACGAGAAACAACAGAAAGATACCTCGAGTGGGATTTACGAAGTTCGCGAGCAGTATGCTGGTTTTATGGCTGGTGTCGACGTGGTATATGAACATAGCATCTTGACTGCCCAAGAAAGAAAACACTGTGATTTAAACCTTGCAAAGAACGTCCAACTAGGCATGCGTTTGCAATATGTCTCTATTGTCTATCAATGCGATGGAATAGCTATACACATAGCCGAAAGGTTTATGAGTGACGGATCGTGGAGACTTCTGGTATTTCCGGGTGACTTGCGCCAACCGGAAAAGATGAAAATTTTGGCTTGCTTTGCTCACAGTGTCAGCAAAAGATTACACCAAATTTATTTTCAGTTTATACGGGATTAGGAAGGGCACTGTCCTCTTGTTGAGTTGCTCCTCATACAGTCAAACCCCAGGAGCGCGGTCAATCTGCTGGATCTTCCAGAGATTTTCCGTCCATTTGATAACACCATGGGGTGGGACTACTGTAAGGTATTCGCTGATTACAGAAACCAAGCTTATACAGGATACGGCATTGATGAAGGCGGTCCAGGATCTTTGGTACTATGTCGGCCAGATCAGCATATCGCATGGATAGGCAGTATGGAGGACACGGCTGGCTTGGCAAACTATTTCTCAGTCATCTTTGGAATGCATGGTTAGAGAGAAGAATGGATCGACAGATGATCTAGGGCGGTGATACCCAGCAGACACTAGGGGTTAACTTTACCGCAGCAACCAGCAGAGAGTCCACCACCTGGCCGAATGTTGTGACTGTATGCAGCGTCCTTATATATGAAACAAAAACGCGACGCTGGCGGACTCGCATGCTTTTTCATTTGCCAGGACTAGCATACTATGCTGTCCCAAAAGGAGGAAGAGTTTTTTCTTCATTTAGCTCCAATCTTTAGCGGCAGCCACCTTTACTACTTGTTGAGGGCAGTAGTAAATGTTGCAGTAATTGACTTCAATTTAACTAAAGGGTTTTAGCTTTTATTTTCGTCGGACACGAGCGGATAAAGTCATCATACATCATGAGGAAGACACAGTCACGATAGTGGTATAAATCATGCAGATGACCCCCATGAAAATGATCACTATATCTCCTCCTTTTGCCCACCTAGTATTGGCGATGCCTTTCCAATGTAAATACGCCGGATAGACAAATATCAAAGGAACACATAAAACGGATCCCACCAAGGCAACGAATTTATCCAATGCGGTGGTGCCTAGTGCTGCAATCAAGCCACAAAGGACGACGATGCCGGTTCTGAGCATATTCTTCTTCCACTTTATAAGGGGGAATCGCTGACCAGATTTGCGGCCGAATAGCCTTCCTTCCAGAATCCGCACGGCAGGAAAAAGCTGCACTGGGGTGCCCGCAAGAACGGCTAGCGAGAAGGATAACCGAACAAAATTGACGAACAGATCCGATTGCGGAAAATTGCTGATTATATTAATCTTCGTCTGGCTGCCGAACGCCCCGTATGAGAGAGCTCCGACGGAAGCGAAAAGGAAAGTGATAAGAGCCATGACAGTGTTGAGGATGCGACCGAAATGGTCTGGGTGTGACATCGAAGATTGGATAGGAAGAACCAGTCCTATACCCTCGAACAAGAATACAGACGACCCGATCATGAGGATAAATTTGTCGGTGTTAAACAGCCTGACCGTGGGCTCTAAGCCATGGTGAGAGATTTTCGAAAGATCGCAGTAATATATGTACCCAATGGCGATGAAGATGAAGACATCTGCAAGTAATGCTACCATTCCGAGACGGGAGATCTTGCGAATGAAGGCGAGAGGCACGAGGACCACCAACTGGAGGGCAACGATAAAAGAAATCGACGACGGTGTGCGGATAAAGTCGGTCGCTATGCCCTCCACAAACGAAAGCAGGTTGTCCGCAGTAAAAGCAATGCCGGCACACACAAATCCAAGCTGCGACGCAGTAATGGAAATGCGAATAAGGGAACGAAGATGCGTGCTGGAAATAGATTCTCCAAGATCGCCATAGCCGCCGCCATACCGTCTCTGACATTGTAGCAGCAAATGGAAAGAGGCGGTTGTCATGATTGAGACCGTTATGAGCGCAATAGATGAGAAGAGTATACCACCATTGCTGAACGCCTTGGGAAGAAATATGATGCCTGTTCCTATGAAGGCCTTGAGGAGTGTAAAGAAAGTTTTCACGTCTGACGCGTCCCCTCGAGAGGTCTCACGACGGGCAAGCAATGGTCTCCTTTCCGCCTCTGCGTCATCAAACGGTGCCCCAGCACTTTCAGCATCTGTCTCATCTTCCGACTCAGCTAAGTCTTCACCGGCGAATTTGCCGTATAGTTGTAGAAAGTCCACGAAACTCTTGGGTGTAGATATGTGGTTGAAGCCACGCTTCGAGCGCCACACATATTGCCGGCGAAAGGCTCCTGGCTCATTGCGTATCGTGGTATCGGGGTCAGAGTCCGCTTCCAGTCTGGGAGAGTACGAGAAAGTTGCCGCGCGCTGATTCAATCCGGCCCGTTTCGAGCGGGCTTCGATACGATAGATGTCGCGATGTATATCGCCGCCTTGCAATTTGAGAGAGGACTGTTGGTTCTCATCGTGGCCTGAACTTTTTCCACCACGCCCATCATCATCCTGTTCGATGATGGCGTCAGGCGCTCCGGTAAATCGGGGATGCAGATGCCGGGAAATGACTTCTGCTTGGTTGTCGAGGTCTTCTTTGTTTTGAGTATCCGCCATCGTGTCCCAACAGCCGCGGAAGGTCGAGCTGATACAGTGCCGCTCAGCGCCCCTCTATCTGTAGGAAAGGGATGTGAGTACCAAGCTGCGCATGTGGAAAGTACTGGGAAGTGCTGGGCCACAACAGCCAAGTTGTTGCGACATGACGTCATGCTTATATCAGCCACTAGCGAAGTGGACGAGCCATTCTAGACTTTCGCAGACCCCATCACGCCCAAGGCCCGAACCGAACCAACCCCAGCCCAGCCCTCAAAATATTTTAAACATCTGGGGGGTTCAGGGTCAGGCTATGGGTTTTATACACCCCAAAAAATCCAAACATATCGACACATATGACTTTCCTGTTTCTTTGTTTCCTTACGCCACGTTTAGCCCCCGTTTCTAGCCCTCGTCCCGGGGTAATGTTTGGATCTTGTTTTCGCGCGAACAGCGCATTGTTCGTACCATCAATTTTGCACGCATACATAGTTCTCCCATTTTACCGGTTATTGTATCATGGAAATACAGGTTCTACTAGTTCACCTAAGTTCATGGGCCATCACGGCCTCGCCCAAGCAGAAGTAGGTAAAACCTCCTATGCAAACCGTGTGCTAAAGCTGTATAGCCTATACTGTCGGGCTCAACAAAATCTACGTAGAGGGCGTGGCAACTTTCCATGGTTTCTACGTGGGTGTCTAGTTTTGGTAATCCCAAAAGGTTCCAAGGTTACCAGAAACAGTCGAGCGAAATATATACCTAGGCTACCTACAAGGTGCCTTTCCTCATCATCGCTGCTCCAATTGAATCAAATACCTTGAATTCCCATTTTCCGCTCGATCGAAAACTGAGAGATATGTCCCAGACCATCCGCGTGCTGTTGACCCTGCAGTCAGTGACTTGTCGGCATTCCCAAGGTTGAGACTCGTGCTCGACTTCTTCTTCAATTAAACCAGCCAGTAGGGCCTGATCTTGACCTTCGCCAATGCATAGCTAGGAGTGACCAATCTTGGAAGAATATTACCAGCCAAAAAATAAAGGCGTGGGGCGCAACGTGGAGCGACCCTCAACGGCGGCCATTGTGGCCATCTATCTATACGCCGTTGCTTGTAACATTGGCGGGACCAGTAAATTGTACCTGATTGGACCTGAAGTCTTTTCCATCTGCATCCGGTCTCTGAACATGGCGATATTCACGGCGTTGCACTAGGCACGTACACCTTGGCTAATTCATGGCCATGTCGAGTCTGTTTGCAGCAACGTATAGACGGGCTGCGTTCCTGTTTTTCATTTCTCTGTGCAGGGATTGGCTCAAGCTCTTACCGCCACGCCGGTAAGTGGGAGGAAGGACACTGCTAATACTTGCTTAGCAAAGCGAACAACTTGATGTGGTAGCATACCACGGGCTGATCATTGGAAGCGTTGGATAAGCTGTTTGAGCGACCCACAGTCCACCAGGCTGCTGCCGCCAACAAGGAAGAAGCAAGAATGCAAATCGGGAGCTCCATCAAGAACATGGTTAGAAATGAGAAGACCAATACCGAGCATCTAGAGGCCACATAACCGGTTGTACAGCTGCGATCGCCATCTCGATCGAAAAAGTGTACCTACGTGATAGACTAATAAAAAAACAAGAACAAGGTGCAAAAGGCAGGATTTCTGTACACAATGTGTCAGAAACACATGATGGAAAAGCGCCCAATCGGTCGTGAGATTCATAGTGAAGCTTTCTTTTCCCGATGTCGCTTCTTTCTCGGATTCCGGGGGGATGCATCTGGTCAGGGAGATCCTTGGCAGTTGTCGGAAGATCAGGGTTGTGAGAAGCACTGTATATACTTTTCAGAGTGTGGTGGTGAGACGATGTTGGGTAACGGGTCGATGGGGTGAGGAAGGAATTCCGGGTAAAGGAAACTAGGGTTTAAGAACGGTCGGTATGAGGCTTTTGTTTTGAAGAAACTGTGTGCAGATCTTACTCGCACATGTATGCATCATGAGAATTATCATCTCCAAACGGTGCTGTTTCCTGTTTATCTTGGCATCTATGATTTACTCTGTGGCCAGTGTCAAAATAAAAGAGGCGGACCGTACTCGGCAAACTTTAATCTACGGTAATACATACTCCTACCTACTATTAGGTCATTTTGCATGCTGCGCCACAGAACACATATAGTTTAGTCTATGTATGTAGTGTCACACACTGTCTGCCTTGTTGCCTTCCAAGTGCGACTCCCTTATCGCATCCTTATCGCTCCCGAGGTCATCCTTCCAATCGTTATCGTTTATCGGCCCTGGTGTTATCGGCCTCTTTTTCTTCCTCAAACATCAGACGCGCCTCGTGACGCTTGGTATTTTGTTTACTTGAATTTCTTTTTTGAAGCTTCTGAATCAAGATTTTCATTATGGCAGCCCTACTTCGCCTCCTTAAGATGCAGTACACCCCTCCCATCGATCCCAAAGGTGTGTCCTTCGCTGGCAAGATCGTCATTTTGACAGGTGCCACCTCGGGTCTTGGCTTCGAAGCTGCCATCAAAATCCTCAATCTCGGCGTCGAATCACTCATCATCGGCTCTCGCAGCCTGGAAAAAGGCAACAAGGCCAAAGCCGACCTCGAAAAGGCCACCAACCGACGCAACGTGGTCAAAGTATGGGAACTTGAGATGAACAGCTTCCAGAGCGTTAAAGGGTTTGCTGAACGCGCCAATCGCGAACTTGACCGCGTCGACATCGCCTTACTTAATGCTGGTCTTTGGAATCGGGAATATAATCAATCCTCCGAGGGCTGGGAAGAGACACTACAAGTCAACACATTATCGACCTCAATGCTGGCCTTACTTCTACTTCCTAAGCTGAAGAAAAGCTCCTATCCCGAAAACCCCGCACACCTGACCGTCGTTTCAAGTCAGCAATTCGTTCGTGTCAAAGCTGAAAGCGTCCGGACTGATGATTCGCTGCTTGCTCACGTGAATGACCCGGCCAACTTCAAGGGTCCCAAGCAGTACGGCATTTCGAAGCTTTTGCTTGAATTCATGATCAAGAATATCGCCAATACGGTGCACGATGATGACGGCACTCATACTCTCATTGTTAATACCGTCAGCCCCGGGCTGTGCGTTTCGGCTTTGGGTCGCCAGTACACTCATTGGTGGGAGAAGTGTTTCGTTTGGGTTATGCACAAATTGTTCGCGCGGACTACGGAGCAGGGAAGCCGCTCGCTGGTTAGCGCGACTCTACTGGGCGTTGAATCGCAAGGAAAATGCTGGCGCAGTGAGGGATATCTTGAGTAAGACAGTCTTTCACCATGTTTCAGTGTCATCATTGCTAATGGTTTTATAGTGAGTCAGCCGCGCTGACTACTGGTCCGGATGGAGAGGAACTCCAGGAAAAGGCTTGGGAAGAGATCATCGCCGTGCTGGAGGAGGAAGCGCCCGAGGTGTCCCTCATCTCTCGTGGCCTGTACCAGGGTGTTTAGATGTTATGACGCCGGCGAGCGCTCTAGACTCGTCAAAAAAGTGGTTTGTACATGCGCCTAGCGCATCTTTGCAGAAATTCAAGCGCTCCTGCCTCATTGAGATACCCCTGTTAATATTAATGTGTGATTACTGAAATCCTTTTGGCTTTCACTTTCGATTTCTACAATTTACAACATACATTACACCCCCACAGTCGTCGTCAGATATAGATAGTGATATCCCATAGTCCTTACAGTCAATGAAAAAAAGAAAGCCCCCAACACTTTTACCAATACGAGGCCCATTACAGCGGGACCATGCTTGGACACGGTACCTAGTCACATGCAAAATGACCGATGCTTATTGAGTGCTCAGTGGGTGCTCATTGGATGCTCATCGATTTCTCGGTGACCTCAGTGTCTACATCTACATAATGATTGAGCAACTCTAATGCACTCAGCTTGCTGTAGACTACAACATTGTCTACATACCCAGAAGGGGTCTCTAGGACTACAACTTTCCCGAGCCCTATTTCGATATATTCGATTTAACGTGTTCTACAGTATGAAAAGGGATCACAAGGCGCTATCACACGATAGTACGGGGTAGGAGTATTTACTTGAGATCCCATACAGCCAACACTTTTCGCTCGCTCGCTTAACACGTTCCATTAGCAGCACCCTGACTCTTCCATCCTCCCTCCGCGGAATAGCACCAGGGCTTCTATCCCTTTAAATCTCGGTAGAATTGGTGATATAACAAACAAAAGCATCACTTATCATGCTGTAGATGGCTCGGTCGCGGAGATGCAATACCTATAATCCCCTAGAGCATTGGCATCGGCACCATGATCTAGCAGGATCTGCACCACCTTCTCATGGCCTTTCCGTACTGCAGCCTGGAGCGCATTGCCATGCATATCCATATAACTCCCCAGAGCATTGACATCGGCACCATGATCTACCAGGATCTGCACTACCTTCTCATGGCCTTCCCGTACTGCGGTCTGGAGCGCATTGCCATGCATATCCATATAACTCCCTGGAGCATTGACATCGGCACCATGATCTACCAGGATCTGCACTACCTTCTCATGGCCTTCCCGTACTGCGGCGTGGAGCGCGCTGCCTAACATATAATCCCCTGGAGCATTGACGTCGGCGCCTTGATCTAGCAGAGTTTGCACCACCTTCTCATAGCCTCCAAATGCTGCGGCCTGGAGCGCGTTGCCATAATCACCCCCTTGAGCATTCATGTCAGCACCATGATCTAGCAGGATCTGCACCACCTTCTCATAGCCTTTCCGTGCTGCGGCCTGGAGCGCGTTTCCATCCATATAATTCCCTGGATCATTGGCATCGGCGCCTTGATCTAGCAGAAGTTGCACCACCTTCTCATAGCCTCCAAATGCTGCGGCCTGGAGCGCGCTGCCTAACATATAATCCCCTGGAGCATTGACGTCGGCGCCTTGGTCTAGTAGGATCTGCACCACCTTCTCATGGCCTCTCTGTGCTGCGGCCTGGAGCGCATTGCCATGCATATCACTCCCTGGAGCATTGACATCGGCACCATGATCTACCAGGATCTGCACCACCTTCTCAGAGCCTTGCCATGCTGCGGTCTGGAGCGCATTGCCATGCATATCCATATAACTCCCTGGAGCATTGACATCGGCACCATGATCTACCAGGATCTGCACTACCTTCTCATGGCCTTCCCGTACTGCGGCCTGGAGCGCATTGCCATGCATATCACTCCCTGGAGCATTGACATCGGCACCATGATCTACCAGGATCTGCACCACCTTCTCAGAGCCTTGCCATGCTGCGGCCTGGAGCGCATTGCCATGCATATCTTTATAACTCCCTGGAGCATTGACATCGGCACCATGATCTACCAGGATCTGCACCACCTTCTCATGGCCTCTACCTGCTGCGGCCTGGAGCGCATTGCCATGCATATACATATAACTCCATGGAGTATTGACATCGGCGCCATGATCTACCAGGATCTGTACCACCTTCTCATGGCCTCCACCTGCTGCGGCCTGGAGCGCGTTGCCAAAATTTCCAGTCCGGATATTCAAGGCGGCATCTATTGTGGTCTTCTCCCCCCAGCTAGCTATAAGCGCACTTAAGATGTACTCCAACCCTAACAGGGCTGTGTAGTATACAGGCGACGGGATATCTTCGACAGCACGCTCAAAGTCGCTTGAGCTCCGTATGGAATCCATGTCTTGCAGTCGTACCCATGTGACAAATGACTCTGTCTGGTTCTGAAATAGCGTTAAAATCAAGGGTTCAATATCAGATTTCCTTTTCCCGGAATGGTTGTAAAAATAGAACCATTGCATAGCGGAAAACTTAGCCAAAGGAAAGATTTCCAGCTTTGCCTCATCCAATTCTCCATTAGAAAGCGTTGGGTCTAGGAGGGTAACGAGGCAAATTTGAGCCATCTCTGTGTGGGCCGGTTCTTTTTGAATGCTGAATTTTGCTGCACCTTGTTGGGAAATTCGGTCTGATTTAAGATACTCCTGTACAGAGAAGTGCGCTATACGAGCAATCGTGGTCGCTTCTCCAAAGCGACCTTCAACCACTGCGACCTCTATCAGACCAAGACAAATGTCGATAGGATCATCTTGGCTGAATGATCGACCCTCACGATCTAATCTCAAATTGCTAAGATCAATAGCAAGGGCGCCGACAAGTTCCTTTACAGTGAGTGGCCGATTAGACACACAAAGTAAAGTTAATATCAGCCGTGCTTCTTCAATGTAATCCTCATCGATGCTACACAGCATTCGTTCATATGTCTCATCCAGATCACGAGGTAAAGAACGCAAACATTTATCGAGTTGGTTTTGGATTCGGACCCGTTTTAACGCAAGGAGTTGGCATTCGACATATCTGAATCTGTACAATTGTTAGTGAAATCCTTACATCATTTCATTCTATTGTTCCGCACACTCCCTGTGCCTTAGTCATCAGCGTTTCTTGAATCTCTTCATGGCGTAATTTCCATCGTTGAAACTTGGGGTCATTGGCGAGCTGGTAGGAAATGAAGTTTTGAATGTCTGCATCTGTCTCCGGATTTCTCATTGGGATATCCTGGCAGAAGGGAGTTCCCAGAGAATCGCGGATGTCGAGTTCGTTACGGCTGGTTACTAGGAGGTGGAGAGTGGGAAGCTCCCACTGCCGGATCGTCTCTACCGCACTTAGAACTTCCTCTCTTTTATCGTCTCGGGGGCTCTCATCCAATGCGTCTAACAGAATGTAGGTGTCGCTAAACTTGTAGATGATCTGTCGAAGGGAGTCAAGTAGGGCTTTCACTGGAGGAGTACCCGACTTATACAACATATGCAGTTCTTGTAGATCTTTTTCGCCTCCTTCAAGTTGAGCCGATAGCTGTAATAACAATGCGCGTAACATGCCCGAAGTATCTCTCTTGAACTCGTCATTGAAAGAAAAGTAGAAAAATCCGATTCCTACACTGGGCTGATGTTGCCTCTCGCGGAATGTACTTTCAATTGCTGTCGAGCATAGAACCGACTTGCCACATCCGGCAAAGCCATTAATCCAGAGAAATGAATTGGGCTCAACTAGCCAGTTCTGAAATTCCTGGCCGTTGACCAACCATAGTCCTGTGCTTGTATGGCGTTTCTCGCATGCGGTATTGTGATCAATGGTCGCATCTGGGGCCTTAAGCCAATCACGAATCGTAGCAGAGATGTGAATCGTGTTTGTCCGTTCGACAAGTATTTTGAGTTCAGATATCCCATCTTCAAGCCCGGTCTGGTTTCTAAGCTGTAGCACATTTAATGCAAGAGACAATCTTCCCCGTATCTCGCCGATAATCTCTTCAAGGTTTTGTAGAGTACTCGTCCTAAATGGATAAGTCGCCCGGCGCCCGGCAACTTGGATTCGGCCCTTCAAACTTAGAGTGGTATCTTTTTGGAATTTCTGGCACTCGTCCCTCAGTTCCTCGATGACCCCACGGCAGTCCACTGCCACCTTGTCGATCTCTTGGAGCAGTGCATCCGTCCGAGGTTGGCCATTTTGTAGTGCATCATCAAGGGAATGGAGGATGCTGAGAAGGCTCTTGAGACTCAGCACAGTCTTGGCCAGAGCAGGAGTCTGATCCTTGTATGCGGAGTAGAAATCGACTAGAGATTTGGTAACTTGGATACCCAATGACAGCAAACCGGCAACTCCAGATGCGATAGAGAGCGGGTCACCCATAGTGAAAGGATTTTTCTGAAATCCGAGTAATGCTGTGATTGAGGTTTGGAGTCGTTGAGTGAACACGGTGGAAAGATGAAGATGATTGTACATACTCCATAGTGGAGCGGGGCATTCGCCCAACGGGATTTGGGCCGCACAGCTCAGCCTCTTCCTACTAGTATCTCGATTATGTATGCCTATTTCGCTCCAAAATTTTAGAGCAACGCTTTGTAATACTATTCAAACATTCTATGCAAGCGATAAACCCGTACTATTAGGGGGAACTCCATGCTCTGTACTATACCTTAAAGGGTAGCATTCACGCGCTTCTCGTATTCGTATTGATCCTAACAAAGCGCTAAATAGAGCAATAATAATACTCCGTAGGCGTTGATTCACTACGTCATTAATAGCTTGAATATAACAAAAGGCTGTTTAGAAGTAGTTATATCTAGCTACCTTATCACGTACAAGAAATATATATAAATCGGATATAAAACCCATTATTAAATATTTACTGTGTCAATTCCTTATAAATAGACTCCGTAGTTACTCCGACAAGGTTTCTTACTTGGCGCGCTAAATATCGATGCCCCACGGCTCCGCTTTGAATCTGCCTCTCCTTTTATTCTTCTTTCTTCTCCTTCTACTTCACGATATACCTTTGTTGCACTTCACCAGAGTCTGTGTCGCGTTGTTCCTCTCGATTGTGTCACCTCTAGGGCTCCAACCATGGCTTACAACAAGTCCTACAACCCCGATGCGCTGCCAGCGTAAGTGCATAGTCGATATAGCGAGAGTCTACAGTTCCTTCCTGATTACTGACCTTGGGAATACTACAGTCACGCTGAGCCAGAAGAGGTACAACAATCGTCATACGCCTCATCTTCCTTTTCGTTAACCGTCAATTAGGTCGCGCAGATGTTAGGCAACATGAATGTATCAGGCCAAAGCCACGCTCCGAGCCACGCCCCGAGCCACACCCAGAGCCTCAACCAAAAACCGCTCCCTTCTCGCCCACCACCGCAAACAACTCACAGCAGCGGTGTTCCTCCCCGAGTTCCTGTATCCAGCGCTCCCCCGCAGCACGCATACGCCGCAGCGCCCCCACGCCTTGATCCCCAACCCCACCAGTCCCACTCCCACTCCCACTCCTACAGCGGCCGCTCCTCTTCAGCAAACGCGCCTCCGCCGAGCCAACCCCCAAGCCAGTCTCAGTCTCGACCTCACCCTCTACACCCCTCCCCGCCACCCCAAAACTACGGGTTCGGCCCCCCGCCAGTGCACCCCCAGCGCAACCGGCCCCCGCCCTCATCACGGCCTCCTCAATCGCCCGTCCCACCGCCATTGACAGCACCCAGCGATGACCCCCAACAACTCTTCCCTCTCTTCCGCGCCGCGAACGCATCCCACTCCGGCGCCCTCACAGAAGGGGAGCTTGGCAGCGCGCTCGTGAACGGCGACTACACGTCCTTCCACCCGCGGACAGTCAGGCTGATGATCCGGATGTTCGACCGTGACGGCAGCGGGACAATCAACTTCGACGAGTTCGTCTCGTTGTGGCGGTATCTGGCTGCGTGGCGGGAGCTGTTCGATCGTTTCGACGAGGACCGCAGTGGACGTGTTAGTCAGCCAGAGTTTGAGAAGGCGCTTGTTGCGTTCGGATACCGTCTTAGTGGGAAGTTTATTTCTATTATCTTTGGTGTTTTTGAAGGCAAGGCCAAGCAGATGAGCAATACGCCTAAGGATTCTAGGTCTACTGGTATGAGCTTTGATCTTTTCGTTCAAGCTTGTATTAGTCTGAAGCGTATGACGGATGTCTTTAAGAGATATGATGATGATCGGGATGGGTATATTACTCTGAGCTTTGAAGAAGCTTTGACTGGTAAGTCTTGCTGTTTGTTGTGTGGTTGTCGGGGATCAGTGGCTAACTGGGCGTCGTTTCTACAGAGATTCTTCTATTGCAGGAGTAAAGCATTCTGCTACATTACCATACGTATTATTCTGCTCGACTTTCTTCCTAGTTGTGATGTTCTCACTACACTCTCGCTATCTTCATTATACCCCCAACCCCCCATTTGTTTTTGTCATAGAATTGCCAGGGACGGCATTGGTCATTGCATGTTCATCGAGGAGTTATCGAGTCACAAATATGCTTGGAATATGAATGCATTGAGATCTCCAAAGTATTGGCCATCTTCTCCAAATAAGGCGTACACTCGTCCGTCAAAGTAAAGCCTTATGAGAAGAAGCAAGCCATGGTAAATTCACATGGTCTATCAAGAATATTATTATATTATAGCAGAATCAATGGCTGGATTAACTAGACTGGTTGACTCAATCGGAGTCTTCGGTTTCCCATGAATCGTCATCACTGTCATGATCGGCGTTAAGGTGTGCAAATTCAGGGTCCATCAAAGCCCGCTGCATAAGTAAATCGAAAAGCTGTGGTGGCATTGGACCCATGCTGGGATCTGCTCCTGGTGGATACTCTTCGAACCCCGGTTCTTCGAAATCTTCCTCATAACCAAGATCTTCATCATAATCGAGGTCGAGATCATCGTAATCATCAAATTCAGGTAACTCATATGGCAAGATCTGGAAATTCACTTTGGTTCCTTTGAACATCTCCTTCAGATCGAGGAAACATTGCTCTGGGGTTTTCCCTTGTGGAACACGTTGCCCAGGAAGCTTAATGGGCTGTGTGATGTCGATTGCGAATACCTTGACGTTAGTCAGCTTCGGATAAAAACCATGTTTACAATCTGTCGCAATGTTCTGAGCCAGCTCCCGGACAGATGAGTTGCAGTCGGTGATATGGAGTGTCTCTAACGAGCTGGGTAATTGAGGGTGTGGTGGAAGAGAGGCGTGTGGGATGAGGATGGTTTCGAGGACGGAGAAATCGTGGAATGAGCCGACCTTGACGTGGCTAGAAACGAGTTGCTCGATATTATCAACGTCCGGTAGTTCCATGGCGTACTCGAGGTGGAAGAGCTCAAGGGTGTCTTTATGTAGAAGGACGGCTTCATGGGCCTCCTTAGCGTTGAACTCAGGCACGGTTCCCTCGGGCATGATCCGTCGGTCGTTAGGGTCCAAGCTGAAATTGTTGTAGGTAAAGGTTTTTAGCTTCTTGCACGCTTGCATCAACTTTTTCATGGCGCCAGCATCAATGTGGCAGTGGTGGAAGGCCAGTTCCTGCGTCTCCAATGTTCCAGGGAGCCAGGTAGATGGAAACGATTCGTCGTATAGATCACCGTACTCAAAGGTGGAAAATGTGACCTTGGGAAGGGCGAGGAATTTCTCATAGGAAGCCATGTCGAAGCCGGAAAGTTCATCATCGCTTTCAATCCAGACAGACTCGAGCTTCGACAAAAATTCTGGATTGCGACGGAAAAGCTGGATGAATGGCTGAATCCAAAATTGGCGCGATGGCAGATGTAGCCCACGAAGATTGGGGGTTTTGTTGGCTAGTAATGCTCCGAAAATGCCAAGGTCGGATTTCTCCATGGCCGAAATCCATGTTTCCTCCTGATTACCCAACTGAAGGTCCTTAATTATGCCTTTGAACAGCTCGGAGTCCTCTGCGGAAACAAGTGTGGGACCGCCTGGGTTGAATGGGTGAGGCATGATGGAGACTTGATGCACATGTTTTCCGAGGTCTGGACGACGATAAAGTGTTTTGGTGAACAAGATGGTCGGGCTTGGACCACCGGCCAAACCATCATCAAAAAACTCACGGAAGAGCAAAGGTTGGGCCACCTCACGGAACTTGCGCGAAACTAGGCAAGCATTGCGCAGAGTCTCGGTCCCATCAGGTTCATCATCGTCATATTCGTCGTCATCCAATTCGTTTGCCTTGCCGTCTTTAGCTTTCGTGTTTTGATCCCCGCTCAGGAGGTCGAGATCATCTGGATGGACAAAAAAAGACAGAATGAGATCTAGGAGCTCTATGGGAAGCCCCTCGATGTGTACCATGATTCAAGATGAGGTCCGCACTCAAGATGAGCTGAGTTGAGTGCTAGACCTAAGTCAAGGTCGAAGGTTGAGGAAGGGGATGGCCAGAGAAATTATCTTCACGCGTTATGGCGCGTTAAGACCTATTAGATTATCCTGGAATGGCAGTTAGGGCTAACGGGCTAGGGCTTCATTCCACATGTAGGCCACGCTATACCCTTTTCAGGTCTAGCGCTATCTCTGGCCACTTTTACCCCGCATACAAAGTAGGATATCTCCTGGGACTCCACCACCTTTTGAGCTCCTCGCACTTTCTGTAAGTACGGGATGCTAGCATATCCGCAAGCAAACTGGCTTCCAGGTACGACAAAATTTGTGAGTCATGCTGCGCGCTGCGGGGGTTTGATTGTCGCCCAGAATCCGTGTGGTTTCAGCTTGGCTTATAATAGACGCTTTATCTAATAGAAGTTGCTTGTAATAGGGCTAACAAGGCTGTTACATAGTAGTTCGTCTTAGCTTGTGTAAAGGCCAAATAAAAGGTAACTATACCCAACGCTCAATCGGGGTCAAAGATTGATATTCCCATGTTAGCTTCTCCCATTGGCAGTTGGTTTCTTCCGGTGTTGACTGAGTCCCCATCCCATTTTTCCTATATGGAATAAAGACAGAAAAACTAGATCTGATAGCGGGGTTGGGCGACGAACCAAAGCAAAGATATCGAAGGAAGACACCCAAATTGGGCTTCTTCCAAAGGTTTTACAGGAATGATCGAACTTCCAATATGTGATAAGACTTCGATAAACACAGATACTGAAGGATGATATAGAAGAAAGCATATACAGATGCGGGGTTGATGATACCAATTGTTGGATCATCCCATTGATGCCTGATTGTACAGGCTTGCTTGCTTGCAGACTGCACGGTTTGCTAGTCTCAGGGTATAAATACCCTGCTCTTCATAGATTGAATACACAATGATTCTTCTTCCTCTCTCTCCCCGATCTCTATAACAGAAGCTATAACACCAATAACCCCCTGCTAACGCCAATGGTCCATCTCAACCACATCCACCCGGCCCTAACTATTGCTATAATCAAACAATTTGCCCAATCCCTTTCTTTCATTGGTCTCTTACGTTACACTACGCCTCAGATCGTTCATCCTCTTCGACCCAAGATGCCTGAGTGCGAAACTATGCCCGGAGGATGCAGCATGCAGGTCCGCATAACGACATAGAGCAGAGGATTTACAAGACGGTTCAGCTTTCTAGGTAATACATGTAGTTTTAACTTAATCTGAAGAATACTAGCTCCCCATCCTTGCTGCTTCTCCATGTATAACGTTGCAGCTAAACTTCAACCAGGATCTCGCCGTTTTGTATGATAGGAGCGGCATTCTCGTTGGATGTTTCTACTATGTTGCGGTCAACTACGACAGCCTGACAACCCACCTTCAACCTTGACTACAGCCAAGTTGACATCTGCATCGGTCTCTGATTGGCCCTAGCTGCTAGTATCAATGCGTATAGTACAAGCTTTCGCAATGAGTAGCCTACCTAGGTAACCTTTATGGTAAAACCTACTACGAGTGGCTCAAATCATCCGACACAACTATCCATATACAATTTAGGCAACCGTGAGCCCCCATTGACAGTAATATTCATAATTCGATTATGGAAAGAACGATCCAGGCCTCTGCCAAAATCGTTGACACCGCCATCCTCCAACATCAATGCCTCAAAACCCCTCCACATCTCGACACACTCCTTCGCGCGTCGATGCGTCCCTCGACGTGTCGAATGCGCTTTATAAATACCAAAAGGCGCCTAACCCTAGCCTTTATTTGCTCATCACTTTCTTGGGGCCTCTTTGGGCGACAGCAAAACCTCGGAAATCAGCTGTCACAGACACCCTTGAGAAATTCTCACACTCCGAGCGATCCTTCATGGCTTCTCGGAGGAGGACTTCATTTACGCTTCCCTAAATCCCGACCTTTACTTCCTCTATGCGCAGTCTCCTGGGCCCCTGAAACGTGAAAATTCGGCTATCCAAAACAGGCTCAGCAAAATATACTCCAAGTCCTCGTTCATGGATTCGCCAAAGAAGAAGGCCTTTTCTACTTGCCTCTCCAACACGCGACGTCCGCTTAATTTGATTGCTAGCATCCGTGTTGTACCCTCCACCATTATACAAACAACATACATACCTTTGAGAATCCCGTTACTGTGAGAATCCGAAACTCGATCCCAGATCTGCGCCTCAAGACTCGCCGTTCCCGTCTACAAGTTTGTGGTCACCGAGGCGGCATGCGAGTAACCAAAGCCGCGGTTGCAATTTTCAACCCACATCCTATACGGGTACAATACCTCCCATGTTCCTAAACAGGCCCGGGATACTAGCTTATTGATTGGCTTTAAACACTCTTTCAATTCTCAACAATTCGCATGGTCCCACCGAGCCCCCATCGAAGTTGATTGGTCTGAGAGAATCTATTTCCCAGCTGCATTTCAGGAACTCGCTGGCTCTACACAACTCTTCCAACTACAATTCCATGAGCTCTCCGAATACTCTGCTGCCTTCAAATGTTGGGTCGTGTTAAACATCTACAATGACTCTCATATTTGGCCAGTGCAAGCTGTGATTAAATGGTGGGTCCTGTGTGCCTTCCTTGTGTCGAAATTCATATGACGTATTATCGACAACAGCAACACCGGGGTTTCAGTCAAGCAATGCTTCTGGTACTTAGCATCGCTGGCGGCTGCAGGACAGCCTGTTCAAAATCAAACTCCAACGCATCAGTTGATCGTACATCAGTGACGTCCTCGTTTGTGATGCCTCCGAGCATTCGGACATAGACCAAGCATAGTGCTTTGTCGAAAACCGCAATACTTCGAGCCAAATCTGGCTACTCTGGATCATTTGTCTTCATGGGGTCTTATGTGGTTGTGTGCATGCTTTTCGCCGGCAGCAACAATAACAGCATGTCCTTTTTCACGCCCGTTGAAGTTATCAAAGATATCAAGAACATCACCAAAGCCACTGATGTTCAGATTAAGATGAATGGCCCCGGTGACTAGGAGCTGCCTATCTCTTGTGGTTGAGCGAGTTGATTCTCGGGGCCTGTACTTTGTTATTCTAAGTATTCAAATCTGAGTCCATTGTGATTCTCTTCCGAGCTAGCTCAGGGAAATTCTTTTTTCAAATGACAACCTCTTGTTCTTCACATCGCAAATTTGATTCCATTGTAGATATTCCTCTGAAACAAGTATCTTCTGGCCCTTATACTATGCCTTGGATGGAAATGGTCACTTTAATTCGACAATAAAGAGGGTCACCTTTTAGTTGGTCTGACAGTGCGTTTGTCAGCGTCTGGGGACCTTAGATTAGAAGTACATTTATCCATTTTTGGCGGCTGACAGGTACTCATTTCCTCGTAAAACTGAGATCATGCCTAATCAATGACTCACATCTCAAATCTACGTATCATCTTTTGCAACTGGGGTCATTTTCGGGCATTTCTCTATCAACCGCATTTTCAACTTCATTCCTTTTTTTTCCCATTATATTCTTTGTATGAAATGTCGGAATATATTTACTCTTCTTACATATAGTTTAGTTTCCAGCAACAGCATCTATCTATAAAAACACCTTAAGGTCGGAATCGGCGGTTATTCAAAGGCCGACACCGATGACGATGGATCCACTCCAGGCCTAGGTTCAATTTAAACACTTCGGCTTCGCCCTCCCATCTCTCTAAACCCCGAAAATACGAGATCCGATCTGCTGACCCCTTTTAATATATGTTATATCGGTTTTACCCGTTCTAGCAAACAAAAAAAAAAATTCCGCGATCGGCAAACATTTATCAGCTTGGACGGAACGGGTCTTAACTCCGGTTCTTTCTAGAAAACTTTTCTTCCTTTCTATTTCCCCCAACACATCATGACGAGCGAGCGCCAACCTGACGCCGCGAGCAGTAATACTGATATCGATCAACCCCACGTGGAAAAGCCCCTTGATACACCCGAACAGGAAAATGTGGCAGCCGATCAACCCAACGATGCGGAGAATATGACAGAAAAGACAACGGAGGGTGCGCCTCTAGATCGCGCACCCTCACAGGCGGCAAAGATGGGCAAGAATAAGATCATCGTCGTGATGACAGCGCTATGTGTAAGAAAACCTCCGCGCGGGGCAACGTTCGGGAAGTACGGAAAGCTAATTCGATGTCGCATTCTAGTTGGCTCTATTCTTGGCAGCTTTGGATATGGTACGTGCTGATTTCTTCGACCCCCTTGCTTCGGGCTTTTATTAACGTTGATCACTTGCAGACTATTATTTCCACCGCCCTCCCCACTATCGCCGCGCAGTTTGGTGCCTCCGAGAGCGGTTTCTCATGGATCGCATCGTCATATCTTCTGGCCAATGCCGCCTGTATCCCCCTGTGGGGCAAGATCAGTGATATCTGGGGAAGAAAGTCTATCATTGTCTTGGCAAATGTTGTCTTCCTAGTTGGTAGTTTGATCTGTGCTTTGGCGCATAACATGGCCACAATTATCGCAGGTCGAGCGGTTCAGGGTATTGGTGGTGGTGGGATCATTATCCTGGCTAACATCAGTGTTTCGGATCTCTTCAGTTTGAGGTATGATGGTTTCTTGGTCTGGGGATGGAATGAGGCTAACTTTTATACAGAGATCGTCCCATGTACTATGGTCTTTTCGGTGCAGTCTGGGCCGTCGCAGGCGCTCTTGGTCCTGTTATAGGTGGAGCTTTCACTACAAATGTGTCTTGGCGCTGGTGTTTCTATCTCAACCTTCCCGTTGGAGGTGTCTCGCTTGCTATTCTTGTTCTCTTCCTTCACATTGAATCACCCAAGACTCCATTCTGGGCTGGTATGCGCTGCATTGATTGGACAGGAACATTCTTGATCATTGGTGGAACCCTAATGTTCCTCTTCGGGCTAGAGTTCGGAGGTGTCAACTACCCCTGGGACTCACCCACTGTCATCTGCCTGATTGTCTTCGGTGTGGTCACTTGGGCTCTGGCAATGTTCCTGGAATGGAAGGTTGCTAAGTTCCCGATCATTCCCCCGCGGCTGTTTAACGGGTGGTACAACGTTCTCATCCTGCTGGTTTGTTTCTGCCACGGTTTCACCTTCATCGCGGCTACCTACTTTCTGCCGCTTTACTTCCAAACAGTCCTCCAGTCAACTCCCATCCTGAGTGGTGTGTATGTCTTGCCCCTGGTGCTGTCTCTTGCATTCGGCTCGGCGGCCACGGGTGTCGTTATGAAGAAGACTGGCCGCTTCCGCGAGCTGATTATTGGTGGTATGGCTATGATGGCCCTTGGATTCGGACTTTTCATCGACCTCAAGGCCTACGCTTCATGGCCCCGTATCATCATCTACCAATTAATCGCTGGTGTTGGTATTGGCCCCAACTTCCAGGCACCTTTGGTCGCTTTCCAAGCCAACATCCGTCCCGCCGACATGGCCACGGCAACAGCTACCTTCGGCTTTGTTCGTCAACTTTCCACTTCGATGTCCGTCGTTCTGGGCACCGTCATTTACCAAAACATCATGGGTCAACAATCAGCCAAGCTCATAGCCTCCCTAGGCCCTGAAACTGCTGCGATTGTTACTGCTTCCTTTGGCGGTTCCTCCAAGTCCATCATCAAGAGCCTTACTCCCTCCCAGCGTGAGGTCGTCCTGAGTGCCTACACACATGCCCTGAACCGCATGTGGATCTTCTACACCGCCGTGGCTTGCCTTGGCTTTGTTCTCGCTTTGTTCATCCGCCGTCGTGAGCTGACTCGCCATCACACCATCCAGAAGACGGGTCTTGCTGAACAAGAGCGTGCCCGTCAGGAGCTTATTGACTCTCGGCGCAAGGCTAACTCGAAGCCTGAAAGCGAAGCTTAATGTCTCTTCCCCTCTAGATACCCTCTTACTAATTTCTCCCCTCCATGTGCCTTAGCACACTTTCCTTAAAAGTTAATGCATATTTGTTTAATCAGGTCTTTGTCATTGCAGCCTCAAACACCTCTCACTTGGGTTATCTTGGAGTTGTTCTTTGTTGCTGTTTGCATATGAGTCATGATGCATGTTGAGCCTTTGTGTACAATGAATAAAGCTAATCGCATAAAAATGCATAGAATTGAATTCTATGTGAAGTTTGATCCCTACATGCCTTCTTTATAAGCTATAATTGTCCCTAAGCTCAATACTATAAGTACCTATCCCCAGGTCGGAAGCTTTTGAAAAAGCAGCGCATGTTATATTATATTATCTTATCCCATGAGCATCCAGCAGCCCTCCTATAGCCTGCTTTACACCCAGTATAGGATCTGAACATCCCTAAGCTTATAGCACTGCTCTATGACCCTGGCTTGAGCCATACTCGGGGTGGCGTTCAAATCTTTCTTCATGTCCCTCTTTTCCAATGGTCGAGATTCGTCCTAGAACCACCTGCCAGCCACTTTATTGGGATAGGAGATTTTGAAGACATGCCATATAGAGATGGCCCGGCTTGGACTTATACCGAGGAAATGCTCTATAATTATAAACCCAAATCGCCTAAAAGTAAGTGAGCTATTCAACAAATCTTCACCCCTCTCTCACAGCCATCTGATTTACACCTCTAGAGTTTGGGAATCCCTTTGAGACCTGTTTGTGCCTCAGGCCGATAGGACCTTGCCCCTATATAAGAGTGACCACTCTCTCCATCCTCTCTCCTCTCTTCATCCTCTCTCCTCTCTCTACCCTCTCTCTACCCTCTCTCGGGCGCAACTACCATGCACTGGTGGAAGCCCAACAACTAGCCCTGATGGCAAAGCTGTTTACCGACCTTTGTAAACCCCTGACAAGCAAGTTTACTGGCAGGGATCGGGAATCAAGATTCTGGGCTTGGGGAAGAGGCAGCGATCAGTGAAAGAGTTCTTCCCCAAGATAAGTTCAAATAAAAAGTCAAGGCAAGGCTTTCGCGAGATGGTTTCGGGCGAGGTTGTCTGAATCTTTGCTTGTCGACCAATCCACCCGTTTCTTTCGAATGATTTCTTTATCTTTTACTTCACTGTTATATCCCCTACCTACTTGAAACTCAAGATCCGATGCTGGTTATTTCAGGTCATCAGCAGGCAGTTTTCTCTTGAGCCTCGCTCCCTTTGGATGTTTCTCTCACTTCTCTTTCGATTTTCGGCCACTTCTCTTTCATTCTTCTCTCATTTCTCACTCCTATTCTTCATCAAAGTATACCCATATACTCATGGTACGTCCTGAAAGAATTTTCCCTCTAATATTTTGCTTAAACTGACAATAACTTGACAACTACAGTTCGAACACATGTCACACGTACTCCATTATCCGTGCGCTCTATATACGACACGATGGAAGTTTTCTGTTCATACCAGCATCCATCCACGGGTGCTTGTATTTCTGACAATACCCAGGCAATCCAAGGTGGGAGCTTAGAGCAGTAGCTCCGTCGCACGGAGGCACGAGTTCGTGATTCCGAGAAAACCAAGGATATTGCGAAGAAACGCCGCTATGAAAAATCCAGCCTTGGACATCCAACTGGCGACTATGGGGGCTCTATCGCCAATGTGGAGGCTGTCATACTCCAGGTTGTCGGAATTCGGGCTAGTCAACCTACGCACATTGCCAATCTCGCTGCGGACGATTCTCGCCCTGCGTGAGGGTCCTGGACATCCAAGCGCTCCAGATTCGAAGATCCGGCTTACGAAATATGGGAGTACTGGTCGAAGATTACTTGTGGTTGGATCGAACGACTGTTCGATACAGTCGTTCGATTAAGAAATCATCACCATTCTCGAAGGTGGAGTCGAAACCTTGCAACGTGCGAAGGATCAGGTCATCATCGTCGAGTGCCGCTAGTGACGGCGCATGTTCGAAGACCTGGAAGACCTACAGCGACAGGCCTAGGAAAACCTCACACGAGGACTATGACCAGGACTTCTATATCCTACTGGACTACTGGAAGCCGGCCATAGTGGCTGATCCTACACTCCTTGAACCCCGTTCTGAGGCTTTACCTTGCACTCTTCAGCCTCAGCGACGCTTCCTTCTCTCCATGCCGGTGAATCACTTCCAGAGATCCCTAGCCTCTCTTGTGCACCAGTTTGAGCCGTTACGGATTGACTTCGACGGGTAAAGTCGGGACCGGGAAGACTCAAGTAATCCTGGTACTCTCTGCGACCCTGGCACGGATAGCCGAGAACGCTGGCGTCCCAGATCCAATTACACGGACGGTTCCTACGTCCTTGTTGAGGCCCGGCCAAGAAATACGGAGTTGGGAAGCGGGGACGTTCTCGACCGGGAAAAATTCCACTGCCATCGCGCAGGTGGCGATCGTCAATGCGGCGTGGGAGTCGAAGATGTTCAAGTTTGTGAGCTCCAGGATCGTTCTCTCGACGACACCACCTCCCTCAGCGGGGAGAACAATCCCATTTACATTCAATCCAAGGGAATCACCGGCAAGTCTTATGAGCTGGGATATCAGCAAGTGTGTGAAGCTTCCCCCCAGCGCGTCTTGCAGTTATATATGCATATACACAGGGACGTTCGTCCTCCTGTTGTCGCATGCTTTTGATGGCGAAGCTCGAAGCTATAATAATCTTTGGCTTCAGCACAAACCAGAAGCCGTGCTACACCTCGGATGCACGCTGCTCTTCGGGTACCTTGACGCCCTTAAGTCGCTTTTTCTTCACCATGTCTTCGGGTACTCGTGTTGTTATACCAGGTCCGCCAAATCCTCCTGCTCCATTTTTCGTGGAGGATTCGATCGTGAGAAACCTCCCACGTTCAAGGAACTCCAAGCAATCCCTTGGTTTGACACTAGGGACTTCGGGGTATATGGCAAACTATTCGAAGCGCGATTTAACCAGGCCTCACTGATCTAGAAGGGAGAGGAGTACTCGATTGTCTTACTAAATACGGTGATGGAATCAGGGCGCCTCCCTCATCAGGCCTCTCTGCACTGGCAACTTCGCGGGAAATTAGGTGGAAAGATAAGGCCAAAGCCTATTTTACGTACGATGGGACCCTTGATGAAAAAGGGCCCTACTGGTGTTTTAACTTTGATAATACATGACCCTTTTTGGCATGGAGACATCTCACATCGATACATATGATCAAAAAAGTGCATGACATGCGACTTCCATTTTTTGATGACGCCAAATCATCCTGGCTCATTCCGGTAAAATTCGCCCTTGGTACAGCCCAAGGTAGTCGCCGGTTCAAGTCGTTTGTCGGCTCTTCTTTTCTCGGCATATTCCTTTGCCGCGGCTCCCAGGCTTCTTTCGGCCTTGTTATTTCTTGTGGTGGTATTTGCTCGTGCGATGTCAGGCTCGCGTGATCAACAGCCATCTTGTGTTATATTATCCTTGTCCGCGAGCATCCATCGCTCCTGAAAATACGAGTTCTAGCGCAGGATTTGTGTGAGCATCGCTCAACTCACTGAGATCAGCAAAAGAGTTTCTATAACGATCTAGAAGGCTTCGGTTGTTTGCAGAACTCGGAGCGGAGCACCTGAGGCCCTATACACGGAGTCTGATGTCACAGGGAGTGTACCCTGGTCCCCCCTCCATCCATTTATATTCCTACCACCAGTCCATGATCCTTTTCCTTTACCCTATATCATCATTATATATCCAACTCAGTCGCTATTCACCATCATCATGGCCAGGAAGCGAAAGAAAAAGGCCAAAAGCCTAGAACCCAGTCAGACGCGACTAAACTTTAAGCCTATCTCCCCTAGATCGACCAATAGCCCGCAAGCCGCGGGGGAGCTGGTTCGGGCGGCGCCGAGTAGCCACTCCAGCGTGACCGAAGGATGGATATTTTCGAGTGCCTCCCCACTAATGCTCCACCTACCTCGTGGGTCGGATTTCTCTATCAGGACCAATATAAATCCAACATTCTCCCCACTGTCACGTGTCTGATCACAGGATGCTCCGAGCAAGATATCTTCCAGGAACAGAGGATAATCCACCAATTCCCCTATTTTGCAATTCAAAGGAAACAGCTGGATTCCCATGTATTCACCTGATCAAGCAGTATGAAGACGAATACGAAGACGAAGCAAGAACCTTGGAGGAATTCAGCGGTCTGGTCTGGCAGAATTACACTGCCGTCTTCTCGGTCGAGTTTACTTCCTTATTTTTATCTACATAGATTTTAGCTCTGAATTGAACCATCGGTTATGAATTCTTGACTAGCCACTTAGGTCTGGGATTTTCATCAGTTAGTACATACGCCTGATGCAGGTCTGAACGGCCACTCTCTGTTTTCTTGCAAATTCCTTTCCCCCTTTTCTCTTCCCCTTCCAGTATTTAGGATGCTCAATTAATACGCTCTTTTCTTTGAAAATATCTGGCTGGTAACAGTTTTGGATATCAACGCATGGTCACACAGCGTCGTCAGCGCGGCACCATGCTCATGCGATAGCGTACACTAACACTTTCGTTTTGCGGTTTTCTTTCACTATCGTTCTTGTTGAGATCACATGGTTTCCTCCAGTTACCAACTCTCCACTCTGAATGTTCACCTCCATTTCACTATGCCCTTCGACTTGGCCCTTTCCGTAAGTCCTTCCTGACAGTTCTGCTTGTGCTTCTGCATTTGAATTGCAAGAGGCTTGGGGATCTGGGGTTGTCATGCAGATCGGACTCATTGATTTACTATGAGCAGTATGAAATAAGAGGCCTGGATCTGATACAGAGTGGTCCAGGCCCTGGGGGCAAAGACTACATATGTAGGATTCATATGATCAAGTGACTGACAGGGTTGTCAACGCAAAGCAAAAAATAAGGTCGCAGGGACAAAACAACTTGAAATGGTTGACCTATAAGAAAGTCGGTGTATGCATTGTCTTGCCTCTACCGTATTGACACGTCAGAGGAAGGGTGGGCAAATACACCGGGTCAATTCAGTTGTTGCCCAAGAGTTCGGGGGATCAACAACGCATTGGAACCCCTCGGTTGGTGGATAGTGGATGGGTTTGTCGAAAACAGCTCTGGCACTGACGATCATTATGAAATAGGAGGCTGCATGAAACACGCTAGTGCATGGAAACATCGGGATTGGACATATAATGCTGCACGGCCACCTTCCAAGGTTTGGACTTCAGCTTACGTGTTACTCATGTGAGCCTAAAAAATCTTCCAAGGTTCGAAGGTTCCAGGCTGTGTTCCAAGGTTCCTTCGAAGGTTCGGTCCCTTCGGCATCCTCCGAGAACTTACCAGAGATCTAGCCCACCTAAAAAAACCATCATCCACCTACCTACTCCGGTTCCCCCTCTATTTCTCCCCAACATGGCAGCCCACGTCATCTCTATTACATCATCCGACCTAGATACAACCTATTAGAGGAGACTTGATCTCGATGACTACACTGCCCATTTCACCCGCTGAGCATTGTGGCTTGAAACAAGGTGAAGCAGTGCCACAATTCCACACACTAACCCATTGAACCCTCACCGTACATCCTAGATCACCGTTGGATTCGAGCATATAAATCTTATATTCTACCCAAACTACCAGCTGAACCCTGTTGATTACTTTTGCTTTCGCAGTATCTTTTTACTTGTCCAAAATTTCCCAATCACTGTTTTATATCACGATGGCATGGTCTCCATACAACGTCCCCTCGAACGCTTCCGGTACGCCTGGTCAAGAGCCAAGTGCTAGGGATCTGTATTACCCCTATGGGTCTGTTGTTCATCAGTACCCTCCCACCCTGGCGGCAGAGCCGTCGATGTTCTCTGAGAACTATCATCCGTACAATACTCTCATGCAACACCCCTCCGCACCAATTCGTCCCAGCTTACACATACCTTTCGCATCGGCTCATGCCGACTTGAACTCCCCTAATCACAATACGGTACACCATACCTCGATCGAGATCAATAGACCTAGAGAACCCTTGACCATGGGCTATCTCAGCTCTGGACATAGTACTACGTGCACTACACCATCGGGATCGGGATCATCCACTCCCTCTGTGCAGGAGAGCCCCCAGTCGGGTGTCGGTGGGCATGAAGTCCAGACTATCTTTGGTGGTGGCCGAACACACAGACGGAAGGACGAGTAAGCCATCCCTCTATTGCCAAGCTAGCATATCATCACCACGCTAACATTATCCTCGTCATTGTAGCGAACTTCACGGCACGTACCAATGCTGCTGGAAAGACTGCAAATACCGCGGCATGTTCTCTCGCAAGGGAGTTCTCATGCGCCATATAGAAACACAGCATGTCACACCGCGCTCATTCGACTGCCCCGTGTGTGGAAAGCTCTTCTGTAGACGGGACAATATGACCGAGCACTTGGGGAGAGTTCATTTGGAGCGAGGCTGATGGAAAACTTGAGTTTGTACTGGGCTTGGAGTCACTGGGAGAATGTTGAGTTTGGATTATGATGGATCGGCGTTTAGTTTTGATATTCGATGATACCCGGACAATTTGTGCTTGATTTTCAATGAATATCTTTTGATTGGGAGCAAAAAATAATAGGAAATTTGGCGGGAAGGAGGATAATAATAAATTATCATTTTAGTACTAGTAATAATAGGACAGTCAGCTCATGCAGCTAAACTGCGCCCCATAGTGTGCATATACGAGTCCACGAATGTAGTTCCAAGGTTCTCATCACATGCAATCACACTCGGCGCTTATGCATCGTTGACGCTCATTTTTATAATTTAGATATCCCGGGGTAAATTCGGGAGCGTCCTGCAAAGTTTTTCCCCGGAACCCTAACTTGACGGTAGAAAGTCTCCGACATCAGGAGGATCATTAACATCTCTTCATGCTATGGCTGCAACTAAATTAGAGTCCCTGAAATAGACATGTTGTAATAATATTCGAATATTCCAATATTCCCAACCGCCCCCAAGCGCTAGCCCTATTTAATGCAATGTAGCCCTGAAACCATGATCCCTGTCACATCCATGTTCAACTCAGATGAATAGTTCACGCAGTGAGGCTTTTTTGGATTAATCTACCATTTCTATTATCATAGTCTAACTGCATGATGAAAATGCACAAGGATAAAAGAAACAGGCGCTAAGAGCTTAGAAAAAAAGGAGGAAAGAAGGAAAGAAGCAGTAAGAACGTGCCGATCTCTCGTATATTTCCAGTCAGCCTTGCAACTCGCGTGGTTAATGATCTGCGTTCTCCAGACATGACGTGGCAGCCAAGCAGAGTAAGTTCGTCGTATCGGACAGGAATCGGTTCGTACGCCCAGGTCCCTGGAAATGGGGATAGTGTCCGTACGGAGTATGCATGCTTCAGCTGCTGGCTAATTTTATAACCCATAGGGAAATTCACCCTATACCTCATAGGAACTAGTAACAACCCAGGTTGGGGGTCAAGATCCATTCTACATGTCGATCACTCTTTGCCCCTCATTCCCAATTGCTCTTAGTGTCAATGCTGCATGGATATGGTTGGCTCGGGGCCTGCAGCATTATCATACTTTCAAATTACGATTCCAAATGATCCTTCTGTCGCTTTGGTTTCCACTTTCCGGACCCGAAAACTGAGGAATTAATGACACAGATGATGGGTTCCCTGCAGCAAAGGACCCGGGGAAACTGGTTTGTACGCTCAGCCCGCTTAAAAAAAGCCACGAGTACTGATCTCGTTGTTATTGGTACCACGCTTGTAATGTTGAGCATGGACTTGATGCAGAGAACAAAATCCCTACTTTCTAGAACGTAACACGAGTTTTCTAGAACGTAAGACATGTTTTCTAGAACGAGTCCGGGGGTCAGTCCCAGTAGTTGCATGAGTCTCCGCAAGTCTGATTCCACCCGTTTTTCTTTTCTTTTTTTTCTATTTTCTCTTGCCCGTCTTCTCTTCTATTAAGTAGTGGTGTGTAGTCTCCCTAAGTGCGGCTTTTAGTGACAGTTGGCCTGCCTTGTGCCTGAATCACATCGACTCGGATTTTATAAATACTCCCCGGCCCTTTATCGGGCTCAAAGAAATATCCTTCTAACAGCCCACTTAGCATTCCTGTGACTTGTCTCTATCTTCTCAACGCTCACTCTCTACATCCAGGTCGGTGATTCTACACATGATGGCGTGGCCAACACGCAACAACAACTCAATTATCCCGGAGTCCGCGTTTCCGTGGACTAATGCCGAGTCGGAGAATTGGAGAACCGAGTATCTCAAACAGCCCGAGACTCTTTTCATGCCCCCGTCCCCTGATTCCTCGACCACCTCGAGGCCGCCCACCGCTCGACCTCCTTCATACAACTATCAGCTGCAGCTTCCATCCGCGCCGCTTCCCTACACACAGTTCCCCTCTACAGAATTCCCCTCTACTCCGATTGCCCTTGGCACAATGCTGTCCCCCACTCCTTCCTCGTCGTACCTAGACCCAAGCACCTTCAGGCGGTCCATCAACAACCACAGCCCAAGATCCGTTCCAACCCAAGCAACAAACACCGTACTCTCCCCGGCAAGCCTCTACGACACCAGATGTCCCAGTCCTTGGGATGATCTTCCCGTCTCGACACCCATAATAAAAGAGACACTTCCGTCGGATGAGGCGAGCAAGGAGCCTAGCGAGACCAAAAGGCCGTGTCGGTCTCGTGGCCGTGCAGCCAAAAGAAAGTGTGTATTTTCTCTTTTTATTCTTTTCCTAAGACTATTGTAGTCATTGTACACATATGCTGAACGCAATTCGTCTAGGGACAACGATAATTACGGAACCTTCAAATGCGAATGGAAGGGCTGCCAATATGACCGTCTGTTCTCGCGCAAAGGAGTCCTCATGCGGCACATCCAGACTCAGCATGTCAATCCACGGGCTTTCAAGTGCCCCTGGTGTGACCATGCTTCGAGTCGACGGGAGAACTTGAAAGCGCATAGACAATCGATTCACAAGGAAACGCTGTAAGATCCATGGTGGAATGTGTTGGTGTTGGGGGTTTAGGATTTGGGATACCTGGTCTGCTTTTATATACACGGGAATATATACTTCGGCTAGAGTGGAGTTCGGTTCGGATTTTATGTTGCAATATATATATGTATCCGTTTTTGCTGATGACTTTATGGGACAATTCAAGATGGAGAATAACATGTGGGAATCGAAATTGGAGTAACATGGAACATAGGAAACCGATATATACTTGAAAGAGAAAAAAGAGTGCCCCCTGGTGTTGTGAAGGTGGTTGACGATATGGGGAGGCGGATCCACACCACAACCTGGGGAACCAGGCCGAATAAGGCCGCACAGGGTCTATGGGTGCTAGAGCTATAGTTAATTTTAATGTATTACGGCCGAGGTCTGTTTATCTTGCTGTTGCCATGGGAGTATAATTTATGTTCGCAAAACATGCATGCCATGGTATATTGGAGCCAGAGCAAAGAAATGCAATTTCTTCTTAAACAAAAGACGGAAGACAGACGCACGAAGAAGCGGATCGATTGACCGGTCTGTTGAAATTTGAAATGGTATGGAATTTGGTGCGTTTAAGCGTCAGATACACAATGGGAGAAGTGACGCTGCGCGACCAGACACATCATGCTCGCCAATTGTAAGAACAAGGAGAAATATCGAGACGAAGCTCGTTCCCAGTATCTTGGGACCGACACAGCTATGAAAGTGTAAATTTTTTTTGATTCGTAGGGCTTTGTTGGCCCTGCCTTCTCCCACGAATAAAACGTTATCAACCCGCCAACTCCATCACCTCAAATCAACATCGGCTCGTTCCGTCGACTTTTCCTTGCCTGACCGACCGTCTGTGCGAAGAAGGGAATCGCCCACTGAAAACAACACAGAGAATCCGTTTAGATGTTGGAGGGGTAGAGCATAACGCGGACGGTAGCGCCGAGGGACTTGGGGGGAGGTTGTTGCGGAACTTGGCGCGCACAACACCGGAGTTGCCTGGAACGAGTCAGATAAACGAAATTCGAGTTCGAGGGTTTCCAGACCCAGAGGACCATTCGGAGATGGCCTTGGGACTGGTTGTTGAATTCACGTACCGTGTGGCCGAGTGACCTTGCCCCAGATCACCCGAATGTTGGAGCCGCGGACCTCACGCTTAGCACGGTAAACGAAAGCGACCTTCTTGCCGAGGTAGAACTTGGCAGACTTGGTGTCATCAACACCCTCGATCTTGACCAAGCTGTATAACCATATATCAGATTCCATTCATCGAGTATTCAATTTCATGTGCGCAGGGTGTAGATACCTGGTGTTGGGAGTGAGGGCGTGCTTGGAGCGCTGGAAGCTCAGGTGACGTCCCCTGTGAAAAGAAACTCGTATTAATTCTCTGTCCATATCGTTTGTTGCTTCGATTTGAGTGGCGATATATTGTGTCCCCCAAATCGGTCCTCCATGTCGAATTGGTGTATCCTTAAATGCGACGATGAAAGTGCAGTGGTAACTTACTTGACGTAGACTAGAAAAAGAAGAAATAGTTAGCACATGTCTTTTATCCAGTGTGCGACCGCACAAGGTGCCTGCTCGAGACGCGGCATTGCGATTTCAAGACCGCCAAAACGACGATCGATAAGACATTCGAGGGATTCACTCACGGCGGTGTCCTTGTTCCGAAGGCATTTTGTCGGCTTTTCTGTGGGGAGCGGGCAAGGAAAGAAAGTCGAAGGAATGACCCGCAAGATCAGAAGTCGTTCCCGTTTGTCGTGGTTGTCGTCGCTTCGATAGAGTCAGGCGCACAATCAATTTGGGCAGCCGTGTGGTGGTTTTCGCCCTAGCCCAAACGGGATCTTAGCGAGCCACAGTCCACGTGACACTTCAGGGCTAAGCGAGATCCCGTGATAGCCACACCGCCCCTCATCTTACATCAGCGATTAGATAGGCAGAATCTGAGATGAGATAAGCTTTTGTTTGTTTCTCCGATCCGAGGCTGGCGGTCATTTACCGATCACTTACCGCCCTACTTTATTTTTTTCTGCCAGTCGGGCTACTGTAGTCCGAGTCCAAGCCTCCAAGTCTGCAGCTGACAAACCTAAGCCATGACGACAGGGGTTCCAACCTTCTAAAGTTGGAAGGTTTCACTCAAAAAAAAAGCAATGTGCAAGGGCTATCGTCGGCAGGTCTGGGCAGTGAATGATTGGTTTTAGCAATCCTCGCCAGCTTCCTTCAGAACATAGAACAATCAACATCTTCAAAGAATAACCACAGTGACATGATCCGGGTAGCATTCCGGTGCATGGTATACTTCAGACCGAGACTACTTATTGGGAAATCTAGAAGTTCCTGTATCCTGCCCCACATCCTGGCTGTCGGGATAACTGATTACATTTGAGACCGGTTATGTATCTATGGATGTATGTATTCATCAAAACTTGGGGCACTTTCCAAGAGGATTCGTACGAGAGACCTCAGGAACCAGACTAGCGTAGAGCATAGATAGGGTCGTATAGTATAACTATAGTATGTACTCCGTAGTATAGCCCCCATGTAACACTTAACGGTTAATAGTTATGTATGCTCCGGATTCGGACCCTCGAATCGTGCCTAGGTAGATCGGGTTAATAATACCAGTCTCAAACCGGACTTAAGAAAGTGGTCTCTCGCGGGAAAATAGAATCCGTCTGGGACAAAATGACAAATGTGCCGATCCATCCCCACGATTGGGTTCACCGGTAGAAGTTCTTATCGAGTTGCGTGCTCGAGGTACGTGGTATTGTACCTGTTCTTGCAGGTTCGGTACTTTAATTTGATACACTCTCTGAGGGGATTTTAGTGGACACACTGCAACGTTCTCGATGTGATGGCTTGTTATTCCAATGCTCCGCTTTGCACACATGTGCATACTAGGAGTACAGCTGACCGCAAAGCTATCCATAATATAACCAGTACTCCCTATACAACATTGGACATTTTTATGGACACGTAACACTCTACAATCAAATTTAGCCTGTTTTGTGTAGTGTGATCCGCACCTATATGTAATCTCTTATCAGATGACCTTCCTAGTTTCTTCTCTCTGAAAGAGACCCGCGGAGCTGTTTTTGGACCAAGAACAAGCGACATGCTCACATCGGACAACATTGACAATTGATCCGATGGACTTTGTATCACCCCGAGCCCAAGTCCCAACCCAGTTATAAGCAGCGCTGATAGCCCCCGGTGGTAGCCTGCGCGGGGTTGTTGATAATCAAAACGGGTAAGATCCCGTGGGATCCTAGAGTGGCCCAAAGTTCCAAGGTCGATGACAAAGGGTGATCATTAAGATCGGACTTAAGAAATACTTGATATAAGAAAGTTGACCGGAATTTGCCACGAGGCCAAGAGCAGGTCTCAAGGCCGATAAAACAATATGCAGCAAAAGAGAAACAAAATATTATATTACTAGTAGACTATAAGTAAAAGATAAAATAAAACAAAAAACAAATTAACAAAACAAAAAAAAAGTCATAAATACCTTAAAGTCATAAAATACATACAATACCCTGCAAAAGCCCCACCAGCCGAAGCTGTGAGCGACTTCCGTTAAAAAGTACTCCGCCGGATCCTGTTGGAGTTCTCAACAATCTTCCTCTTCTTTTTTCTTTTCCAAACTCGCTCAACTTTTCTTCTTCATTTTGTGTATTAAGCGGTTGGTGCAAGATGACTAGTGTGATCAACCAGACCGATGACCGCCAGGGTGCTGGGTGAGTCCCCCTCCTGTATCTCTGACATCACTCCCTTCCCCCCGGTTGCGGAAGCCCACCGGCTGCCTCCAGCTCAATTCAACCTCGACCTATTCCCAATATTGTGCTATTTTGGATGTTATTCCTTCATCCCAATAATAGTCAATCCTTTCCTTGAACGTTTTCGCACACTTTCTCTACTTAGAGAGCTCCCCCGCTCAACCCCTCAATTGCCGCGTCAAATTCAGAATTCTTTCTCGGTCAATTAAGCACAACACTAACAATGGATATCGCATTCAGCACCATCGAACTTAAGGATGATACCATCATCGTGGTACTAGGCGCATCTGGTGATCTGGCGAAGAAGAAGACCGTTCGTACCCCTCCAACCCGGATGCTATGACGCTTGACATACTAACCAATTTTATAGTTCCCTGCACTCTTTGGCCTTGTATGTGCTATTTCTACTGACCATTCTAGTTCTCATCCACTAACAATTTTGGTATAGTTCCGCAACAAATTCCTTCCCAAGGACATTCGGATCGTCGGATATGCGCGCACAAAGATGGACACCGAGGAATACCTCAAGCGCGTTCGCTCGTACATCAAGGTCCCCACAAAGGAGATTGAAGATCAATTAGATCAGTTCTGCAAGATGTGCACCTACGTTTCCGGCCAATATGATCAAGATGATTCGTTCATCAACCTGAACAAGCACCTTGAGGAGATCGAGAACAACCGCCAATCGAAGGAGCAGAACCGCGTGTTCTACATGGCACTGCCGCCCAGTGTCTTCACCACTGTTTCCGAGCAGCTGAAGCGCAACTGCTACCCCAAGAGCGGTCTCGCTCGCATTATTGTGAGTTTCTCTGGACAGCCTGGCCCAAAACGAACTCCATATTGATACAACCTATTCTTTTTAATAGGTCGAGAAGCCCTTTGGTAAGGACCTACAGAGCTCGCGCGACCTCCAGAAGGCTTTGGAGCCCAACTGGAAGGAGGAGGAGATCTTCCGTATCGATCACTACCTTGGAAAGGAGATGGTCAAGAACATCCTAATTCTGCGATTCGGCAACGAGTTCTTCAACGCCACATGGAACCGTCGCCACATTGATAACGTTCAGGTATGTGATGAAGCGATCTCATTCCGGAATTCGAGTTCTAATATCGGCTGCAGATTACATTCAAGGAGCCTTTCGGCACTGAGGGCCGTGGTGGCTACTTCGATGAGTTCGGTATTATCCGTGATGTTATGCAGAACCGTAAGTATATTCAATTGCACTGACTAGATGTAGAAAACATGCTAACAATCTAATAGACCTCCTGCAGGTTCTCACATTGCTCGCCATGGAGCGCCCGATTTCCTTCTCTTCCGAGGATATCCGTGACGAAAAGGTCCGTGTTCTCCGCGCCATGGATGCTATTGAGCCCAAGAATGTCATCATCGGCCAGTACGGACGCTCCCTCGACGGCAGCAAGCCCGGTTACCTGGAGGACGATACTGTGCCTAAGGAGTCGCGTTGCCCGACTTTCTGCGCGATGGTTGCATACATTAAGAACGAGCGTTGGGACGGCGTTCCCTTCATTCTCAAGGCCGGAAAGGCCTTGAACGAGCAGAAGACTGAGGTCCGCATCCAGTTCAAGGATGTCACTTCCGGTATCTTCAAGGACATCCCCCGTAACGAGCTTGTCATCCGTGTCCAGCCCAATGAGTCCGTCTATATCAAGATGAACTCCAAGCTGCCCGGTCTCTCCATGCAGACGGTGGTTACCGAGCTGGACTTGACCTACCGCCGCCGCTTCTCCGACCTCAAGATCCCCGAGGCCTACGAGTCCCTGATTTTGGATGCCTTCAAGGGCGACCACTCCAACTTCGTCCGTGACGACGAGTTGGATGCCAGCTGGCGCATCTTCACTCCCCTCCTGCACTACCTGGATGACAACAAGGAGATCATCCCCATGGAGTACCCCTACGGTGAGTTTACCCCATTTTTTTCTACTCTCCCAACCATGACACGTAGCTAATTTGCATTGATATAGGCTCCCGTGGACCCGCCGTCCTTGATGACTTCACTGCTTCATACGGCTACAAATTCAGCGACGCCGCTGGCTACCAGTGGCCCGTCACTACCTCGGCCCCCAACCGGCTGTAGGTCTTCGGAGTATAGCTGTTTACGATGATTATGGGAAGCGGATTCGGGATACAAAGGAATTAAAAACTCTATTTTCTGACTCTGGTTGGTTGGTTGGCCGGCAGGCAGGAGTCGCGTCATACTGTGATACTTAGGTTTTCGAGACCAATTCAAAAATTAGGATTGGATGCGACGCACGCAATGAAAGATACTTACGCCCTTATTTTGTCGGCTATGTGGTGGATATTGTCCCTTTATCTTGGGAGTTGCTACAATAATCAGCTATCATCCACCATGTTTCTATCTGTTTTTGTTTTGCTTGACAATATTTGCGGAGTAAAAAAAAAGCCCTGGAGCAAAAGTACTTTCCTAATCAGGCAAGCTATGGTATCGAACCATAGCCCCTATAGAGTTTGCCGAGTGCACGTACATCATGTCCCGTGTCTACAATTCCCCTGTGTTTCTATAATTGGCTCACAGGGCTTGGATTACGTCATCACACGTGGCCAATCAGCACAAAAGGGTCCATCACTAGAGGCTGACATAAGGCTGGGCTCCAGCCCTGGCTGCAGCCCTGGCTGCAAACAACATACTTAGGAGTGCTTGAAACCTAATGCATTTAGAGTGAGAAACCAACCCGTACACAGACAACAAATAAAGGCCATAGCCGACCCTGGCTGTCAGGAGAAAAGCCGGATCGGCATAAGGGTTCCAGGGCTGGCGGGTCCCTCGTAAATTAAATAAATCGATAAGGCCGGGGGCCCGCATGGAGGCGCTCAGGCCAACGCTGATTTTCTCTCCTTCTTCTTCGACTTTGACAACGGTCTCCTCTCTTAGAATTCCCATAGGCGCCTTTTGACAAGCGCATAGATACCCGTCGACACCTCCGTCGCAACCCACCCACCCTCTCCCCACTCCGCGCCGTCAACAAACGACGAACACCAGGTGTGCCGTGCACAGTTTCGGCCCCCGCGAGCTCCCCCGACGGCTCCGAAAGAGCACGCGACTCAATTCCCCGAAAGGATTAGACACTTACCGGCCCCTTTCTCAATCCCGGAACACATCCCTGGACCTGCCAGATCACACGCTGTATTGTCCGACTCTGAATTGCGCGTCTCTTCCGGACAGGCGTTTTTGACTTTCGAATCGGTCACTGGCTACGCCGCCACCAGCGCCGCCGCCGATCTTGGTTTAGGTTCATAAGCGTGGAAAACTGAGTGCATGCTAGCACGTGGATAATTAGGATGCCGCAGGCTGCGAGGTGGGCGGGGACGCCCTCCATCAAGGGCCGAAATGAGTCCACCAGGATGGCGCTTTTGACGTTTAGTTTGGTGGGATTGCAGTGCGTATCACCCCTCTCTGTTTTGTCGCTTGGGTATTGGGGGTTAGACTGTGCGATACTGTCTAGCTTGTCCTTTCTTTTTGGAGAACAATTGGAGGATTCAAGGGATTATTGTGTTGTGTCTGTGACTGACTTTGTGTTTTCCTTGAAAACAGGTTCACATGGGGTACTGAGATGACTTGTAAGAGCTATCCACATTCCAAATGGTCTCCATTGGGACTGTTAAGGGATATGATCGCTGACTTGATTTGCTTTCTTGTTAGATTGTACACCCTACCTTCTTCAGCTCGGTTTGACGAAGTCTAAGACTTCGCTGGTGTGGATTGCTGGCCCGTTATCTGGGTTGATTATCCAGCCTCTTATTGGAGTTATTGCTGATCGGTCACGATCGAAATGGGGTCGACGCAGACCTTTCATGGTCTATGGATCGCTTGTTGTCGCTTTCTGTCTGCTTGTCTTGGGGTGGACGAAAGAGATTGTTGGTTTATTTGTTAAAGATCCGGAAAAGGTACGTATCCTGTTTATTGGAACACTCACTTGGCTAGGTCAATGGTTATGTGGAAGCTAATATTGATTTTCTACAGGCTAAGAATGGCACAATTGCCCTGGCTGTAGTGAGTATTTATGCTGTGGATTTCTCCATCAACGTTGGTAAGTGGCACACTCGCGTGTACCTTAATTGAAGGTGGCTTACAATGTCTTAGTTCAAGCGTGCTGTCGCGGTCTGATTGTGGATACGCTACCGATTCCATCGCAACAAGCTGGATCCGCATGGGGTATGGCGTCCCCGTATGTCTCAGCCTCAAAACACACTGACCTTTCTTGTAGCCGGGAGAATGTCTGCCATTGGCCAGCTCTTTGCTTATGTGGTTGGTGCCATCGATACCGTTAGCATCTTTGGTACTTTCCTCGGAGATACGCAGTTCAAGCAGATGACAGTGATCGCTGCTTTGTCATTGATGTTGGCAGTGGCAATCACCTCGTACTCGGTAAAAGAGCGAGTTCTGATATCCGCAAGGTGAGTCGAGCTCAAACCAATACTCATTGCCATCAACTAATATTTTGTGATAACAGGGATGACGGAAGTGCTGGTGCTTTTCAGGTCCTCTCTCAGCTGTTCAAAACTACTTTCGAGCTGCCGCCTCGCATCCAAGCAATTTGCTGGGCCCAATTTTGGGCTTGGATTGGTATGGGAAATTCCGCACCTGTTGGGAAATCAACAATGCTAACATTAAGTAGGCTGGTTCCCTTTCCTCTTCTACAGCACAACCTGGGTTGGTGAAACCTACTTCCGTTACGAAGTACCGAAAGACGATAGGGCCAAAGCAACAGATATGCTTGGTGAAGTCGGCCGCGTGGGCAGTCTTTCATTAACGGTCTTCTCATCTATCACAGTCCTCAGCTCTGTACTCCTACCCTTTTGTATCATGCAACCGGATACCAAGCGGACACGATTCACCGCACGACCTCCACCAAAGGTCGCAGCCGTTCTCAAAGCCATCACCGCAATTCGACCCGACCTCCAAACCGCCTGGTTGATCTCCCACATCATGTTTGCCGCCACAATGATCTTCGCCCCTCTAGCGCACTCCCGCGCATTCGCAACCTTCCTAGTAGCGGTGTGCGGTATTCCCTGGGCAATCAGTGGCTGGGCTCCATTCGCCTTTATGGGCGTGGAAATCAACAAACTAACAATGGGCGGCTATTCCCCCGTGGTACCATCTTCACGATCCGGCGTGACAATGATCACCTCAGCAAGTCTGCGCAACTCCGCCGCCGACACCGAGCTGGATGTTCTCCGACTGAACCACCACGATCCCACCGACAGCGACACCGACGAGGAGGAACACGCATCCAACATCCCATCAACAGGCGAACTCGCCGGCATCTACCTGGGCGTGCTGAATGTGTACACGACACTTCCCCAATTTGTCGGCACCTTCATCAGCTGGATTGTCTTCAGTATCCTCGAACCGGGCGCAGAGCCCGCATCTGACAACAGTTCAGATACGTGGATGAACCTGGACAAAAATAAGTATAACGCCATCTCTATCTGTCTCTTCATCGGAGCAATAAGCGCGCTCGTGGCGGCTGAGGCTACCCGGAGACTGCGGTATATACTATGAGCAAGCAGTCCAGAGCGAAAGCTGCGAAATTACGATCCGTTGCGATGAATAGTTATTGATTTTTGCTCGATACCCGGTGTATATTGCATGCGAGCCTTGTCTTGACTACGGTTGGGATTTTTTGTTTGTGCGCACACACACTTTAGACAGTCTACATGTACAGTGAGCTGGGCCCTTCATCTGTCTCCCCAAAAGGAGTTTTGTCATTTTTTCTTTTTGGTTTGGCATCTACACTTACATAATACATAATACATGCCTACCTAGGTAGCTATAGGTACTATATTTCCTCTGCCATATAGGGCCTTCAATGTTCCTACCTAGGTATCTTCAAAGGTTAGCTACCGCGTTATACTATGCAAGGCTCACGGCGTAAATTTCTGTCAGGGCTCGGACTGCCTAGGTGATCTCCCATTTTGCCCTATAATACTGTTTATTTCGTGGTCTACCTTTCTTTAGCCTTCACTTCTCACCATCCTGAGTGCCAAGATTAATCCTTGCCCTACATGTGAAGGGAAACCTGGGAAGTACCGGATCACGAAACGATCGGATAACCTGAGATTATTTACTTTATTCCTTCGTGTTCCAACCCGTATTTTAAATACTAAAACTTTCTAGTAATATCTAGTAGTAGCTACTATGAACTATGCACACATGTATTCCAAGGTTATGTAAAAAAATGTCTCACTTTAAATACACTCTACCCTGTCAGGTGAGCGATAAAATACGCGAGAGGGCTTGTTAGCGACTTTTTACTAGTAGCTACCATCCTACTACGGAGTAGTAGATTGATTAATCCTTGCTAGCAGAGAATGCCTAACAACCTAACAGGTTAGCCCCTTGTATTTTTGCCTCTACTAGTAAGAGACCTTCTATTAGTGACCACTAAGAACTAGGCAGTAACCATCTATTAGTAGTTACTAGTAAGCCAAACTCACCTGACAACCTGACAACCTGACGACCCCCCTATTCCAAGAGCTCAAATAACCAACTCAATCAGCAAAATGGTTTCAGAATTATGGTAAGTAAAGCTTGTGGACCCCAGGCCTTTTATCTGATCTATACTCACTGAATCCTCTCTTAGTCCTGTCTATGCCGTGAGTTCGCCCTCGTAGCTGCTTCGAACATGACAACCGAAGCATCAAGTAAAGCTTATGCCCTCGTCCCTCACCATATTTAAACCCAATGCCCCGATTTTAGATTTAAGTGGCTAACTTTAAGACCCTTAGCCATTTTTTGGCTCTATGGGCTGCGTCAGCGCAATTGTCTTCACCTGCTTCGGTGCTGCCTATGGAACCGCTAAGTCCGGCGTTGGCGTTTGCTCGATGGCTGTCTTGCGACCCGACTTAGTTGTAAAAAGTATGTCACCACGTCCGAGTCAATTTCATTACTTAAGAATGCGACACTAATCCAGACGTGGTTCAATAGACATAGTTCCGGTCGTGATGGCTGGTATCATCGGGATCTACGGCTTAGTCGTTGCCGTTCTTGTCGCAAATGATCTGAAGCAGACTCTCGCCTTATATACAGGCTTGATGCAGTTGTGTACGGGTCTCTCCGTCGGCCTTACCGGCTTAGCATCTGGGTAAGTTGCATAACAAATAAGTCCCGAGATATAGCTGAGATGATTTTTAGTTTCGCGATTGGCGTCGTTGGTGATGCCGGAGTTCGTGGAACGGCTCAGCAGCCAAGACTGTATGTCGGCATGATTCTGATACTCATCTTCGCTGAAGTTCTTGGTAAGATCGAAATCATATCTTCTGGAAATATGCAGATTGAGAAGCTAATACGTGTATAAGGCCTGTACGGTCTAATCGTCGCTCTTCTTATGAACTCGCAAGCGAAACAAGGTGTCATGCCATGCAAATGAAAGTTCTTTGTCACGGACATGGCATCGGAAATAGTGAACTTTTGTGTCCGTACATACATACGTACTTATAGAGAGAGTCTATATGTATAGTGAACTGGACCCTTCGTCTGTCTCCCCAAAAATTTTCTTTTGGGTTGGCATCTGCACATACATAATACAAACCTATCTAGGTAGCTATAGGTACCATATTTCCTCTGCCAGATGGGGATTTCCTATCTTCAAATATTAACTGCCGCTTTTATGAGGCTCACGGAGTAAATTTCAGTCAGGGCTCGGACTGCCCAGGTGACCTGAGGTCACCTGCCCGGCAACGCTCACTGATTACTCAGAAATTGGTCAGAGGCATCTATGGATTCCCAAAAGAGTACATTACCCTATAAGACTGTCCATTTTGGGATTCACCTTTTTTTTGGCCTCATTTCTCACCGTCCTGAGTGCCAACTAATTTTTGCCCGAACTATGTTTAAAGGGGGACCTCGGAAGTACCGGCCACGAGGAAGTTGACAGGTCAGAAACGGGGGGAAACGGGGGGATAACCTCAGGTTATTCCTTCACGTTTCAACCTGAAGAAAGGCGTTCGTTATATGGTTTTCAAACATTAAGGTGTGACGAATGTGGCGTTCAAGATCAGATCTATACATAGTATTTATGAACCCGGTATTCGTATTTACATGGGATTTGATATGTTAGGCTCGCTCCATATGTACACATAATGGGGCACCACCACATAAGCTGATTTTCAACCGTTGCCTGACACTAGTTACTTTGCACAATAATAGGTATCTCGGCACTCTGGACATTGATAATTGAACCTGAACCCCAGGACCTATGTGCTGGCTCGGCCCCTGTACCGGAGAACCTCAACCAGGATCGGATTGCTGGGCCCAAAACTGACTTGAATATGTTTACACGTAGGTATGAACCGTCTCTTCTTTATCTGAACACTAAGGCACAGCTTCCAGGTAATTTTCTCTCTATTATAATTGATTTCATTAAGATACCACGAAAAATTCTGATAGAAGCCTCCGGATTTCCTAGACGAGTAGGCAGTCAGTCCTGTTGCAAGAAAAGCCTGGACAATAAAAAAAATAAAAAGGATAATTAAAGTGAATTTAAACACAAGCAAGATGTGAATAGCTAGAGGGAAATAAAAGATAAGCTGGGGATAACTGAAACTGGGAGTGATTCATCGTCAACGGTGCATGTTCGAACAATCCACTACTGTGTACAACATAGCAAGATACATTCAAGGTCAGAACAACAGGGCTGGCAGCCAATCTGAGTCGGATCTGTTCCGCGAACCTGCGTCTGTTTTTCTTCTTTTTGTTTTTCTCAACTCTAATACTCTAATACACAAACTTGAAAGCTCCGCGTAATCACGTGTAATCACGCGTAATCCCCCAAATGCTTGGCGTAGGTGCTCTCGATCGGAACCGGGTGCGTTCATCCATCGTGATTGGTCCACGCCCGCGCGCGAGGGCTCCACCAAGCTTCATAGCCTCCTTTTCCTTCCATCCAAGCCTCCAAAGGAAAGGAGAGGCTTCCAGGTCTCCAAAGGAAAGGAGAGATCAACGCTTGAATACTACGCTTGGATCAATTGAGTCCCCTTTTGGAGTTATATGCAAATCTCCTCCATACACTGGTTCATCTCAACAATGAGCCTGGCGTATTTTTACAGTCATGGATTATTTAAAGCTCCCAATGCTTTCCACTTGGAATTCTCTTCTAGTACAGATATCTCAATTACACTTGCACAGTATCTCTTTTCTTCTTTCCGTTGCTCATTATGGTATACACTTCGCACCTCGAAGAATATTTGAGGCTACGCCAAATATTTCAACTTAGAAGTGAGCAACCCAATCACCATCCCGGGGCTTCTGCTATGCAACCACCTGCCTCTGAGGTCGGACAGCCACCTCTACCTTCTGCAGATTGGTCTCCTTACGACCCTTCTATGAACCATGCCTCCGCGTCTCTTGAGTCCAACTGGACTATGCAGACACAACCACCTGCATCTGCGGTCGGACAGCGACCTGTACACTCCGCGGGTTTGTCTCCTTATGACCCTTCAATGAGCCATGCCTTCGCGTCTCTTGACCCCAACTGGACTACGCATACCACCATGGTACACTCCCCAGTGGACAATCAGGGTAACATGCAGTCTTCCTCGACCGGGCAGTACAGAGCCACTGAGGTTGGAACGGAAGACCACCTCGACCCCGGTCAAACCACAATCCGGATCCAGTCCTCGACACCGAGTCCCTCCACCCAGGAAACATCTCCACCAAACCAGCACGATATTGAAGTTGCTGGCGTGGAAGCAACCTCTGTTCATCATGAACCCCAGGAACGAGAGTGAGTCATATGTCCTCATTCTTCCCACTTCGTCATTAACAGTCTTCCTTCTATATCAGTTCCGAAGGCGGTTTAAAATGCCTCTGGGTGGGCTGTACACGCCGCGAGACGTTTAGCAGCCATGCATCGTTGTGGCGCCATATCAGGGTACAGCATGTCGCCTATCGCTCCATCCGGTGCCCGGAATGTGGTCAGACCTTCGGTCGCGTGGATAATATGAAAGAGCACCGGGGAAGACGTCATAGGATATTTGACTGAGATTGATGCTGGCGATGCTGAGCTTTGGAGTTTTTCTTTTTACGTATATGACGGGGAACGACGGAAAGTGCTGGGAGCTTGAGAAGGGTTTTAGCAAATAGATCATTTCAATGTTATATTGAAGTCTGTAATTTGTAGAGTGAGGTAAAACCAAACCATCAAAATATGGTAGCCCCACCAGTCCCGTTCCCGCTATCCGGAGTATCCATCTCGATCCATGCCGAGAGCTTTAAACGAGAGCATGGCAAGACACATGGATGTCCACATAAAAGAGGGGTTAGGGGCCATATACATAGAAGAGAAGTGCACGTGATATGACTAGCGTGTTGTCTGGGTCTATTCCATTTCAGTCCAAGAGGTGCTCGCGCGAGGCTGTAGGGGTTGAATGCAAAAATTAGAATCCAAATATTTTATTTTAGGTGCCTTTTCTATACGATACGTATAAAAAATGTACTTCAAAATTAGTATCTTTTCCCATGCAGCCCAAAGCCCCGTTGGGAGTAATTCTTTATATGGAGGGAGACTATATGGACATCGGGAGACTTGTGTGTGTGCATGTTGGATATGACATCACCCCATAGATAAGTCGAGCTGACCTCTGCCTCTGGAGCTGCCCGATTTCTGCACGAGGGAGCCTTTCCCAGCGAGAAACCTCATTGCCCCCCGAGGTGGAGTGGCATGGATTGATAATCCACAATGGACCCTAGTGGGTCAGTGACGGGATAGTGATATATGGTGATGCAGATCGCCCCAAGTGGAGGGAATGCAATATAAAAAGCCCAGAGCCACCCTTCACCCTCTGTTCAATTAAAAAAGAAACAATAAACACAATCAACTTATTCCTACATTTTCATGAATATTCCCATATACAAAAACCCACTTAAAATGACACCCAAAGTCCTCATCGTCATCACCTCCCACGACAAGCTCGGCGCCACCGGCAATCCAACTGGCTGGTATCTGGTATGCAACCCCAATTACAGCTTCAATTGAACATCAAACATCTACATTTTCTATTCTCTTCTTACAATAAACCAATTACACATCAAATCCTGAATCCTGAATCCATAACTAACCATCCATCCCAAGCCCGAATTCGCCCATCCATGGGAAGTTCTCCACGACAAGGTCTCCCTAAGCATCGCCTCCCCAAAAGGCGGCGAAGCACCCCTAGACCCAGCCTCAGTCAAGATGTACGAGTCAGACGAGGTAGCTCAGAAGTTCCTGAAAGAACAAAAAGCCCTGTGGACGAATACGCATAAGTTGGCGGATATACTCCCGCGCGCGGCTGAGTTCGATGTTGTTTTCTATGTTGGTGGTCATGGACGTGAGTTGCCCACCTCCCTTCCCTTACCTCCCGTTCCTTTTTCCAGCTGTACTTGTGTCATCCGTGTCATCCCATCTATACAAATTCCATCCTCTAACGAAACAATGGATCCATCCAGCAATATTCGACCTAACCACAGACCCGACCTCGTTAGCTCTAATCCAGACCTTCGCCACAGCCAACAAGCCCGTTGCGGCCGTCTGCCACGGTCCCTGCGTTCTGCTAAATGCAACTGCTCCCTCCGGCGTGCCACTTATCTCCGGCGTTGGCGTGACGGGATTCTCGAATGACGAGGAGGATGCTGTGGGTCTGTCGTCTGCGATGCCGTTTTTGCTGGAAACCGAGTTGGGCCGTGTTACCGGTGGGAAGTATGTTAAGGCTGCGGAGCCTTGGGGGGAGATGGTTGTTGTTGGGAAGGCGGCTGGGACGGAGTCGACTATTATCACTGGTCAGAACCCTGGGTCGGCGACAGGGGTTGGGAAGGAGATTTTGAAGATTTTGGGGTTGTAGTTCTATGTGACTACAGCTCGGGTCATCGATGAACTCAGCGCTCAAGATGTCAAACAAGAAATAGGACAGATATGGCCCCGCTAGGCCCTAAACAAAGTACCTTGATTTTCGTTATGGTCTAGTGGTAAAATACGCCGAATTTTCTTTCAAATTAGATCCTCCATAGTCGGTCGTCACAGGGTGTATCAGTAACTCGTGATATATCATATCTGTACTATACCACGCTGTGCCACTCGAAGATTTCATCATGCTAGGTATCTTCGCCTAAAGAGAGCACAAAAGGCTGTCAGGTGAAGGGAGCTTCGGATCATCTCGGGTTTGAAGGAGGATGGGAACGGGAATATTGAACACACCATGCAGCGGATGTATGAATATGGTTCAATGAAGAATCTATAGTCAAGAATTTCAAACAAGCATGACCGGTTTTGTCTGTCTCCAAACTTTAATTGTGGCTCTAGACTTCTTCGACCCGACTAGACTTGGCGACGTTTGAATATAACAGCTGGATTTTGGGTGATAATAAGAGCATCATCATAATGACGATTTGAACGATTCACAAAGCCAAATAAATAACATAACATCCACTGACTACTTTTACTTATCATTAGAGGCGTTTATCTGTTCCTCGGTGTTCTGTCAAACGCCACTCTTGTACCATTTAATTGATTTACGAAAGATGCTTCGATGTGCTATATGATCTAGATGCATTAATTTAACTAAGTAGTGAGTCATTGACATGTAAATAGATCGTTTCTAGATGATCTATATAGCGCACTGTAGTATATCTAAAGGCGCTAATTACTCTATTTTAAGGTAGAAAATCCTCCGATTTCCTCTTAAATACTCCGTATCTTTAATTCATCAATCTGCCAAAGCAACAGATTACCGTGTTTTCACTTTCTTAAGAAACTTTTATATCAAATATGAAGCGCTCTTTCTTAATCTACATTTTTATTTTTGGAATGGTTTCCGGTATTGAATTTCCAAAATGCAGGAGGCAGAGTGACGAATGTGTCATCGCATGTCCTCATAATCAATGTAGACCGGGCTATGTTTGCTGTACAACCGATTGCGTGAGTACATGCTATACGCGGGACAAGCCCCTATTAAATCCACCACATATAAGCTAATAAGACATGAACTTAGGGAGGGCGAATCTGCGAACCAATAGAACCAATAGAACCACCAGAATAGCCAGCCTTATTGCAAACAAAAGTGGTTTATATTTGTGAATGCAGCTCTTCTCGAAGCTTGAATAATCGTCGCACCTATATGATTCCCACAATTCTATGTGGAATCACCTCAAACAGAAACACGGTGCTATTGTTGATTGCATTCTCCGCTCTTAAGAAGCCCGGCTCACTGAAGCTAGTATATTGAGTCATTTTCAGGTAGAGCCGAAGGACTTCTGATGATCATTGAAAATTGACTTAGTGATAATCGAAATCGATTATATAGCTTATCATCTTATGTGGTTCCCGGAAAATAGCCCTAGCAGCCTTGCCAAAGACTTAGTTTGCTCCTATACTCTACCTCGTCAGATCGGCCTAACATTCAAAGAGGAGTGTAAGGTCAATTAGGCTGAGAAAGCCCAAAAGATACACTGATATCCGACCGGTTAAAATCTCGTAGGACGCGTATATGTCATATTCTACCCGCCCAACCCGCCAGCCACAAGCTCAGGATCTATATTCACCCAAGATGCCTAGTGTGGGCAAAATAATTTGGTCTAATGAAACATACTAGAAATGGAGGCTCTTGGCAGTAAATCTTAGAACAAAGTAGATTGTTCTAGACGGGATAGGCTGCTAGTCTAGACTCGCAACCCAACGCAGGTTTACTTCGCTGACGGGTTCACTAAGAACCTTTGAAGCTCGCGGGCCAATTACACAGAGCTGCCTTCGGGTTATCTGTTCACCACTATTCACCTGAGGTTCATGTGGCAAAAATGTACCGTCAGAATGACGAGCTAGAATAAATCTTGTATAAATCAAGATCTTCTTTTTATATAAAGAAGGCGAGGCTTGATATTTTCGGCATGAAAGAGGTCGATTATAGTGTATCATTTTCTTCGGAAAAAGAATCTTTTTGGAGCAGAATCTTTTTGATAAGGAAACCTCAACTATGAATTTGCTCAAGACCATCCCAATAATACTATACCTTTGTCTCGAAAATCTTCTTATCTTACCCTGCCACGCGCAAGGAGATGTTTCCGGCACGGTCGGAACTGGCGGAGCCTGTAAGGGGAGCCAGATTTCAACCAACAATGTCCAAAACTGCCAGTGTGACACGAATCAAAGACCACCTTGCAAAAGCTGCGACTTGAAGTCTTGCGCAAGTCACACTCATAGCGGGCTCGATACTTGTTACGTGGGCTGTACCGACGCGAACAGATTATGTGATTCATGCTATCTTTGGTTCGATCAATTATGTGTTTGTTTACAAACTGGATGTCCGACACGAAAATCGACATCCACAAATTCTGAATGGGTGTTGATGAATGGGAAATTGGGACTCTTAGTGACGACAACGGAGCTGATGCCAGGAATTCGAGAACTATGGGTCGAGGATCCCTGGACATGGGGACAAGAAAAATGGAAACGAGGTTCTGAAGCGTTGGCTATCAACTCGGTGCGCACGCGCAGCCAAGAGCAGATTCATATGCATATCTGCAGCGTCAACGACGACGCACAAAAATGGTTAACCAACTTAGATCATACCAAGTATCAGACTATGACGAAGATCCCTGGAAGGGACTGGCAGTGCCGAGTTGGGCAACAACCGGGCGACTCAGTGCATGATATGACAGATCTGACCCAAAGGGCGCTGTTCAGCGGCAGTTGGTGCCCGGATTTCATTGGAGCTGCCGTGATTGTGGACAACAAAGATCGAATATGGGCATGCTTGACGACAGATGAGAAGGACACAACCGAGTTCGTCTTTTGTCATTGATTCCAAACTTGGAAGAGGTTTTTTTTTTGGATATTGTGAGGGAAGTGCCCTATATTATCTAAATAACTGTAGTATCTCCTTTTACGCGACTGTAGGGCGCAAAATCAAGGCCCATTCAGTGTCTTGTAATTAAAGTCCAAAAACTATTGACGGGCTCAGATGGAAATAATACTTGGCGCGAAAGCTACGTTGAATAAGATTGCTTATTATGGAAGATATGTGGCACCAACGCGCGCATCTAGTTTTGTTCAGAGTACTTCATACTGAACATATGTCATTAACCGACGAATGCTTAAATCGAGGTTAGCCATATCCGGTTTAGCACAGCATGTGATTAGGGTTTGAAAACGCTCCTCTGTGCTGTCCGACATAAGAAGGCGAAAGCGGTCGCTACTGTAATAAACCGAAAGATTGCTCGATCTAGAACCGACTACACTTGCAACATACGCAATTCGGTACTATCTGTTTGACTTCGTATTTATGGCGCATATATCTCTCCCTTACCATGACTTTCGACCTTTTTCGCCCAAACTGCCACGACGTTTCAGGGCTTATAGCGTGCGTCAGCGCGCGTCCCCCCGTACAACTTTGTGCCCTGAAACGAACGAAGTGAGAGAAAGGGAATAGTCAACACGGATGTACGTGCGCGCGAGACTGTTGCAATAAGACGTGGCTAAAGTATATATGGATTGTTTTGCCACGCACGTTCATCATTCGCTCTGTTGTCCCTCGATTTATTGCAACGCTATGCCGTTTATCACCACAATCATTTCCTCATAGTACGTTGTCTCTCCAGTTTAAATGCCTCTCGTGTTTATCACGTCGTTCTAAAATGTCATCTAATCGGCCTTGTTATTTGACCGCCAAATGCGTCTATCTACAATTATCCAACCGCAGCGCCACTTTACGCCTCTGCCTCGGTGGTACACCCTTTCGATCGGAAGTCCGCTAATAATTATGATTGACAGAAATAAATTCTCTCTTGATTTTCGCAGCGTAGCCCCCCTTCCCAACTCTAAATCGGATTCTTTTCTAGAGGTGGCAGATGAATATTCTTTCCATCACCCTTGCTGATTTCTATGGTTTCCAAATCAATATCGTGTAGTAGGCGCATCTAAAGTGGAATCACGATTTATCTGTTAGCCTATATGCACTCTCTTCCATAGTGTTAAACGGGCATTGTTATACAGAGGATGGTGGTAATCAGCGAGGAAATCTCGACTTACATTAATAGCACATTGACCATATCTGAACTTTGGATTTACCGACTTGTTATAAACATTGGCACCACAGATTCCGCAAAAGAATATCTGTATGGTATGCGAGCCGAACCGATATTCCTATATTATATTGGTCATTGGTCTTTGCAATTGCGTAGGTGATTCAAACCTTAAGAAATTTTGTCCCTTCCTGAATTTCCATATCATCCACGAACGCAAGCAGACTACCTGAAATGTGACAATAGCTACCTAGAACGGCTTTTTAGTCTGGGCAGTCAATCGCAACATAGTACCAGTTCGCAGGGCAGGTAATATAAGCTTGTAGGGGGCATTGTGCATATGCGTACATACAATTGCACGAGACTACTTTCAATTGCGACAGTGAAGACGGTAGTTTTGCAGAGAAACACACAGCTTTACAATGGCAATTCCCCCCGTAAAAGACTTCCGTAGAATGGTCCATAGAATCCTGTGTCTCAGGATATTTAGAGGTAGGCATTGCCTAAATGTCAATTTCTGTGAGGCAGGTCTCTTTTTGCCGTACTTGAATTGTACTGGAGCAAGATCAGATTTGAGAGCTGGGTGTTATAAGTGCGCCAGAAGAGAATTGAATGATTGTGAAGTAATTGACTTGATCAAAGCCATGATTGAGAACCCAATTATGTATAAGCTGTGGAGCCAACATTGTTGGGAAGTGCTATTCACCATTCACCACCTGTTGAGACTGAACGGGACTCGGCTTGATTAATAAACCGACTTGGTGATAGATAACCAGATACCTAACTTGAAAGGCTGGTCAAGTAGTTACATAATCAAGTAAAATGATGAGTGATCACCCCGAGCCGAGGTTATCAGTCAAACTTTATTAGCGTGCATCAACTGAACTCTTCTCTTACATGTACTTTCCTGTCTCTTGATCGTTTCAGGGCCGATGCGCGCGACGCGCGCGTCTTCCAGTTGTATACAGGGGTTTGGGAGAGTTACCACATTTAGACTAGCGTGTTTCAAGATAAGGTTCGGGAAACAATGCGCGAGTGAACTTCGGGGAATCTGTTTTCGAATATGACAGTACCTCTCCTTCTTCACTCGGAATAGTAAGATTCCGATCATATAACATGTTATAATAAGTTTGAGCTACTAGCTCTAGAGAGTCGTTATTATCTATAGGAGGAGAGTCGAAAGAGATCAAATCCTTAATGAACTATATACTATACCCTTCAGGAGGGGCGGGCGCACTTATATTGTTGATAAAATAGTTCTGAACTGATTCGTATAGAGGGGTCAGGAAAATGGCAGAATTATTTTCGTACAATAAGAAAAGAAAGTAGTTTAGAACTAGTTCAAATTAAGCGGTATCCGGTGACCTGAGCGCTAAGTTCATCGATGACCCGAGCTGTGTTCTGTAGTTCTATATAGTTAGGGGTTTGAATTACATTGTAGATAGGGAAAAATGTGAGATTACGGTCGTGTTATTTGAATAACGAAGTTTGCCATTAGTATATTATTCTGGTTTTGATTGTATGCTTGAAATAAGTAGTAGTTCGATATTACATAGTACTTCAATTCAAAGACATAAAGCGATTCCATATTGGTAGCGAAACCAGAATCAATAGCAGTAGCGAAAGGGGAATAGAGCAAGAGACGGACACAAAAAAAAAACAGCAGCCCAGATTCGATAGATGGGAAGGAAATAAACCAAGACCAGAGGATATCTGTCCAGTCGAAGATCGAAGACCGGAGAAGGGTCAAGAAAGATTTGAAAGAAAAGAGAAAATAAACAGATGTCGCAACCAAAAAAAGAATCCATCAATCGTATCGCAGTATTCGTCGGTCTGTCCATCTCCAGAATGTGGATATGGGGACCGAACAAGGTCGTTCATCGGACCGCGTTCAATAAGCAAACACGACCAATGTCTGGTCGGGAGAAGGGTATACGATTAACAAAAGACACATTCTGTATCATCATAGCGAATAGAGAGCCAGCGAAAAATGATCAGGAAGAATTAACAAAGGAAAAGTGGTATGGGGAGGTCGAAGGCTAGCGCCTTTTTCCATCCTCCACGTTGCCGGTTAGCTCAGCCACTCGGGCCTTGATGCGGGCGACACGGGCCTCGATGGCTGTGAAAACAACTGTTAGTATGGGGTCGGTTTTTGGGGAATGAAATTACTACTCACTCTCTTCTCCACTAGTATCTCCGTCGTCGGTGCGCTCCGACTGGCTAGTTCGGGTGTTGGCCTCGGTCTCGTGCTCGTGTGCCTGTTCCTCTTGGGCAGCGGCAGTCCGCTGGGCAGCAGCCTCCCGAATCGCCTTCCAGCGATCCTGTGCAGCTTCGGTTGACTCGGGCGAAGTGGCGGTCTCAGGGCGGACACCATTGCCGTTAGTCGGGGTCTGGGGAACCTCGGTCTTCTGTGCTGCAAATGTGGCGTCCACGGGAGAATCCTCAGGGACGAAAGCAGGCTGGTCACTCAGTGGGCCCTGGTCGAACTTGGAGAACTCCTGATCGGCTGCGTCGCGTTCATTGGTACCAACGCGCGAGAGAGCATCATACTCGACGGCGCGTCTAGTCTTGGGCGGCGCACCGTTCTCTTTCAGAGAGGCGGAGGGTTGAGTCGAGGTTGGGGGTATTGCCACAGGTTCCTTGACGGTCGGTTGAACACCCTGTGGCGACGAGGGCTTTTCCAGCTTGGTAGCCACAGGCGTAACCGCGACAGCGGCGCCGTTCGGAAGAGGCTTCTTCTTCACGGGACCGGACTCCTGAGCTGCTTTCGCCTTGGCCTCGAGGGCTGCACGAGTAGCTGCCACATTGGAAATTTCCTTGAAATCAGCGTTCTTCACGGGAGTCTGTTGCTGTTCGGGCTTCTTTTTGGCACTAAACATGCTCTTAAAGGCAGAATTGCCCGTCTTCTTCTTCAGCTTCTTGCCCATCTCGTCCACCGAGTCCCGAGGCTCAGTGGGTTGTTCAACAACGGCAGGCTTTGTGATGGGCTTCTCCTCTTCGGGAGCGGCGACATTGACAGGTTTAGCTGGCGCTTCTTTAGGAGAAGGGGGAAGAGGTGTGGACACAGCAGCGGCAGCTTCTTTGGGAAGTGGCGGGAGAGCACTCTTTGTAGCGTTGGTTGGAAGAGGGGCCAACGGTGCGGTAGGCTTCTCCTCGGGGTCCTTCGAGATCGGCTTGGGTGTGTCCTCGAGTTCTTCAAGATGACCTGTGCCAGCGCGGTTGTCGCTGAGATATGCTGCCCTGAAGGCACCCTTGTCGTAGTTCTTTGTCCACTTCATGGCCTGGGAGGCCTCGTTCACAATCGCAGGCTGAAGCGTCATGACGGAGTTGGTCTTGGAATAACGGTTATTATTGGGAGTGACACGGTTCTCTTTCGCCTCCGCTTCTTGCTCACGGTGCTTCTTTTGCAGAGCGGCCGCAGCTTCCTGGATCCGCTTGTGCTGATCCGGTCCGATGCTGGTCTTGCTTTGCGTTCCCTGGTTGTTAGGCCGCTTGTATGAGTCTTCAATCGAAGGCACCTTCTTGGCCGATGACTTGCGGCGGCTGAGCTTTCCCCTACGGCTACCGAAGCTGAAGAATCGCTTCTTCTCGACAATCTGAGCACCGGCCTCAGGCTCTGGGGCAGCACCCTTGATCTGCTCTTCAAGGATCAGCCATTTGGTATCCCGGATTCTGGTCTCCAGAAGCGCGCATCGACCAAACACAGCCTTGCGGATGGACGGCTCATCGCCAGACAAACTGCTGATCCAAACCCACCAAAACGAGTCATCCATGTCTAGAGTGGTGATACTCGCCAACTCGGCAGGCTCGAGAGCCGGCTCGATATCCAAGGAGCGCTTGTGCGACTGAGAGCTCATGCCACGTGCAGAGGCAATGGGAGGCAGCACCTTGTCAGGAGGCAAGAGCAGAGGACCCACGTGGTTCTTCAATTTGTTTTCGTCCGCAAATCCGGATGACATGAAGTCTGCCCACGAGGGGGTGGTGGGACGTCCAAGGTCACCTGTTCCAGATTGAGGAACAGATTTCAAGCCCCCCGCAGATCCACTCTTTGAGGTCATTCCAGTCGCCGGCGGAGCGGCTTCCTTGGCTTCATCCTCCGGGTCAGAGTCGATCGAACCACCGAACCCAATATCCTCGAAGCGAGACCAGGATGCATCCCGTAAACTGGTGGACTGTTTGGTGCTCGAGACGCTGGATTGGTTCGCAGATGAGATACATCTGAGAACACGGAGACACTCGTCGGTCAATGCGCTAACGGGGTCTTCGTAGTTGGCAAACTCCTGCAGGTGCCAGTCATCATCGCGGTATTCAAAGTTCTTGGCGCGTCGCAACAAGGAAAATGGCGTCGGGGAAACATTTTCCACAATCATAACCACCTTTGTAGTCGTCACTTGCAACAAAGTCGGGGTTTCAGGGGGGTATTCGGTCGCTTCAACGAGCGATTGGAGAGAAATTGGTAGCGATGAGATGCCGCTCACGCCGCGAGGGACATCGGGAGCCAACGACCGAAGGTAGGCGAAGAACAAGTGACTCGTAGCATCGGCAGCACTAGAGATTGATGTTAGAATATCATCTGGAAATATCAGATCAATGGAAGTCCATACACAGCCCAGTTCTTATAGGCCGCCTCGAAGCCATTGCCTGTATCGACATGCTCAAACGCCCACCATCCAGCATATCGGGAAAGCTTGCGGCCTCCCAAGCCATTGGATTTTCCATGGGCCGCAATGGCAGCCAAAAGATCGAAGAAGTCTACAATAATATTGGTGCGTGCATCGGAATCGCCGCCGATCGGAATGAAAGTCGAGAAAGCGTCGCGGGCCATATCCGAATCTAATGTTCCATCAGCGCGTATATTCCCCGCATTCCATTCAATATCGCGTACCATGTTCACCCATCTTGAAGGTCTCGTAGGCCTCCCAAGTGACAACACCACCAGGAAGTCTGCTCCAGCACCATTTCATCACACCACAAAGAACCTATTCATAGAAATGACGTTAGTGACCCCCCTGATAACTCGCGGGAAGACATTATCCCTCACCATCGGCTCAGTGAGCCGGAGCTCCTGCGACAAGACATCTCCGTTGACGGGCGAGCCCTTTTCGAAGGACTGGTTAAAGTAATTGCGAATGAACGTGCGAGCTGCACTGGGGTCGGAACTAGGACGGAACGGTAGGAGGAGGAATGGCGTGTCGAGAGCTGCAGCGACGAATGATCAGCAATCCGAACAATGGCCCGTATTCCACGGTCAAGATATCAATCCACCACCTACCTCGGGCCTTGAGCTCATGCACACACCCTCGTACAAGGTCTTGGACTTCTTCCGGCGCGACCTCTGTCCGCTGCCACGCATCGGTCCATTTGGGCTTCGCGGGGGCCGTGTTGACCGCGGTAGGCTTGACCTGCTTCTTTGTCGCAGTGGAGTCTTTGCCCCGGAACACCCGAGAAAAGAAGGACATGTCGGAAATGCGACCACTGATAATTGACTTTGCGTGTCAGAAAACGGACTGTGGGGGATATTCAGGGTCCGCTTTTTTTTTTTTTTTTTTTTGCTTCTATTAATCAACAACAGATTAGTTGGAGTTTCAAATGGCAGCAATGCAGACAACCGACACGTTAATTAGACCGAGTGAATAGTTAAAACGTCTAGGCGTGTCCGGGATGTCCTGCAGCCCCGGTAACAGCAGGACAAAGTAAAAGGATCCCTGGTCTGGGATCTGTCTGTGCTTCTCAAAGTGGAAACCACACAAGAAACCTCAGAAAGAAAAGAAGAGAAAGGAAAGGAAAGCGAAATGGTTGGGAGTGAAAGAAAAAAAAAAAAACGAAGCAATTCACAAGCTCAGGGGTAAACCAAACTTAACCTTTACCCGCAAAGTCTCGACTCCGTTAGATGCCTGCCCAGGTGCCCAGGTGCCTCCACACAAAGATTCCAACGTTTAATTTTTTTTTATAAAATTGGATGATATGAACTTCTTAGACTTGTTGAACTGTGGGATTGAAATGAATGATCCCAACAATGATCATCTTTTTGATCTGGGTTTGGGGAGTCCAAGGTTATGTATACGGCCTATTGACATATTCTATTGGAGGAACGGTCATTCAGACGTGTCGATATGACTACCTAGGTAGGTATATTATTTCCCTGCCCAATCTCGGGTCAAGTTATGCCTGAACCAATCAGTTGGAACAAAACGATGTAAGGACATACTTGACATATGAGTACCTACCTATACATCAATGTTTACTTCAACTTAATCTCAATTGTGGCTTTGAGAGCAGATAGAGATCTGGCGCTTGACTCTTATAGGGAGATAGGGTTGTATCACGGGCGCATGGCGTATAGCCTGGATAGCCTGGATAGTCTGGATAGTCTGGATAGTCTGGAAATATAAATCTGACATCTTTTCTGTGGATCTTTAATCTACCTCTAGTATATTGGTGAGCTTCCCCGGGTTGACATCATAGACCCATCCCTCCTGAGGATCTGAAAGAATATATATCAGAACAGCTTCAATAAACTAAACTTATCCAATAGGATCTGGAGGGGAAGACTCCACTGTGACAAGCCACTGCATGGTTAAGACTAACTAGACTTAGTAGTAGTACTTTGTAAGTGTGCTAAGGTCATACATTCATGCTGAGACCAAAAAGATAAATATAGAATCCCGGCGCCTAAGGCCCTGATGACTCAGCGAGCAAATCTTCTCAGGTTCTCCAGGGCTCCCTCGATTCTATCTTTAGAATCAACCTTTCCTGCATCGTCAATCATCCTTTCTCCGCTCCCATCATTTACTTCGGTTTTGGCTTTGTCTTGTTCCTTTGTTTGCACTTAACCTTCCCCATCTCCTCGGGTTCACTTCTGTTTGAACTCCGAGGGGTCTTACATTGTTCTCAAGTCGCGTCCAGCCCCCTCATCAAGTATCTACAGGGTTTCCATTGAAACACCTGGTTTCGGATCCCTCTTTTGACTAGTCACACCATCCTTCAGATATTCTCGTGCGGAGACGAAGATTCTTCACATACCCACGTGTGCCACCGTGTGGCTAGGATCGCCATCGCGTCGATTCTGTATCTTGGGTAATTAAATAAAATCGCGCGAGGTATCTCGCAAGTCGCTCCGCGACTAGCTGCACCTTTTATTCTCAATCTTGCTATCGGTGCGCGATTGGTGCGCCTATAGCCACCCATCATGGGTCGGAGAAAGATTGAGATCAAGGCCATCAAAGATGATCGCAATCGCTCAGTGTAAGTTAATCATCCCAGTCGAGAGTATTCTAGTCGCTGATCGGAGCTTATTCGGCTATAGCACGTTCCTGAAACGAAAGGGAGGTCTGTTCAAGAAGGCGCATGAGCTTGCTGTCCTCTGCTCCGTTGACGTAGCTGTCATTATTTTTGGCCACAACAAGAAACTATACGAGTACTCATCATGCGACATGCATGATGCTCTTGGTCGCTATCAATATGTGAGTAGAACTTTCTTTGATTCATCCCGAAAATCTCTAACTGGTAATTCTTTTCCAGTTTGGCCCTCCCCACGAGCATAAAGGTCCGGAAGATTTCGCAGGCAAGCGAGATGACGATGATGAGGAAGATGAGGCCTCACCGGCTCCCGAGGACATCCAAGCAGTTCAGCAGAACCACCCCGCCATTCCCCCTCACCTCCAAAACCAGCCCGCCTTCCAGCACATGAATCATGCACCCTCCGCGTCACCCCCTATCCATCATGCCATGACACGTCATGGCACCCCGCAACCGCAAGGCACCTCGCGTCCCTCTTCAAGGAATCATATCCGCAGAGTCAGTTCAAACTTAGGTCCGCAGCAACATGGTACACCTCCACCGCCGCCGCCCCCTGGCCCTCAAAATGGCGGGTTTACGTATATGCCCAATCCGTCGATGTACAATCCAAATGTTCATGCAATGAACCAACAACCTCGACCGGGACAGTTTGCGCACTATGGACACCCGCCGGGACAACACCAAGGGACGCCTCCTATGCACCCGCACGGTTTGCCGCCTCAGCAAATGCCGCCACAGCACCAGGGCCAACAGCATTTCCAACAACACGGCCATCCCGTAGGAATGCCTTCGGGGCCCCACCAACATGTGCAGCAGGCATATATGCAGGAACATGGGAGAAATTCGATGCCTCCAGGGTTCGCGCCTGATGGTCACCAAGAACGGCCTGCCTCGGAGCACCCCCAAGATGATTCTTCGGGTGCGATGAAAGCAGAGCACAGCCAGTCGCCACCCCAAATGAAGTCGCTCTCGAAATCACGGAGTATTTTCACGCCTATTGATGATCGAGGATCAGTGCTCGCCCGCCATTTTGGAGCTGGAGCGGGATCATATGAATCTCACAATAACCATTCTCTCAAGGTCGAATCACTACCACAAGCTTCGCTTGGTTCCAAATCAATGCCTGTCAGAGCTGCGACGGAGGCTCCTCGAGTAGGGGCGATTGCTTCGACGCCAAAAATCAAACCACCATCCCGAACTAACAGCGGACCGTTGCCATCAAAACGACCGCAGTTGAAGGTGCAGATTCCTAGCGAAACCTCCGATGGTGGCAGTGCCACGGCCGATTCGTCACGCGATTCCGCTGGGAATAAAACCTCCACGCCTGCGAAGGGAAGTGCCGAAAATGGCCTCCCGGGCGTGGTCTTACCCCCTCCGTCGCCATCAGCCGGTGCAATACTAAGTGCAGGAGCCCAAGGGCCTCCAAATCCGTTCGCGCGACCGCCCCCTCCCGTTTCCACAACGCGAAACGACTCTTACGGCAGCAATAGCGGAAATCCGAACAATGCAAATAACTCGAATAATATCGAAACGCCCATATCCGCCCTACCGAGTCGCTTTGTATCCGATGCACTCCTCCCGTCACCTTCCAGCTTCTTCCCCGAATGGGGCTTTGGCCGGTCAGGCCCAGACTCCAACATGCTGCCCAGTCCCCTCACCTTCCCGACTCCGGCAGTGCAAAGCGGTCCCAGCTTTTCTCGAGAAGACGAACAAGACAAGAAGAGAAAAAGCCCCGACAGTGGTGGATCCGCAGGGGAAGGTACACATAAAAAGCCGAAAACCTGATGATGCTTGGCTTCCCTCGGGGAATTTGTCCCCATACTGTAAAGTGCTGGCATTTTGATCAAGAAACTGTCCCCTGTGGACATACAATCTCACTTTCTTGTCAATATCCCATAACCTTTTCTGCCTTTGCCCCGGGGGCATTTGAATGTCTCCATTTCTAGTTCGATCAAGCTTCGCAGTTATGTATCCTCTCTATACCCCGGTTATTGTCATTCCTTTTCTTTCGCCATTTTCCTTCTGTCTTATTTCTTTCCAATGACGTTTCTCACGTGGATCTTGAAGTGATATACTCCAGTGCTGTCTTGTGTCAACTTTCACCTTCATTTATTTCTTATCTCTTGATTCTTTAATCTCGCGTTTTGGTAGAGACCGGGTGTTGGGGTCTGTTTTGACTGTTTTGACTGCTTTGACTCTTGGATGATGTACATAAAGCAGGTTCTTGTTTCTAGGAATGATGCCAATCTTTTTTTCTGCCTGCCCATCTCGATTCCAGCCTTTCCAGACTATTAAGCAGTAAACTTACCATTTACCTGATTGAGGACTAAACCCCCCACTTCGGTGTTCGACCGGAGAGACCAAACACCGAAACGTGACGCCAACGGACACGGGCAAGTATAAAAGGGCTAACCAACCCCGCTTTTTGGACTTTGATTCCACCAAGGTGTTTCTTCACGCATACTATACATACTACATATCCTGAATTCGAAATGACTTTCACTGGAAGCTGCATGTGTGGCGGTGTTACTTACGCCGTCGAAGGTAAACATACATCAATTGGTAGAAACCATATACTTCCAAAGCTAACAACATACTAGCTGACTCGTATCTCGCCGCCCTATGCCACTGCACCGACTGCCAGAAGGTGAAACACAAGACTTATATACCAATGAACCTTGAACATATTCTCTAATACTTTGGCAAATAGTGGTCCGGTGGTGCATTTACCTCCAATGCCGTCGTTCCCCGCACCAGTGTTAAAGTGACAAAGGGTGAATCTACCCCCCGCACCACGATCGACTTCTTAATTCCTGACTCAACACTTCTACACAGGTACCCCTAATTCCTACGACGCAGTTGGAGACAGTGGAAAGGTCAATAAGCACTTCTTCTGCCCGACCTGTGGCTCAAGTCTCTACACAGAGCTGGAGATCATGCCCGACATGACTTGCGTCAAGGCTGGAACCCTTGATGGCGGCGAGGCGAATCTCAAAGGAAAGGTTAATGTCGAGTTCTATGTTAAGGATCGTCCGGCTTATCTTGCTGCTGTTGAGGGTGCTAAGCAGGAGCAATTGCTTGGTTGAGTGGTCTGACATTGATAAGTCAAGGAAATTGATCAAAACATGGTTTATATTTGAGAAGAACAAATTCAAACAAATTTTATCATCCATATGCCTCACTTGAGACTCTCCACAAAAGTCCCCAATGTTTGTTCGACCATCTGGCCTCCTGAGAGCTATTTAAGCTCCCAAATTCCTAATCATACACTCCTCCTCCTCATCCCCATCCTCTTCCATTCCTAATCGACCAACCATAAACCATGTCATCCCTCAACATAACTCTACGCGGCCACCACAGTGCCCGTCGCTTCCCAGAGCGAGCAATGATCCACCTCACCATAGAATCATCCGGAGAGTCCGAAGAGAGCGTCTCAAACGAAGTCGCCTCGACCTGCAACAGCCTGCGAGAAATCCTGGAAATCCTATGTCCCAGAGAAGAAGACGGAACCCCAACACGCGAAGCCGCAGTCTCAAGTATCTCCTCCAGCCACATCCACATCACATCCAAAACCCCAAATGCATACGACCCAATGGGAAATGTCATCGATGGACCGCGGATCTACGACGCTATCGTCACGATCTACACCATCCTCCGAGACTTCAGCGAATTGCAGAAATTCATTCAGAAGCTGGATGGTTATCACAACGCTAGATTGAATAATATCTGCTGGTACCTCACTGATGCTAGTAAGCATGAGATTGGTGCGGAGGCGCGTAAGGAGGCCGTGCTCGATGCTGTCACCAAGGCAAATCAGTATGCTCAGGCTGTTGGGTTTGAGGATGTTACTCCGCTCGATATTAGGGAGATTCAATCCGAGCCCTTGAGTCCTTCGGCGTATCCGCAGAGACCTACTTATCGGCATTCCAGTGGGGTTAGTTTGACGCCGCAGGATATCGTGCTTAATTGTGCTGTTGAGGTTGCTTTTGAGGCTGTATGTGAACTTGGAGGTAGGACTGATTGAGGGATACTTGGGTTTCGGGGTTTGGTATGGAGGGCTGGGGCGTTGTGCTGGTCAATCATTGCTTGCGGGTAGGATGCAGGTTTGAATTCAACGGGTTGTTCTGGGTTCTAGTATTAGCTTGAAATACACATTCTCAATTTTAACATCGATTTTGTCAGAGATCGCGTGACTCCCTCTCTCTGTTTGCTCCTGGCCTTTAGTCTCAGATAGCTTGTAGATAGTTTCTTCCTCTCTCCACGCATCTAGAGATTTTCCAGCATCTACTATTTCATCGTAGATTCCTAGATTCTCTCTCTCAGTTTTGAACTATCGTCTTTCTCTAAGTAAATCGGTATGGATATCTGTAGTTCGGTGTTCGGCTTTTGATGTGGGGATGATGATATCTGGACGCCGAAGCTTGGCATTTGACGTGAAGAAAGAAAAATAAAAGCTATTGGAAATCGTTTGGATGAGACTTGCTAGAATAATAAACTAAAGTATTTGTACTTTATTGTGAACATATACATTAGCGATGTGATCGCTATAGTCTATCGATTCATAAAAAAAGTACTCTTCGCTACCTGTGGTGATATCAGGATCTCGACTAACGTCCTCACTCGTCTGTGGGATAAATTAATCGGTAAATATCTTATAGATTGACTTTCTGTTAAAAATCGAATGTAGGGGAACGCCGATGACTAGACTGTGACATCGCCCGTCCATAGGAGGTGCCCAAGGCCCACTAATATGCAAATTTATGTAAAATTACCCTTTTAGGCCAAAACATGTACATAATTCAGCCTTGGCAGAGTGGGTCATGCCAAGAGTCAAGGTTAAAATTTATTTGCTTTTTCCTTGGGCTTTGTCGCAGTCTACCGATGACTTTAAACCATTACCTTAACGATAATCTCTAAAAGTGCGGATAAAAAAGATTGAAGAACGCGTTAGCCTAGAAGACCCTAGAGAGCTGCTTATATAGAGAAATCATTCGAGTTAGCGATCTCTTATACCGTGATAATATAAGTAATGCTAAGGATACTATCTAAGACCTCTATAACATTCTAGAGGCGTACTATAAAGTGGCTCGGAAAAGGCTTATCGATAATGTTTGCATATAAGAGGCAGATCATCTCCTCGTGACCTATTTAGGTGCTGCTATAGAAATGTTCTCGCTATCGTGGGTCAATAGTCTCTCAGACAAGTTTCTGGAGGAGATTGCCGGGGAGGATAGCAACATAAAGCGGAGACGGCTACAGCTGCAGAAGGAAATCACCGACTTAGAGACTAGTAGGAGGATCCTCCTAGGTTAACCACGGAGAGGCGGAAGTGTTCAAGAAGAAGAGTGATAAATTGATATTGCTAGATGCTTATTTATGATGAAGGCTTATGATCATCAAAATGGAGTTGCTTTCCCATACCACTAGGCTTCTAGAGCACTTTACACTCAATACCAATTTTCAATTCCTAGACGCAAGGAGCTACCCTGAAGGTGCCTTAGCATATTATTCTCATATTCCTTCTAACTCCTCCGAGGCAATCGATATATGTTGGTCTTAATGACCGACGGCGGTATTTCCAGCACTCCTAACATCCCTTTATAGGCCTCACTTCTTCCGAACCTGAAAGTGTTCCAGATTATTGCCGAGCAGCCGGTGGAAGTAAGAGAATATTGGAATGCTCCTACCCTTGAGCAAGAGTTGAACGATTGGGTTAAGTGGGTCATGGCCTATTTCGACTACTTTCGTCGATGCCTCAGAACCGCGACAAGGGTGGAGTTGGATGATGATAATAGGAAAGAGGCAAGATCTCTAGCTGATCGTTATTTGCCCCTGGCCTATCGAAAGATTCTCATCCGTGTGGGGATTTGGTTTTCCGGCGAGGACAGTACTCTATTGAATCGGGATATTGGGACGAAGATGATACTATGAAATCGTATGATGTCCAACAGCTGATTGATATGCAGGCTTCTAGCTACAGTCTGGATGTGTATTTTTGGATGTGGATTTGTGTGTGCGTGTAAAACATCTACCCCGATCCATCGTTGAGTGATATAATCTACTACAGTAATATTCAAAATCAAATTTACCGCCATTTTCTCTCACGCTATCTGCAAGTGCCCCATCTGGAGGCCCCCACTGTTACAAATTAGGCTGTATTGTACATGAACAGTGCCTCAAATCTAGTGTCACTAGCTTGGATCTGGCAACATATTCAGAGAACAGTTCGAAGAAACGAGATCTCCGCGTAGGCAAGTGGAACGCTGTTCTAGTCTGTTAGTAGACGGGCTAAAAGAAAATAGCAGTTTTAGACAAAAACAACAATTCCCAAGCATGGTACCATACCTATACAGGAAGTAGCCGTACCCGATCTCCGAGCCTCCACCCAGCTCCTTAGCACCTAGCCAAATAGTCTAGCTAGGCATTTTGTTACTTTGTTCTCTCTCAAGCCATCTTTTTCGACCAGCCGACCGAAACAAGAGGCGGCTTGAGACTCGAATTTGTCACCTAAGCATGGAACTCGTCCACATACAACCTAGGCTTTTTAAGGTGATCACACGAAGCTTCTAGCAACGGAGAATATAGATAGTAGATATAGAACCATAAAGAAGCCTTTGCATTCGCATAACAGGGAAACCTAACGAAATAAGCAAAACCTTAACCAAGGCAAGTGAAAACCCCTATCCTATCCAATGCCCAATTTCGCGACACAAACTTTAAGAACAGGTATGTGTACTCGGAAATGCTAACAAAGAAATATATTAGTTGACGACAATCAGAGTGTGATTCTCAGTTCTTACATCGATAATGTTGTGATACAACGCTGGTGCAGATCAGGAACCAAACCGCACCATTGGAAATAATTCCTTCACAATCTATACGAAGGACCAGGTTCAACCCGTTAGCTAGCAGCCTGGTCCTCTACATCCGGAAGAAAGGAACGGGGAGAAACTTTCGCAAGAGGTTGACAAACTTTGGTCGATATTTATAACGGCAACATCAGCTGAGCCATCATATAAAACCGTTTACGTATTCGATGCGCTTGACGAATGCCGCAAGGTTGATCTAAGTCGTTGGTTGCAAAGCTCGAGTGCTTCCACCGCTAGTCATCTTTATCAGTACAGGATACCTAATTCCTAGTGGCCAGTCGTCCCTATGAGGACATCTAGGATCGCTTTCGTGTGATCACGAGTTCTTTCCCGCGTCTTCACCTCAAAGGCGTGGAAAGAAATGATAAGATCCACGAGGAGATAAATCTAGTCGTGAAGATTAGAGTAGAAGAGCTGGCTATATCAGCACGATTATCATCCGATATACAGCAGCGACTTGAGGACTAGTTTCTTCAAAAGAAACACCGCACGTTATTTTTGGCTACATTTAGCGATAGACGATATCCAAAATATCTTCAAGTGGCAAGGGTAGCATAGCATTTTCCGTATGTGTCCGTTGACGAACTCATACTACTTTTCCCTATGCACCACCTAGGACCTCGTCACGGCGGAGGCTCGTACGAGCCTGAAACGTCCCCATGGCGGATCGGCGCGATAGGATGACCAAAAGGAGATGGCGGTAGCGAAGACAGTCCCCACCCGAGTGAATCCGAGATACGGTACTCCGTAGTTGACCGACGACGAGGTCAAGATTTTCCGTTCAATTTTTCTTTGTCAGAGTGGGGGTGTGGGTATGTTTTTCTACCTTCCTCACACGGCTTACTCCGTACACGGAAACAAACCGCGACTACCAAATCAATGGAATAGGGGTCAACACGGGATGCTAGTGTACCCCGGTGGCATCCGACCACACGATGCTGAGTGGATCTCATCTTGCACGAGTTGAGATCAGATCACCGGCGTACAACATACGAGGAATAAAATTTGTATTTCCATGTGTTTAAACTCCCATAGCGCATGGATCTCGATTGACATGCACCCCATAGTTTGGGAATATTCTAGAAGTGGGAGATGTCTTGGCTGTACGCGAACATTGTGTACATGAAGTGGTTCAATAAAATACGTTCTCGAATCCTGCTTTCTTGCCCATGCATCCAATTACGCAAAAAAACCCGGTACTAACTCCAACCAATCCTGTAGGATGGTGACAGCGTATTCTGGACTTTAATGGTCCTCAATTGGTTCTTGCTCAAGTGAAATTTCCGAGGATAATCCCGAGCTGAACTCCACTTTTCAAACCTTGCGCTAGCGAGAGCTTCTATACGCTTGTTTAATTTGTTATAATATCACACTCGCCCCTCAGGAGTAAAAATCTCACAGCTGAAGATGTGGATCGGGGACTTGTCAAAATGTGTGAAAGATCTTCGTACTTCTCGGGGACCAATTGGTTGAATGTGCCGTATCTTCCACGTTCATCTCCGCTACGTATCCCTTTACTAAGCGGCTATTAGTCCGTGGGGTATCAATCGCCTCTCCGGTGGATGCGGCACCCAGAGTTATACTAGTTCAGCACGCCACAAGCAACCAGCAGGGTGGGTTTCGGGCTGCAAACAAGGCAATACGTGGAGAACTGTGCGCACAAAGGGTCGCCCTGTAGAGTTTCCTTGGGATATCATCAAACCGGTGTCATCAATTGTAGGGTTGTCGGAATATTACATAGAACAATGCTAGATTTAATCAGAGCTGTGCGAAATATGTCTAGGTGCAAAATAACCTAAATATAAAGATATTCAAGTCCCAGTTGCCGTGTCGAGCGCACCGGTATCAATTCTTCCGATCGAGGTACGCACAGTAATGCTATGAGGCCGAGATCCTCCGACGATGATCCATCTATGAATCTTCACGAATATAGACAAGTTAGGGGGAAGCTGTAAGACATAGGCCCAGCGTTCGGGCCGGTATTGGATGATGAACGACACATACAGTACCAGGATTGTTCGGTTCCGATTTGCATTAAGAACACCTCAATCCAGACAGCCATGTGGAGAGCTTGCTAGGCTAGTTTAGGTTGAAATCTCCCAAGCTTCACTAACATGGTCGATCTTTTTCTCAGACGGGATTATACATCGATTTCTTCTAGATCGCATCTCCAATACCCGGCGATGCCGATTTCGCTTCAGTAGCGGAGATATCCATAATGAAAGTGCCCACAATGAGAGCCCCCTATACATACTCCGTACCGAAAGTTGGACTATTTTTACGGTTGTTGTAAAATAATTCAATTGGACCTTTGCAAGGCCGTCAAATAAGGGGGGGGGGGGGGGTATAAATACATTATACCCTGGCAAAATCAGCGTGAGCATACTTCTTCCAAAAATTCATTTCAAACATTCAAAATGAAGGTTACTGCTGCTATTCTTCCTCTCCTGACCGTCGTGTCTGCATCGTGCCTTCACGGAACATCGCTTCTACCCCGTGCAGCTGATGGCATTGTTGATATCAACTCCTTCAACTACACGAACACCGGCGGTCCTCTGACCTGGTACGGCCTGGACAAGAAGAACTCTGCCTGCTCCACTGGAAAGCACCAGTCGCCGATTGACATCGTCACCGAGGAGATTGACTACGCCAGCGCCAACTCTGTACACTTCCATATTCCCAGCGCCGACAATGCCAAGTTTGAGAACCTGGGCTCCGGCCTTGAGGTTGTCCTGACCAACGGCACTCTGGTTACTAAGAGCGGCTCCTACAAGCTCGCTCAGTTCCACTTCCACACCCCTAGCGAGCACCGCATCAACGAGGAGTACTATCCCATGGAAGCTCATTTCGTCTTCGAGAACACCGGTATGTACGAAAGGCTCCTTCAGAGCCTGTAACCACCTTGACATTATTTTATATACTTACAATTCTCTAGCTGGCTCCATCGCAGTCGTTGCTTTCGTCTTCGAGCTGTCCCAATTCGGCTACTCGACTCCTCTGTTTGACTCCGTCTTCGCCCACATTGATGACATTGCCACTCCCGGCACTTACACCAAGACCAATTCACTGGACTTCACTGGCATCACTCGCCACCTGAACAGCCACGGCATCTACCAATATACTGGCTCCCTCACCACTCCTCCTTGCTCCGAGGATGTTGCCTGGTACATCAGCACCGCCCCTCTGCCTCTGAATGTCCAGAGCTATAACGCCGTCAAGCATGTACTCAAGTTCAACGCCCGCTACACCCAGAACGCCCTTGGCCAGGACAACCTTCTTGAGGTTGCCACCTCTGAGCTGAAATAACTTGTGGTTCGAGCATGATTTTACTTTCGGTAAGCTGAAAAGCTTCAGAGTTGGCAGCTTGAGGTGATTGATTGTCTAATGAGTTGAGGTATTCGTATCATAGATCACGTGACTCCCTCTCTCTGTTTGCTCCTAGCCCCTACTGGCTTTTTTTTGCCAGTAATGCCAATACCAATAATTAATATTACCCAACTGCTATTATGCAGCTTACACCTTTATCTGTATTTAATTGATTGTATCCATTTGAAAGAATACCATATTCATTACCTGTGGCGTGCATGCATTAGCGCGAGTTCTCGCCCGAGCTGGCATGGTAGGGTATAGATAGTTTCTTCCTCTCTCCACGCATCTAGAGATTTCCTAACATCTACGATTTCATCGTAGATTCCTAGATTCTCTCCCTTAGGTTATAAGCACCGCGCTTTTGAAGCCTCTATTTCCTCTAATTAGTGCATTATGTCGCACCACCCCACTATGGAATCTGTGCTAGAAAAATGGAAGATAGAAAATTGTAGAAAGTAAGGTCAAGAAATAAGGGCTATCAAAAATCTTTTACAGAATAAACGGCACTCCCGGGGCCCTGGCGTCCCGGCACACGAGTCCTCATGAGAAGGGGGTGAATAGTAGGTAATCTTTTTCCGGCAGTAATAGCCAATAAGACCAAAGCCCCTCCACACTTCGTTGCCCTTCGGGTATGACGATTCATATCTCCCCACATGCGAGATACCCAGACTTGCCATTCGCGACAGCCGCTAGTAACCGGCCCTGTGGATATATTAAAAAGCCTTACTTCACTACCAATAATTGCTTTCAACTCACTCTCTACACTCACTGTTTTCAACCTGTGAAAACTCTTCCGACCTCCAAAATGACTCACTCAGTTCTCTCCCGACGGGCACAAAATGTCGTCGATGCAGGATCCGAGAACCCCATGTGGGATGTGATGAAGGATACATGGCACGCATCCACAAACCCCAACGGCTACGTCAATGTGGGCGTAGCAGAAAACACCCTGATGCACGACGAGCTCTTGAAATTCATCAACAAGAAGCTCGAGCTACCAGCAAAGTACCTCACATACAACGACGGCGGATGCGGTTCATCCAGATTGAAGGCCGCCATCGCCGCATTCTTGAACCACAACCTGAAGCCAGTCACGCCTCTCGAGCCCAGCCATATCATGGCGACCAACGGAGTTTCGTCTGCGGTTGAGCATGTCGTATGGTCATTTGCTGATCCGGGGGAGGGAATTCTTCTAGGAAGACCGTACTACGGCATGTTCATCCCTGATATCTCGCTGCGATCGGGTAGTCCCGTGGTTCCTGTCAGTTTCGGCGAACACGATCCTCTCAGCGTCGAGGGTGTGGATAAGTACGAAGAAGCATTGCTGGAGTTCCACCGAAAAACCGGAAAGAAAGTCAAGGCTTTGATGCTAGCCCATCCTCATAATCCCCTCGGACGCTGCTATTCCAGAGAAGCGCTCGTCAAGTTGATGCGGCTCTGTCAGAAATACCAGGTTCATTTCATCTGTGATGAAATCTATGCGCTTTCGGTCTTTGAAAATACCGTCGATGAATCTCCCCCAGCTGTCAAATTCGAATCCGCCCTCTCCATCGACCTGACCGGAATTATTGACCCTCGGTTGGTCCATGTCCTCTGGGGTATGAGTAAAGACTTTGGCGCAAACGGTATCCGACTCGGTGTCATCATTTCCCAGGCCAACGGTGATGTTCATGCCGCATTAACAGGCCCAGCACTTTACTCTTATGCTTCTGGAATCACGGATCACTTGACTTCTCTCATGCTTGAAGACTTCGACTTCACCACACGGTATATTAAGCAAAATCAGAAACTGCTGTCAGAGTCCTATGCATACACGGCGAATTACCTGAAAGACCACGGAATCGAATATGCAACAGGATGCAATGCTGCATTCTTCGTCTGGATGAACCTGGGAAAGAAATACCGAGAGCTTCACCCGGAGGATGAGGGCGAGGATGTTGGGGAACGAGTCATGCAGCGCCTTCTGCAAAAGAAGGTCTTTTTGGCCAGCGGCTTTCTTTTCGGGTCTGAGAAGGATGGCTGGTTCCGAATTGTGTTTACACAGGGCCATGACTATTTGAGCGTGGCTTTAGAAAGGATAAACGCGGCACTTCAGGAGTAGAATAGTCTCATGCCATCACCACGAAATAATCATGCATCAGTTTGGATTGGGCTTGTTGATTCTCGTGCTAGATCAAGCCTGGGCGCCTTTCTTAGCTAGCATCTCCATAATCTCTGTGTGGCCTAGTTCAATTGCCGCATCGAGCGCCGTGCCATGTATATGATTGGTGTTGCAATTGGCCCCTTCGTTCAATAGTAGCGCGACGACATTTGGATGGCATGGGAAGCACCCTGCTGAAAGTGCCGATCCTGAAGTCTCGTCTTCAATGTTGACACCAATGTCTTCCTCTGACAAGATATTCTCAACCACTTGCTTCAATCCAATGTAACTCGCCAAAGACAAATCTGTCATGTTCTGAAAATCTAGGGACCGGCTCTTGTTACTCATCCAGTGGCTGCTGACCACACCCATGCCTGGCGGCCATTGCAAAGTGTACGCGCATCCTTTAGGGACTCGTCAATGACTGTGACTTCCTGAGATAGAAGGTATGACAACCAGTGATCGGTGGAATAGCAGAAAAACGGGGGCAGTTGCTCCAAAATAAGGCTATTCGGGTTATTTTTGTCAGATTCATCATCATCCCAACAGTTCTCGTCAAATCCATCACCATCCAAAAGGTTTCCGTCCTCAACAAGGGCATGAAGATCAGGGAGCATCAAGAACTGAAAACAAGCTCTTGATATGGTTCTGGAAGATTTTGACATGCTCAAACGTCGTTCCCACGCACCATGACCCGAAGGGTCAATGAGAAACTCCCTTGTTGTTTGATGAATGAAGAACAGCTTTGAATCGTGAACGCTAATGAAGAGGCCACTTAGGCCTTTGACAATGCTTTCGAAATTATTCTTAGGCCATAGATCATTCTCCAAGGCTGCGTGTGATGTGAAATCCTCTTCTGCCAAAGCCAACGACAAGGCGACGTTGGCCTCGTCAAGAGTCAGAGGCCGTGCCGCAGCAAGGATGATCTCAAGTAGACACTGAAGGGGCTGTAGCCTGTACTGAGAGGCTGGAAGCAGGCATTAAAGTTGGAGAAGGAATGACCGCGCTGTTTCCCTGAGGATTACTGCTGCTTGCCTTTCGGCGTTCCCACATCAGGAATCGCTTCATGTCGACCGAACACAGGTTGCTGAACCAGAACCCGAGCAGTGGCTGGTATAAATAAAGGCGGGGGAGGATGCAACACTTATATCCTGAGCTAAAGCTATTTAGGTGTCAACAGTAGGGCTGAGAATGAATCCCTTGTGGCCAATAAGCACGTCCTCGATATTCCAAGCCACCCCCATCTTCGGGCGCCCAATGATTGACGGAGGACTAGCGCCCGACACGCACCCCTGTCAAGATTGGGCACATTATTTGAATGTACGATGTAACGACATTGGGACGAGCAAATCGCAAGACATCTTTGCAGCATTTCTGGTGAGATAGGCCAAGAATCAAGAGGAAAGAAGTAGTATGAAAGAAAGCATTTCGAATGCGGGGCGCCAAGCCTTTCCGCCCATGGATCATCCAAGGCTAATTGAACGCAACAAAACTCCGAGAATTCAAAACATCGTCTCCTTCCTTTTTCCACCATCATCACAACTATGACGAGTGTTACTGTCTCGCAATTACGGAGCTTCAATGCTCTCCAGCGCCGGAGCGGGATGCATCAGGGAGACGTAACCACTACCATTTCGCCGTGAAGGCTCTTCCCGAAGTCCCAGGCGAAGCTGTATTCTTTGTGAATCCATACAACAACCACCATGAGTGCGAGGGCCGGTCTCGAATTTCCCCTCTCTCGCCAGACGACCAGGCCAAAATTATTGTGCCTTTGCTACTGGAGGCATTCGTCAACCGATTCGACGAGCCGGGCCTAGTTCCCCAGATGGGCAGCAACATGGAACCATTCGCGCCGTTTACTTGGAGCACTACCGACGAGAGCCTTGCGCAGGCCGTATCCCGTAGGTGCCAGGCAATTGGCATCAGACACGAGCTGTGTGACGTTGCCGTCACTACTGCTGAAGAGCTTCGCAGTGCCGAGGCGTGCTGGACGAAGTGGAGCAGGGCCTTGGTGGAAGCCATGGCTATGTTTGATCTCCCAGATAGCGGTGTCGAGAATGTTGAGATGAGCTGTGAGAATTGTGGTTTCACTTCGTTGATGGATAAGCCCCTGCACCCGTGTTCTCAGTGCTTGCAAGTCTCATATTGCTCGAGGTAGTGTCAAACCGCGAACGCTGAGGCTCACGGTCGGGAATGTGCGGCTGATATTGATTGATTTTTGGGTCTCCTTGATCTCTTTTTCTTTTAAGATGTCTCTATAATTTTTCGAATCCATTCTTCTGATACCCTGTGTGACGCGGTCGAATGAGCTTATTTCATGGTTTTTGTTTTTTTGCATTGCTGTACTTCAAATTCCACGAAAAAGAAGTGTCCCGATCCATGTCGAGAGTCGAATGTCTGCCCACATACTAGAGAATGTTCTAAACAGCCAACAATACAACAATACAAAGGAGACTGAGCGTGTCTGCAGCCCGGCCCCCTATGGGCTCCAAATTTCGCTTCATACTACTAGTGCCTCCCTCCTACAATATCTACTGAGCTCAACCTCCCATGTTGAAAAGCAGAGAACCGAGTACTGCAGTATACCGTGGGGTTTTAGGTGGAACCACGAGAAACACTGCAAACAGCCCGAATCAATTATGATTGCCTTGATGCTCTGCCCCAATTGTAATATTATTGTCTACTTTGTCAGATAATGTAAATCCGTTAGATATTATTCCAATCACGCTTCAAGTATCTGTTGTGCCCAGGTGGATCAGAGGTGATACCGTGGTGCCTGAGGACCGGGGAGAAACTAGGGTTGACCTCGCACGTGACTGTCACTATTGACACAAATCAGAGTATCGAAAGGAATTTTGAAACTATTGCAACAGATTTACATATACAGAAATGGAGAGTGAAAATTAAGAATTTAAAATAATCATGTTCTATTTCATTCATCATATGAATATTATCATCATGTCTCAAAAAATTCCCATAGTGGGCCGAGAACTAAACTCAACTCCTTGTGAGGGAGGATGTAAATGCAAAAGAGTACTTTTCGTACCGTCTTTTTAGAAAGAATAAGCAAGCCGCTTGAAAAAACAGAGAAAAAAACAGAGAGGTATCACAGAAGGAACGCCGAGGAATATGCAGTGGAAGGAGTCAAAGGAAAGATCAGACAACAGGCGTCAACTGGGTGTGCAAAGCCTGTGAGAGGGCCTCCTCTTGACGCTTGAGCTCCATCTCCATCAAGTACTGGGCGTACTTGGACCGAGGGTTGTGAATACCACACTCGGTCTTCTGCTGTCCCTTCCAGCGACCAGAGCGCTCGTCCTCTCCTTCAGCAACGGGCTGGGTGGAGTGCCAGTCACCAATGCTCTTGTAACCGCGGTCAAGGAGCTCATTGTAGGGCACATCGTTCTCCTTGACGTACTGCTTGACCTGGTCAAAGGACCAGTTGGCCATTGGGTTGATCTTGATGAGGCCGGCCTCGTCGACTTCGATGATGTCGAGGTCACCACGCTTGCCACCTTGGCTGCGGCGACGGCCAGTGAGAACGGCGTGGACATTCATTTCACGGTAGGCACGCTGAGCGGGCTCAACCTTGGCAACCCAGTCATAGAGTTGGTCATCGACCTCCCAGAGCTTGGTGCCGTACTTGGCTTCGAATTCGGCAGTGGTGTCGACGCCAGCGGGCTTGTAGATGTGCACATTGTTGTTGGGGTACTTGCGACGCACACGGTCGACCAGGGACATTGTCTCGTTGAAGTGATAGAGAGTATCCAGGAAGACGAGGTCAACCATCTGGGGACGAGGCACCTCCAGCTTCGATAGCATGTCCAAGGTGACAAGACCTGTGAGACCAAAAGCAGTGGTCTGGAAGAGATGAGGAAGCGAAGTAATGCACCATCTCAAGATCTCTATAAGGAGGAGTCAGATAAAGGGTCTTCGGAAAGAGGGGGTCATTATGGATATCAGTACGAACCTTGGGGCTCAAGGAATTGCAACTGGCGGTTGAGGAACTGAAGATGGGGCTTGGTGAACACAATCTCGGGGACATAGTCCTCGCTAGAGCCAGAACCAGCACTAACATAGCCTGACTCAGTCATGTTATCATGATTGTCAATGCCCTCCATCTCGGAGGAGTAGTTGGGCATCTTGGCCGGCATAATGTATAAGGTAATATGGATGGCACAGAGATAACCTTGGCAAGAGAAGAGCTGATTGAAAAAAGAACAGGATGAAGATTTAGAAGAGTGTATGAGGAACAAAGTCAAGGACAATGGAGGCGAGAATATAAGAACAGCAGGGGCAATCACATCATCCGGAGGTCCGTCCCTAGCATGCTCTTCATCCGATATTCTTCATTTCGAAGATTCAATAATACAATTGGTCAGTTGCCAGAGTGGGGAATGAAAACCACCCAAGCACGCCATCGATTGCGATTGCGTGCTCGAATAATTTTATCTCACCGCCTTCCCAACGGGAAGACGGTGTCATTTCAAGAAGGCGGTGAGTCCATGGAAGGCGTTGTAGAGTCAGACTGACGGAATATCAAAGTCGATTCTGCCCATGTTCTTGGGGAGAATGGCGTAGAATGTCATTATTTAGGCTGGTAGCTGACTGATTACCTTGGAAGGTTACCACCCCGGATATTGGTAATTGACGCTGACCAACCCAGTCGATGATAAATAACTCCGATCATCGCGAGTACAGCATATTATTCCAAGGTTTGGATCTTCCTAAATCATATAATGTTAGCAGGTTTCTTGATCACCAATAAACCTGGTCATACCCGATAGGGGGATCATGATTACCACACTATTCACTCCATACACATGTTGGACAATGTATTATATCCATGAATAGGAATGATCTGACTCTGAAGTCATGGTGGATCTGGATGAGGTGCTTATTCCAAAACTGAGCTCATCTTAATCCTGGATGTGGTCCATCTCTTGTTACCTTACTGTTAATTCTGCCAGGCGGTAAGGCACGTGAGAGGGGAAGCCATCACGTGCATCTTTGGTGGGACCGAGTCCCACGTGCCGATCGGCGCAAGTCGTTTTTGATCTTCGGAAGTGTGGGATCTCTCAAGATAGCCTCAACACGCAAATAACTCTTTACCAGATCCCTTCACTAGTAGTGCATTATGGCAGATTCTACCCGCCCCACGAGGCCGTCCCTCGGCCAAATGCGCAGCAGTTCATTCCTGCACGATCACCAGCAGTACAAGCCGATGGCTCCAATCAATCCAATCAGTCAGACCATCGGCGAGGTTCTGGCTAGCCATGTGGACGATCACCTAGTACTTAGCTCGAATCCAATCAAGCCAGACCCAGAGAGGGTCACCGACAGCGGCATCATTCACAGCATTTTCAACCACCAAGCAAATCCTCTTCCAACCGGCACCTCGCAAATCGTCGCGACCATCTACTACAAATCTAACAACCCCGTTCACCCCCACTACCACCCCGATTCAGGGCCCCAGAATTCCCCAGGCGACAAGCTCCCAACTCCCAAGGTGCCCGAAGGCTCTGCCCCGACAGAAGACATGGATAAGTTCCCACGGGAGCCGCCTGCCCCAGAGCCGGAGCCACTGGATCACCTGTACGGGCCATACGTCTCCCAGCTGTGCTTGACCAACTTCCTTCAAATCTTGGAAACCCTCCCTACGCCGTATCAGCGCATGAACACCTCGCACCGCTGTCTTGACCGCGACGAACACCCCCGCGTCGTGGAGGTCACATTCTCTCCCCCGCCAAACCCGGACTATCTCTCGTTCCCAGATCTGCGCAAGCATGAGAGCATCTGGCGCTTTGAGCGCGAGTGGAATGTTGAGGTTGTCCTGCAAAAGGAGAGCGTCTTCCGTCGGCACAAGCGCCTGGCTGTGTTCGACATGGATAGCACCTTGATTGACAATGAGTGCATTGACGAAATAGCCAAATTCATCGGTGTCGAGAAGGAGGTTTCCGTAAGTTCTTCTTGTCAAGGCTTCAAGTCTCTATGCCAGGACTAACATCAACGCAGGCAATCACTGAACGCGCCATGAACGGCGAAATAGACTTTACCGCGTCACTGAAGGAACGCGTCGGTCTTCTCAACGGCGTCTCCGCAGATGTCTTCGAGAAGCTCAAGTCCGTCCTGAAAATCGCCAAGGGCGCCCGTGAGCTCTGCCGCGCATTGAAGACCCTGGGCTACAAGATCGCAGTGGTGAGCGGCGGGTTCCAGCCCCTCGCCGAGTGGCTCGCCGAGCAGCTCGGTATCGACATTGCCATTGCCAACCACGTAAGCTTCTCCTGTTTCCTCTTACTATGTTCATTTCATCCAAGCTAACCTTTCATCCAGCTTGAAATCGACGAGGCCACCCAGACCCTGACCGGAAAATTGGTGCCGTCCTACCCCATCGTCGACGCCGCGCACAAGCGCACTCTCCTCAAGTCCATCGCCGCCGAGCACGGCATCCCCCTCTCGCAAACATTGGCCGTCGGCGATGGCGCCAACGATCTCCTGATGCTCCACGCTGCAGGCCTCGGCGTCGCCTGGCGCGCTAAGTCCAAGGTCCAGTTGGAAGCTCCCGTCCGCATCAACGGCGAGAGCCTTGTCGATGTCCTCTACCTGCTCGGCATGGACAACGAGGACATCGCGGAACTCACCTCCGATGTGCAATAAGTCCTTGAGTAGTTAAACGGGCGACGCGCCACTTTCAGTAGAGTATAGACTTGCGTGATAGCGAATCTTGCCCTCTGATCTAACTTTTGGATAAATTATACCCCTCAAAAAGTCTAGCCTGAAACGGCGCCCACGGCTGTTACGGGGCTCGACTTGGAGATTTCCTTGTGCTGAAGAGTTGTGGAGTTTATGTTGGTTTTAGCAGAGTCGGTGGTTGTGATGGATAGGATGTAGTATGTACGGAGCATGGGATCCTCGTATAGCGTGTGGCTTTTCTCGCTGTTCCTACGTGCGGCGGGTTCCTTTCGCCTTGAAGGCAGGATGTAGTAGATTGGGGAACGGAGCAGGCTCAGACCATGATCTATGACGTTTTGAGACTTGATACAAGAGAAGCAGCACTGAGTTGATTTCTAGTGTAGCTTGGAATTAGGAACAGACAGAAATAGGCCAACGACTTCTCCAATGGTGATACAAAGTACAATTCCTGTGTTGAAATGTTGGACTGTTGAAATGACAAAACCAGCGAAAATCCCCTTTATGAAACCCCCAAAACCAACAACCCAGAAAGATGCAAGAAAGATAGCGCCAAGAGGTTAAATGACATGTGCATGTAGTCAGAAGACAAGAAAACAGGTTTATTTAGGTAGTTGATTCGGATTTTTGTTCAAATGCAAGACACCTCACCGGGTAGCCTCGTCAATGGCAGCAGGGCTCTGATCGACAGTGCGCTCAGCGGTGCCGGAACCAGCACGACGCTTCTTGAGAACGTTCTCGATAAACGCCTCGCCAGCCTTGTAACTGCTTCGTACCAGGGGGCCGGAGGCACAGTACAAGAAGCCCATATCAAGGGCACGCTGGCGCCACAGCTCGAAGCGATCAGGGGTCACGTATTCATGAACAGCCATGTGGCGCTTCGTAGGACGCATGTATTGACCGAAGGTCACGACGTCGACGTTGACAGCGCGGAGCTGGCGCAGTGCATCCCAGAGCTGATCATCCGTCTCGCCGAGACCGAGCATGAGCGAAGTCTTCGTAACAAGATCCGGAACAGCTTTCTTCGCAGCATCAAGCACACGAATAGACTGCTGGAACGTGGCGCGGCGATCACGGACAAAGGGCGTAAGCTCCTCGACAGTCTCAACGTTGTGCGCATAGACGTCCAGACCAGACCGGGCAACCAATGCCGCCATCTCCGTGTCACCGCGGAAGTCACCCGTCAGACACTCGACCAGCATACTCGGCTTCTTCTGCTTGATTTTGATAACCGTCTCGGCGAAGTGGCGCGCGCCGCCGTCGACCAGATCGTCACGGTCCACGCTCGTTAGCACCACGTAACCCAGGCTCCAGCGGGAGATTGCCTCGGCGGTGTTCTCGGGCTCGTGCGGGTCGAGTGGGGAAGGGTTGCGGGATGTCTTGACGCTGCAGAAGCGGCACCCGCGCGTGCAGGTATCGCCCATCAACATGATTGTCGCTGTGGCGGAGGACTTGTCGCTGCCGCCCCAGCAGTCGGAGATGTTGGGGCATCGGGCCTCCTCACAGACAGTGTGCAGGTTCAATCCTCTCAGGTCCTTCTTTAGGCGCTGGAAGTTCTTTGAGTCTGGTATGGGAGTTTTCAGCCATTCGGGCAAACGAGTCATTTCCTTCTTGCGGCCGGCGGGGCCGACAAGCGCGGTCTTAAGGGCGTAGGCTTCCGATGGGTCGAGAGGTTCATCTTGGCCTCCGGAGACAAAGTCTGAGAATGAGGGTCCTGCATTCAGCTTATCCTGGAACTTTGTTGCTTTCCGCCGTGTGGTTCCTGGTGTGTTCGTGGCGGATGAGGAGTCCGTTGTGGCATAGCTTCGGCCGCCGATGGGAGCAATTACTGCTGATGCTGGAGATATGGTGGTTCTGAAAGATGACAGACATCGTAGACTTCTAGTTGGAGCTGCCATGATGTGTGAGTGTATGGTTAGTGAAATCGGACAAAGCCGAACTGGAGTTTGTCTGGGCAATGGATCCCGCGGAAAAGTGTGACTAAGCAATTTCGGCGCATCATCGGGCGGGAAAGTATGTCCACGAATGTACGTCCATGGGCAATAAGACAATGATATGATGTTTAAAATTGGAATAATGCTGATAATACTACGAAAGGTCTGCCGCTTATGCAGCCTCTTTACTTGACGTTTTATTTAAGATAAAAACTACGATATCTTTTTGTACATCTTTTGCCCTTGTTCAGATCTATGGGTAAAAGATGCGAAGGCGGCAAAAGAAAACGTATAGGCGAGGTTTCTATGTATGAGCAGGGACTTGGAATACTGGTTGATTATGCCATTATTATTATGGTTGCTATGCTATTGAAACACTAACTATAGATGGCTTTATCCCCAACGCGCAAATTTACCAAACAAAGTTCCAAGGACCGCGCGATGCAAGGGTATGAAAAGAAAGCAAAAGAGAGTGAAAGAGAGGAGACAGATAGGAGATAGAGAGGAGAAAGAGAGTAGAAAGATGGAAGGAGAGCATGGACAAACAAATAGGAGAAAGAGAACTCAATGATTAGAGCGAGTAATGGTAGGGAAACAGATATGAAAGGAGATCACAATGATAGACGGTAGGAAAGGATTTTAGAGAAGGGAGTGCAAAGGAAGAATTTCAGGAAAAAGGAGAGGTCGAAAAGATGGATAGACTACAGTCAGGGATAGCGAGAGAATAGGATTGATAGAGGCAAGCAAATGCTAGATGTAAGGAGTGATCGACGCTAAACAGTGGTTTCAAGCACTTGGGCGAGAACCTCAACGGCTGATTTCAACGTAGGATCGGATCGGCCGCAGATGGCGAATAGGAGGTTGTCCACGATTCGCTCAAGGTGTGCCTGGAGCTCAGTGCTGCGAGAGCTAAGAAGAGAGTCCTTAGGCTGGCTAGCAGACCCAGATGGGAGCCGGATGCCTAATGTGGTGTATGCCTTTCTGGGGACGCCGTCAATGGCGTATGCATCTTTGTGCGGAGAGACGGGTGGCTTAGTTCGGTGGGTGGTTGATAGAGAAAGGAGGTAGTTTCGAGCGAGGAGGGCAGCACAGAGACAGTCGAGTAGGTTCTCTGTGACATCGGGGAATATAGTGCGGAAGGGCCTAATAAGGGCCTTCTCGTCGTTTTTGCGAAGGAATACCATGACAGGGGATGTGAGGCGGAGCATATGGCGAGGAAAATCCTTGACAGAGTGATCCAGCTCATCTAGGGTCCATTCATGATCGTCCAGCGTCCAGTCATGGTGCCATATCCGTGGTTTTTCATCATCCTTTTCGGACATGATAGAGGTCTGCCCTGGTAAGTGAGTTGTTGGTGGGGATGATGCCTTTGGGCTCACGCTGCCTGATCTGATTTCAGGTTGTGGGCTTGTCTCGCGCTCTCCCTGCGCGGATTCAGGCTTTTCGCAGATCACGGTTGATCCGACACTGTCCGAAGATGTCAATGAACCTGGGTCGGTATATGCATCGTCGTCGTCATCATCGGCTTTGCTATCATCATAGCTATCAAATGAATAGCCGGAGTCTCGAGTTCCATAACCACTGTCAGACATATCAAGCGGAGTGTCTGGGCTAAATGCGGATACTTCCTCTTGACGCTGATCCGGGGTCATCGGTACGGTGTTTGGCAGCAAGCATGGCGGTGGAAGCAGTGGAAGCGATGGTGATGATTGTCGAGCGATGTCGACAAGTTTCGGTTTTGTCTTGCTAGCGACGACGAATCTCTATATGGGGGTTAGCTTTCAATGTATCTCACAGTAAAAGATTGTTGGACTTACCACAGGTTCTTCAAGGGCTTTTGCTCCCGGGATGATGTCCAGTTTTGGCATTGGAGGATCATTCTCAACAATCTGGAACTTACGTCGGTTGGTGAACTCCTTGGTAGATGTATTTTGGTCATTCACCTTGTCAGCCGGGACCGTTTTCAGCCATCTCTCACAGTATGAGAAGTTACTCGGCACCCAGCTAGCTTCACTCGAGACTGTCCCAGTCCGACGGCGTTGGGGTCTCGGCGAGCTCCCAGGAACGAGGACTCTCTCGCTAGGAACTGGCTTCGGAGATGCTTTAGAAGGTGCGGGCTTCTTGGGAGATTGGGGTTGTGACTCCTGTTCATTGCCAGACTCGCACTGACGTACGAACTCTGAGTGGGCTTCATGAACATTCATGACATCAGTTCGCGGTTGATTCTTCCAATCTGGGGGACGGTACGCTGTGTAGTGTATTCTTTCCCCGATTTCAAGTGTTGCGGCCGTTGTAGAATCTCCCGGTTGAGTGGTACCAGACTCATCCTTCTCGTCCTTCCCGTCACTTGATCGACCTGATCCATCCGAGGACTGTGAATCAAAGTAAGATAACTCAGGACCCGTGCTTGCGGGGCGTGATTCTGATATAGGCGGGCTGGGTAGAAGACCGAACGCCTCCAAGTTGCCACAAGTAAGGTTTTGGTCTGAGCGCCATGTTCGTAATGTGTGAGGGGCCGGCGATTTGAACGGCCTGCTTGGCTTTTCAGGAAAGTTGGGAGGAGGGCCATCGAGGGACGCCGGGGATGTCGGAAGCATTAATTGAAATGGTTCTTTCATTCTTCGAACGGAGCGGAAGGGCGACATGCAAGATGGGCCCCGATCTGTTGGGCGCCGTGATACTGAGGTTGAAAAGTCATGCGACTCTATGCGCGGCATCACTGGTGACGGTACAAATGATAGCGAGGGCATCTGTCTGCTTCGCCTTCGGGGTATATAGGTGGGAGACCATCGGCGGGGTGACGGGATGGGCTCACCCATTGCCATCGTATCGTGGCTCATCGAGGACGAGTTTGAGTCCTGGTTTTTTATATGCGTTTGGATCTGGGCCGGAAAACATGCATGGCTAGGCATCTCTGTCGCACCGGAGTCCATATTGGACAATGGTATTCGCGGCTGAAAGTTATCCTGGTCTGAAATGTCGAAGAAAAAAAGCAAAATGTGTTGCACAAGAGTAACCCAGATGAGATTAGAATCCAGGTTGTTTATTGTTGAAGTCAAAACAAATGGACCTCAGTCCCTGCAGGGGCTCGATATGTCCTTATACAGTGAGTGTGGCGCTAGTCAGCTAATTTAAGGTGGGTATGGTCATCAGGCTCAAGTGCACATCCCTTGACAGGACTACAACCCTGCCATGAAAGCCCGAAAATGTTCAACCGGACGGCGCCCCCTTCGAGCATGAAAAGACACGGGCCAATGTAATAATAGTGGGAATGAGGTCGCGACGTCCTTGCATTCCAAAGAAGATATGAAACCAGGACAACGACGGGCAACAATTGGCTCCAGATCTCAATCTTTCGTCCTGCAGGAGCCCGTCAACGTGGAGAGACCCCATCCGTTGCCTCAAGTCGTCATAGCTGGGTTCCGACTGGGCACTTGGAATGAGACATTTGGGATGCAAGAGGGGGGAGTAGGGAGCCATGGCGAATCAGGCCCTTGAGCAGGACAACAGGATCAGCCAGAGGGTGTATTAAAGCGGGTCTTCATTGGATCTTGTGTCTCGTCGCAACAGCAATCCACCCCTTCTGGGCTATCCCTTGCATGCATCTGGTTCATACCGGTGTTATTGTACATATTAGCATAATTTATGGAGGTTTGGATATAAATGCCTGGCGAGGGCTTAGATTGATCGCTCTGGAAACCCATTTTGAGTCGGAATAAACTTAGAAAGCTGAAATCATTTCGATTGATAGACTGGCGCAACATGATCCCTCATACTTGCTGAGCTCAGTTGATCCAAATGGCGCTGACTAAGAACGATAGATCGAACCCACGGCCGGTCTAATATAAAACACGGCACAATTAGTTGATAGATGCATTTGAAACAATCGGTCTGTCTATTGATGAAGCAAGATCGGGGATATCTTTAAAAGGTTGCATTAGTTAGAAAGCCAAATTGGTTAAGATAGATCACACACGGCCCGTCCATGGGTGGATGTCTGCAGTCCTAGAGGTCGGCGATTATAGTCCAAACAGTGCAAACATCTCGTTATCAATCGATTAAGAAAAAAAAAGCTCGGAAGGAATGGGCACCTTTGAAACCAACCTCCCATACTTTGTATGACAGCCTCATTCTTTCATTCCTGATGCTTTCCGAAACATTCGTGGCGTCGACGCTGTCATCCGCCAAATCTCCGACAGCCTCGCTCAGAGATGTAGGGGTCTGCGTTCACGAATTGCAGCCTTCGTCGATACTGCGATCGACCTTCAAGAAGAGCTCAACTTTGACCAATTGTCTGGCTGTCAGCCCCTCGCATATTTTCACGGCCCAAGCAGACAAGGCTGTCATTCACGTGTACAACCGAGAGAAGGGCAACCAAGAGGGTGTTGTTCCATTTCCAGAGCGGATACGCAGCATTGCTGTCGCGGGGGGCAAGTATGGTGATGTCTTGGTTTTGGGCACCGAGGGTGGTCGATTAATTGTTTGGGAGGTATGTTGGATCTGATTGATACATTTCCCCATGTCGTGCGTCTAACACTTTTTCAAGACATGCACAGGACGCCAAGTAGCCACAACGGCCTCCCATTTGCAACCGGTGACCTCGCTCGTCGTCGACCCCACGTCCAACTTTATCCTGTCAGGCTCCGCTGATGCCAGTGTACATGTCTGGTCTTTGCCTGGCATTCTCTCGTTCTCGAAACCCGCTCTTAGCGCGACTCGCCAACCCACGAACTCACCTATCCGAACTTTCTCCAACCACCGCGCAGGTATCACCTCCCTCGCTGTAGGACATAGCAATGGCCGCCATAACATCGTGGTATCAACCGCAAAGGACAACACTGCGATCGCATGGGACTACCATACCGGCCGTGCACTGAGAACTTTCCTCCTTCCCTTATCCGCAACATCTGTGGCTCTAGACCCGGTCGATCGGGCTTTCTACGTGGGATATGAAGACGGCAGCGTGCAATCAGTAGACTTCTACCGGAGCCAGTCTGCGCAGCATCCTCTTCACGATCCTTCAGTACAATCAACACCCGGGCAGGTGTCCATGGAGGACCGGTGGCTCCCTCCCTCGGCCGAAACAGGCTCAGTGAAGACAATCTCCCTTACATATGATGGCACCACGTTACTCTCGGGCCACGCGAATGGCAAGGTGCTGTCTTGGAATGTCGCCCGACGGAAGTACACGACCTCAGTTGCCGATTACACGCACCCGATCACCAACCTGGTAATGCTTCCTCCGGGTGGCATCCCTCACCCTTCCTCGGATTTAAAGAGAAAGGCCCACACCATCGTCAAGCCGCGCCATGATAGTGGCCTTTCGGCCCCGAACCATGCCCCTGGCGCCGTCCCCGCAGAATACATGTTCCACACGCAGATCATCGCACCATCCGACTCCCGCAAACCTACTCAATTTTCTCAGGCACTTACTCACTCCTCTTTCCCCGCCTTCATGATCGAAGATGGCCTTGCAGAGCTCGCGGCATTCCGCCAGCCTGGTAATGCGGAAGTTACCCGCGTTGCCTCAAACACCGCGCCCGCCAAGGAAACCCTGGAAGACGCAGCTGCCCGCGATTCGCAGGTCACCGAGCTAGAAAACGAGGTGTCTGTGCTCAAGAAGAAGGTTGCGGTAAATGAGACTGCTCGCCATAATGCGGACGATGAGGTTGTACAGCTGCGCTCGGATCTCGCCAATCTGCAGGACTACATCAATGAGTTGCATGAGAAGCAGGAGGCCGCACAGCAGGAGAAGGTCCTGCGGCAAGCAAGGAAGCAGGAGCACGAGACGAAGAAACGGGAAGCTTGGCTCGCTGCAGAGAAGAAGGGTCGCAATGGTGATGCAGTCATTCAAAAGATGGACATTGATGGTGCTGTGACCAGTGACTCTGATGATCAGAGCGACGAATAAAAAAAAGCTTTGGATTTTTGGCATGTCAATGGATCGGCGCAGGGTTTTGGATTAGTATATACTATATCATTTTGGAGCTTTCAGGTCAATAATAAAAATGTCCGCCACGTTCATGATGCATATGAGTGCAGTTCGATTTCCCAAATATTTTTCTCGTATCGCCTTGAGACGGTTCTCATCTATGTCTTCGAATGGAGGAGCCATTAACCCTTAGTGTGCTCTTTTCATTGGACAACAGCTCAGGCCTATGTCCAACTCTTACGAGCCTGTTTCAATAATCATCTGATTCTAGAAACAGGGGTCTCGCATCTACAATATGAGATAAAATATACCTTGGGAGGGGATGGTCTCATTTCCTGGTGGGTCGGGGTGTTCGCGAGGCAACCCCAAAGGGGTAATGCAGGGCACTCATGGCAAGATGCGCAAGGGTGGGTACAATTGTCTCACAGAAGCTCTGCAAGCTTCTCTTCTCTCATTCACCAAGGGCATCTCTATGGCAATTGGGATTTAGCAAGGTCTCAATCCTTGTATATCATCTAGGTTCTTATCCCGCTGCTCGCGCCGTTGCTCTCCCGTCCGATCTATGCGCAGGGGATCGATATCTATACAACTACCACATACAGAGATATTGGGTCCCGAGAAAAAGTGCAAGGATTTGATCGATGCCAGTTGTATTCATAGCAGCATAGGGCACTGCCGAAGATTAAAAAAATTAACCTGATATCTCCCGAGGTCTCCATCTCCACTATGAAACTCCACCTCTAACGTCCAACAACACAGCCGTCCCCACCAGAGAAGACATACATATTCCGGGGAATCACAGAAAGGCTCAAGCCACCGCATGACCACTTCCCTGTTCAAGAACCTCCCCCTCATCAATCTCTTTCACAATCTTAACCCCAGCACTAGTCCCAATGCGAAGGGCTCCAGCCTTAAGCATGCGCAACGCATCCTCAGCACTGCGTATACCACCACTAGCCTTGATCAAGCAAGTGTCCCCACACATACCCGCCGCAATGCGCATCTGCGTAACATGCCCAACACTCGCACCGCCATTCCAACCCGTGCTAGTCTTGACATAGTCCGCGCCCGCCATGCACGACACGATCGTCGCATCGATGAGCTGGTCCCCCTCAAGCACAGATGCCTCAATAATCGCCTTGAGGATAACTGGCGGCGGCGCTGCCTGCCGCACCGCAACAACGTCCTCGTATACCTCCGTGTACCGGCCCTCTTTAAGCAGATTATACCGGATCACCATGTCGAGCTCGTTGGCGCCCTGCGCAACGGCCTCTTTGGCCTCGCGCACTTTCTCAGCTGTTGGGTGCGTGCCCTCTGGGAAGCCCACCACGCATGCAACCGCTGTGTTGGTGCCTTTGACGTGGCTTGCTGCGCGGGCGACATGCTCCAGTCGTACGCATACGGCAGCGAAGTCGTATTCAAGGGCTTCTTTGCACAGTGTGTCGATCTGTGTGGGGTCGGTTGGGACCGTGAGTAGGGTGTGGTCTATTGTACGGTGGATTTGTGTTGGAATTGGCGGCTGGGACAGTGAGCGCCTCGGCACTTGGTTCTTCATCTTGGTTATCGTTTCCGCCCATTCAGCGTCTGTTGATGGGATGGAACTCATGCTGGGCGGTTTGTGTAGTGTGCCTTGGGCTGGAGAGTACGCCGCCGCAGTAGTTTTAGGGATTACTTCCGGAAATGTGTTCAGGTCTCCTACTAAACTTGGCATAGAGGGGAAGAGGGGATGTCACGTGGCGCTTCTAGAATCATCATGACGACCCGTGATTCATGTTGACACGATGTGACCCTGAAGAGGCGGTGTTGTGACGCTAAGGGACTAGTGTGTGTGTTTGGGGCTACCACTTTTGGTAAATTCTGGCGATATACGAAGTTCAATAGGCAAGTATCAACCTGTAGTATATGTATATTTCGAAGATTGTTGTAGCAAAGTACAAGGTTCCGTTGAATATCAAAAGTGCATTACCAGTTGCAATGTCGCATATGACAGGCTTCCCAGCCAAAAAGACAACAAACCGAAGGACCCTATAACCCGATATCTTGGCCCATTAACCTATTATCTCTCTTGGGGCTACATTTGAGCAGCGATTCAATTGCTTTGACTGTTCGCTTATTGACAGCTCTTGCACTCCGGCCCACGAACATCATCCACACGTCCCACGCGCCGCGGACCAAATCCCGGACCGCCGCCGCCACCTCCTCCACCACCTCCTCCACCGTATGAGGTCGTGCTACCTCCCCAACGAGAGCGAGTGGTATACTTGTTGCTCTGGTTGTTGATGTTGAAAGAGGAGTTCTCGGCGGCGGCGTATGAGTCGAGCTGAGATAGGTCAGATTGATCCAGTTGCGGAATATGAAAGAGCGGCAGGGCGAAATGAGAAGCAAAGTGAAAATAAGATGTCGCGTATAATAACGCTTGTAAGAGATGCTTACCGATAAGAGGGTAGTGAAGTACAGGCCGAGGAAGAAGTAAACGCTCTCGATGAAGCGGGTGAACTGCACGGTGAGCGGGGGGCTGTGGGCGCGCTGTTAGCGGTTCAGGTCTCTGTTGTTGCAGAAAAAGGAGAAAATCACCTCTGGAGAGCCTCCCCGTTGGAGAAATAGACTGGCTTTTGGGGTCTGGCAGACATGGTTGTGGGGGAGGGTGGTTGTCAGAATTGAAGATGTGAATGAGGTGGAGTGATCAACATGGCCGGGCCGGGTTCCACTAATTTATAGCCGCACCCAGTTATTTTCCTCCGCGTAGTACAAAGTAGGTATACATCGTATACAACATCAGTCTGCGTGTTCCAAGATGCTAATTTTCTTTTCAAATAATGATATTCTTCAATGGTCATGCATATCTCGTTTTTAGGGGTATCTGAATGCTGTCTATGTACACTGCGCACCACAATTTGCAACCATCGCTCGGAAATATATATATAAAAAAAGTTGAAAAAAAGTTGAATCACTGCTTCTCATCCACTGACACAGCGATCGCATCCACTTCGCTGCGGATATCATCCAGACCATGGAAACCCTCTTCAATCACCCATCGCTGGCCTTGGGGATTGTGCAACACGTGGCAACTAGCACCAACGACAAGCAACCCCGGTGGTCGCGACCCTGCCTCTTCAAAGGCCAAGCAGACGTGTTCTAAGGTCGAGCGAATGACACGTTGATCTGGACACGATGCCCGCTCAACAATCGCACAGGGTGTCTCCTTAGGCCAGAGTGTGCGCGATTGCGAACCAGTGTCTTCTGCGGGGAATGTAGTGAGGGACTCCACAAGAGCAGAAAGTCGGTGAAGAGCCATGAGGAAGACCACGGTCTGAGTAGGAACATAGGTGGGAGGGTTTGGAGCAGCTCCCTTTCGGCCGGTTCCCGTGCACACGAGGACCTGGTCGGAGACGCCGCGGTGGGTTGCTGGGATATCGGCGAAGAGGGACGCACTCATAGCGCTGGTGATACCTGGCAACACGACCGGGGAATAGCCCTCCTTCCTGAAAAACTCGAACTCTTCCGCTCCACGTCCATATAGATATGGGTCTCCTTGTTTCAAGCGAAGGACCTGCCGTCCCTGCTTCAAAGCTGCTAGACCCATCACGAGGAATTCTTCCTGCGCTTGGTCTGCGTTGCCAGGGAACTTGCGTGCGATGTGTACTTCCGTTCTGCGAGGGATCAAGTCTAGGACTGGGGCGGGTACGAGTTTGTCTGCGAGGATGATGTCGGCATTGTGGATTGCGTGGTAGGTGGCGCGGGTGAGTAGGTCTGGGTGACCGGGGCCAGAGCCCGCGAGGACGATCTTTCCCTTCTTTGAGGGGGTATCGAGGCCGTTTGTGTCGTTTGTGCCGTTTGTGGTGGCATTGCCAGATGTATAGGCCTTCAGGATGGCATCCATATCGGCATCGGTGATAGACACGAGCTTTCGGAGAGGCCAGTATTCACAGATCTGGGACAGCCAACGAACCCTTCTTGTCTTCGCGGCGGCAGCATCGCCTTCTGTGACTAAGTTGTTGAAGGTGTGTTTTTGGCCTGTACTATCATCATCCTCTCTGTCAAATATGCCTTCTCCTAGCCCAGCAGCATTGTCCTCTTCCCACAGCCGCCTCCGCACAGCGCCAAGTCTGTCGATGGCCGTTCCAAGGTTTGGGGGTAGGAAAGCAGCAATCTCCCTCCGCAGTCGGGACGCAAGCTTGCATCCCCGGCCGGAAGTAGTGATGCCAATGTGAAGGGGGCCGTCTGAGTAGGTGGAAAGTAGGGTGAAGGAGCATAGTTCGGGGGCATCTGATACGTTCACTGGGATCCTGAGGCGCCGGCAGAGCTTCGATATGTGTGGGCCTAGTAGGAAATGTGAGTAAGAGTGGTTTGGGAATTGTACAAGCAGGTCATACTTAGTGAGTTGCTGCCACCCAAAGTGACAAAGACCAAGTCGACAATGTGATCAACTTCTTCTCTGCCCAGGGTTGTCAAGTCCTTGTCTTGAAACTCATGACGAATCCATTGGGCAGAGCCATTGGCAATATGTTCAGATAGAGTGAAATGCATGTCGTCGGTCTCCGGCGCAATAATGATCGGTGTTGCGCCGACCTCGAGGCTCCTCGCACATCGAGCGGCGGCAAGAGGATTTGAACCGACAATCAAGTGGACTTGTGATTCGGTATTCCACGCAGCCATCAATGGCGCGGGTGGACTGGGATCGCATGAGGCGTCCTTCATAATGAAGTATAGTAGAACGAAATGTCAAGCCCCGCCAATGACTCTATCAGCATGAGATATGCCGATGCCGGTTTCAGAGAAGTAAAGGAGACCAAATTGTGGAAGGCCCTGGAGTTCCGAGGGCTCAAGAGAATTGAAGTTCGTATTTAACAAACAGAGCACCCAATGAAGTGACTTTCTAGACTTCCGCGGAGAAAGCGGCGAATATCAAGTCTGAGTAAAAGGCCTGTCACGATTGGTGATAACGGGCGATAAGGATATCGAAGTGGGGGATGATCCTGGCACAATTGACAGGAAGCCCTGAGGTTGGATTTGAGGGTGATCAAGAGTCAGACAAAAGTTCCTCAAGGTCGACGTTATACCATTGACTCATATATGGCAAATATAGCAGACACACACATCTCTTCCAAAATTTTTCTATAGATCTTTATCGCCTAAAATGGTTAAAGGCAATTGCGTGCTTGTTATCACGTGACTCCGAATACCGGGGAAGTCATACAGCGGGTGGCATACCTAAAGTAGTTTAGTGGGGTTGTGCAAGTAAAACGACGTGCGTGGTCTTTAAACTATACACACAAGAATATACCTAGTTCTTCCTCGACGACGCCAGACTTCGAAATCTGATCCGTTTGGCTAAAATAATATTGGGGAAGTTAAATCCAAAGATAACAGAGCGATGTCTTTTCAGACCCTCCTTCTCAGTGTTATAGGTAGTAGCCAGAAAGATGAAAATGGTTGTATATGTAGCCATAAAATGCAAAATATGGCGAAAAGCTCACATCCTATAAAACAACTTTTCTACATGCAACATGTAACAGAATAAATACCCGAGGGTGAAAAGTGCAAAATTATTTTTCCCTGTATGTACGTATAACCTTTAATATCATTGCTCTCTGCCAACGCTCCTTCTGTGACTCTTCAACTTTCCTTCCCAGCAATTAAGGAAGTTACAACCACGACACTACGATTTTCCTTTCCACTCCCACTGTCATTTATCATGTCATGCTCTTAGAGTCCAATTTTTTTACCTCGCTAGCTTGGTTTCTCCTCATCATTACTGACTTAAACCCACAAGTCGCTATCGAACAATTGCAGAGACTTGGACAAACAAGCTCTCCCATCGTTGCTCAAAGGCGCGTATATCACAACTTCAATCGCGTTTCCTCGTCTCAAATCATTTAGACCACTTGGTCCCTAGCCCATATTTGCGTCAACAACCTACGGCACATTCGAAGGCAAACAGTGGAACGAGAAGACCCTCCCATATGCCCATGGGAAAACCTCGACCAACCAACCCGAGCATGTCCAGGTTGTGGCTTACAAGGCCGCTTCCAGCAGCCAGGTGCACAATAGTGGGGGCGACCCTGGACGACTAGTCAGCCAATATGTAGTTTGCCGACTTCAAGTGCATCGGGAACAAAACCAGCACCCCGAAAGTCTCTCGACTCCCTTGCTGGCAATTTTGCTATCAATATGCCCACAAGGCTACGCACAAAACAAATGGGTACATGACTGGAGCATGACTGGGGCTTGAAAGAGCTATCTTTATACATATACGGTGAAGTGAACATCGATGTCAAAGGCATCTGACTACAGCCGAGAACTGTTCAACGAGGATACAATCTGCGATACCCTCGCGCAGAATGTTAATAGTCGGAAGGAGCTTGACGTGCATGTGAATGTCCGTGGTCTGAATCTCCTCACACTTTGCTTCAAGTCGAATATAACGAGTCGAACTCACTCCTTCTAGAAGACGATTTGGAAACTATTGCTTCGAAGAAGCAGCGATATCAGCGCAGTGCTATTGGTCAAGTGCAATCCGACATGAGCTAGCCATGTCGTAGGCCCAATCGAGCTATGGCAACTTGATATGAACAGCAATTCCCCCGCAAGGAGTAACTAGGATGCAGTACCTTTTTCTAAACCTACCTCTCCTCAATCCCACATTACAGCCACACGGAAATGTTGTTTGGGACTGCACTTTTACAATGATGTCCAAGACCGAATGCATTCCCCTCTCCCTCGACTTGTGCACATAGACGTGGATTGCCATCCTTATTCCTCTCTGAATGAATGATATCGTATCTCCTGGTCTTGTTTTTATTGGTTAAATCCAATCGCTCTTCTGTCGCTCATACCTTCAAATTATATATGCGTAACTACTTTTAAGCATATGCTTGCCTCGATATAGTTCAGAATATGCTACATTTGGCACTAATCCCAACTAGGTATAACCTGAGTGGAAAGCACAGAAACGCCCCGACCTCGGGAAAACACCACGGCCTGGTGACCCAAAGGTCACGCACAATCATGTCCTGCTGCACCCGCTTACAATGTAGGTTTATACGATTTCATAGTAGAAAAAGTATTATTTACGGCCCTAGAGGCTTCTGACAGTTGGCTAGATGGTATTAGAAATCTGGTTTAGAGCCTCTGCTATTGGTCTCTATGGCATGTTTAACTTCGTGAACAGAAAACATGGACCAGAGAACAATATGTAGATTGTTGGCTCTGGTTTGAATGGTCAGTTATCCGTAACAGACTGAATCATACTTTATGGGAATGTCCCATAGTGCTAGATAAGAGGACAGCTGGAAGGAAGTACGGAGTACGGAGTAGAAGGCCCAGGAAGACAAAGTGATGTTTCGGTCACGTGGGACAGAGCTTCCAGCTCGTAAGGGCGCGCAACACCGGAGCTACTAGCATCATCTCCATCATCCTCTTCCACTCCACGAATCTCACGTTGTCAAGCGCAGCGAACGTGTTCAAAGACATTTTCTACCAACTGAACCTATTAATCTTTTAAATTGACTCACCGGCCCACCAGCCTCATTCGTCATCATGTCCGGCGGCCTGCTGAAGCCCGAGAAGGACTTCACCAAGGATGCCGACAAGCTCATCCCGGAGGCGGAAGATCTCGCAAAGGTACGTCCAGACTCGTTATCCATATCAAAGCTGATGCTAACATACATGGTTCAGACCGATGTCCAGGGAGCAGTCGATAAGCTGTTGGGTTTGGAGAAGCAATCCAGACAGGTATGACGCCGAGTGCCGTCCCCATTATCGATCCACCCAAACTAATCGAGATTCTCTTGTTCAGGCATCCGATCTTGCCACTACATCGCGGCTCCTGATTGCCATTGTCACCATCAGCAAGAACTCCGGCGACTGGAACCTTCTGAACGACCAAGTGCTGCTCCTATCTAAGAAACATGCCCAACTCAAGCAGGCCACAACAAAGATGGTGCAGACGGTGATGAAATTCCTGGATGAGACACCCAGCCAGGAGGTCAAGTTGTCTGTTATCGAAACTCTGCGCACAGTGACCGAGGGAAAGGTACGCTGAGAACCATTTGATCTTGACCGGAGTGGCGCTAATTATCGCAAAGATCTTTGTTGAAGTAGAGCGAGCCCGCGTTACCCGCATACTTTCAAATATCAAGAAGACCCAAGGTGATCTCACTTCGGCAGCAGACATCCTGTGTGAGTTGCAGGTCGAGACATTTGGATCAATGACGAGACGGGAAAAGACAGAATTCATCCTGGAGCAGGTCTCTCTGTGCATTGAGCGCGGAGACTGGACCCAGGCTCAGATTCTCAGCCGCAAGATCAACAAGCGGTACTTCAACCGCAAGCCGAAGAAGTCGGCTGAACAGATCGAGACGCTCAAGAAGGAGGCAGAGGAGCGAGAGAAGACTCGTGGGCCTGATGAGCCACCCATGGAGGTGGATGACGATGTCACAGATCTCAAGCTTCGTTACTTCGAACAGCAGATTACCTTGGCCAACCACGATAACAAATATCTCGAGGTTTGCAAGAACTACCGGGAAGTCCTGGACACGGAAGCAGTCGAGAACAACCCAGAGCACCTGCGTGCCGTAAGTAAACCTTTCCTATCTCAGAATGCAGGCCACCACTAACCCGCCTATAGTCACTCGCCCGCATTGTGTACTACGTTGTCCTGTCTCCCTACGATAATGAACAATCCGACCTCTTGCACCGCATCAAGCAAGACTCGCGGCTGTCACAAGTCCCCGAGGAATCCCGCTTGTTGAAGCTGTTCACTATTCCCGAGCTGATGCGCTGGCCTATGGTCGCCGAGCAGTTCGGCCCCCACCTGTGCAACACAGACGTGTTCGACGCCGAGGCGAAGCAGTCTACTGAGAACCAAGCAAACCAGAGGTGGCAAGACCTGCGGAAGCGTGTCATTGAGCACAATGTCCGTGTAGTGGCCAAGTACTATACTCGCATTCAGATGGGCCGTCTGACCCAGCTTTTGGATTTGACCGAGGAAGAGACGGAGAAGTACATTAGCGATTTGGTCACGTCGAAGACCATCTACGCTAAGATCGACCGACCCGCGCGGTTGGTTAACTTTGCCAAACCCCGGGATGCCGATGACGTTCTGAACGAGTGGAGCAGCGACATGAAGAATCTGCTGGGTCTGCTCGAGCGGATCGACCATCTTATCACCAAGGAGGAGATGATGGCCCGTATCCAGCCCACTCGCAGTGACATGGGCAAGGCGCATTGAGTTGGTTTGAGATGAAAGCGTGTATGGGACTTGGGCGCGGGGATTACTGCCACCGCGTGTAAAATAATTCGCCGGTAGACCCATGAGCAGTGAAGTCGCAGCATTGATCTTTATATGAACCATACACAACACAATCTCAGTCTCGTAGCAGCAGCAATCATCAAGTCGTTATTCTCAAGGGAGTATATGTGCTACATGTAATCATGGTCTAGAAAATCTAATCTAATCCACTAAAGATCCAGCTCTGTCTATATACAAAGTCCTCGCCCTCAAAACGGCGTATCCATATCATTCACGTCCTCTTCCACCTCCTTCCCCTTGTCATTCGAGCTATCACTGCGCTCCATCTGCTCCCGAATAAACCGCACAGCAGCATCAAGATACGGCCGCTGGCTCGGCAAAAAGTGACCACCAGGATGCCAAACAACCAACTCATCCTTCTCAGGCTGACCAGCACAAGCCTCAACCAAAGCCTGACTCCTCGACTCCTCAACAACAGCATCCAAAGACCCAAGCACATGCAACACAGGCGTCTGAATAGCAGGCTCATAGAAAGCCCTGTACCGGGCCCCAGGCGCCCTGAACCCAGAGTAACAAATCGCAAACTTAAGCTGCGGATGCTGGAACTCCTCCTCGCCGAACGGCGCCGGAATAGTAATCCCAGCCGCACCGTCAGCGCTTATCATAGAAAAATGCTTGAACGACGCCTTCCGGCCGGGCTCCAGCAACGCCGCGACCATGGCGGCCAGCGCAGCGCCCTGCGAAAACCCGATCACGCCGTCGAAGGGGCCTTCTTCTTTCAGTGTGCGCGCTACAGCTGCGAACCCTTGTTCAAGGCCGGTGTACAGCGGCGGGTTTGCAGTGTTGGAGCGCCGCCACCAGCCGTAGGATTCGATTTCGTTGTCTGGATTGCCTTCCGAGGAGGGCTCGTAGCCTGGAATGTCGGAGGGCAGGAGGCGGATTGGGGCTGTTGGGTAGATAGCGGAGACTTCGTGCAGGGGGAAGGCTTTTTGGATGTGTTTTGTTAGGGCGCGGCTTTTGGCGTGGAAAAGGCTGCCGGACTGTGTGTAGCCATGGAGCATGAGCAGTTTGAGCGGTTGCCGCGTCGAGGTTGTGGGGTTGGGGGCCATTGTTGCTAGAGGTCTAGTGTGAGTGATTCTGGAGAGTAGGAGGGAATTTAAAGACTGGGAGGAGAGGGTTGCTTTATACATCGGAGGGAGAGGAGAGACTAGAAGAAAGTGACTCTTTTTCTTCCCCCTCTCCGATCTAGGTACGATAAGATAAGGGGCGGAGTCCTTTTTAGGCTTGCCAAACAACCCGTGCACCAGGGACCCGCTACGCCGCAACTCGAACGGAAAGCTATGAGTGATTTTACAACTTTATTCGTAAATGCGGCCACGCGTACCGTCGTCAATGTAGGCAGATACGCTCAACGAGTTTGTTGGTCGATGGACAAATGCACGTGCATATCAAGGCGGTGGGTGCTTGGTCTGGCAAAGCAGGGCGGTCAAATTGCCGCCCCGTATAGTCCGGCCTAAATAGGAAACTTGAACCCAAAACAGCTTCATCACATCAACAAACATCCAATTTGCGCCACGATTACTTTTCACTTTCACAATTACCACTAATCCACGCAATAATGTCTAACGCCAACCTCCAAGATCTCAATGCCAAGATGCAGGCTCTCATCGAGCATGTCTCCCCCACCTTATAACCCCACCACACAAGATCTTTCTGAACCCCTCGATAATTCACCTCTCAGGAACATAGAGTATGTTGCTAATACGTTGGAACAGTGCCTTTGAATCCCACCCCCAGTGCCAACCCCCCAACACCCACCCAACTATCTTCTTCCTGTACGACTTCGTCCGCAACAGCCACAACCAGCTGAAGGCCATCGACGCCGACAAGTATGCTGCCGGTGACAACGGTGCTAAGACCGCTGTGGGTGAGGTTGAAGGCCGCAATGCGTTTGCCAACATGCTCATTAATGATAAGTCCGGCAAGCTGTCCATGATGACTGGCGGCGACCCGTCCAACCCTGCTGATTTCGGCGCGGAGATCAAGTCTAAGGCCCTCATTTTGACTCAGTGAGGTTCAATGCTGGATTTTACTATTCAATCCTACATATTCATTCAACGGGGTAGGAAGATCAGGACGAGCTTGGGTTGGCTTTTCTCTGCTTGGTCTTCGGTTTCTATCTTTCCTTTCGTTACTGGCATCTTGTACACAAACAAATACATCATGAAATACCCATATCTATATACAACCTTAAATGAAACTGGGTTTTCGGATTCTTTTGAGTCCTTCAAATTTTCGTATATCCTTTCAGTATGCAGAGACGAGAAGAGGATATAATCGATGATAGACATCCCGAGATTGTATAGATTAAATAAAGGTTAGCCAAGATAGCCAAACAAGATAGAGTATCAGGCAAGACGACAAAGCATGTTTATCTTCCAAGCTTGGTCACCTTGAGACCTCTAGGGCTATACATACCAAAGCAGACAAGCGTAGTGCGCAAGGTGGGGAACTCTCGGGCCCCGCATTCTCGAGATCTCAGGACAACAACTTTGTACATGTAGAACAGAGGCCATAATCCGGTTTTCACTTTATTTGAAGACAATCCATATAACCCTTTCTAAAAAGTCTCCCATAGAAAGGGCTGGTGATACGCTATAGATTTTGACAATGAATTTGTTTAGGGAGGCTATGGTTCTGCGCCCTATATCGATTTTCAGCAATACAAGTCACTTCAGTTTTGAGACCTAGATATTCGTAGCTCGTGCAAGAGCTTAAAAATCGTAAAAAGCGGCCAATATTTCGTTAATCTCAAAGTTTTCGAGTGTTGTCGAACCAAGGAGAAGTAGATAGGACAAGACAACATGATAATACTAGGCTCTTTCCCGCTCCCACACACACATTGGACACCCACGCGCCTATTCTTATTTGATGTATCGTAACATCTTGGTACTTTTCGATGGATGGGGGATTGATTCAAATGTTTGCCAAGTCTGCCTGAGACAATTCTACTCTACTATGGTAACATACGCTACATATCGTCAAGGGAGATTGCAGCCAAGTCCCTAGTGTGCACAAGCCTGCACGGCGAGATCAAAACGCCGAGCTTAATAAACAAAGCCTTCCATCCCATTCTACCTAGGTATTATCAAGCGAGCAGTATTATTAAGCACCTGCCATACATCCATGGGAACTTAGGAGATGGTTGTATGAACATCTTTTCTATCAAACCAATCGAACTATAAAAGTCTAGACTACACACACACACAATTCATCCAACTTAGAATCACTACTCATTCACTCAACATGTCCGTTTACGTTATTACCGGAGTGTCTAAGGGACTCGGGGTGAGTCTGCCTTCTACCGCGTAACGCACCGTCTTTACTTAATCCAGCCTAGTTCGAGTTCCTTAGACAGATCTCAGAAGACCAGAAGAATCTGGTCGTTGGTCTGGTCCGCGATAAAGCTGGGACCGAGAAGAAGATAGCGGCAGAACTAGGTGACCGTCCCAATATCCACATCCTCCATGCAGACCTCACCAAGTACGCCAGCCTAAAGCAAGCCGCTGCCGACACGGCCGAGATTGTTGGCGAGCGTGGCATCGACTACCTGGTGGCTAACGGAGCTTTGGTGCCCTACTTGGACACCTATGGACCTATCGGCGCATTGTAGGTCTACTTCACTCTGGCCAATGTCCGGGCTGGTCTATGGTTAACGCTATGTGTTCAACAGGAGCGATAAGGTCGAGGAGGTCGAGGCTGTTTCATCGCAGCTATCGCAGACTAATGTCGTCGGCAACATCCACCTCTTCCACCTCTTCCTCCCTCTTGTCCTGAAGGGCAAGGTTAAGAAGGTGATTACCATTTCTACCGGTCTGGCCGACCTCGACTTGACCAACGATTGCGAGGTTGATATTGGTGCTTTATACGCTGCCTCTAAGGCGGCTATGAACGTTATTGTAGCGAAGTTCAACGCGCAATACAAGAAAGATGGTGTGCTCTTCATAAGTATCAGCCCGGGTTTGGTGGAGGTGGGCCGCTACGCGGATTGTACGTATCCCTTCCTGTCTTCAAGATTGCAACATCTGGACGGTTTATTAATGCATACCCACAGCCACCCCGGAAGAGATCCAGGGCTTGACGGGATTTATAGGCAAGCTCGTAACATATGCGCCTCACTTCAAGGGCCCAATTACTCCGGAAGAATCCGTCCGACATGTCAGGTCGACCTGGGAGAAGGCTAGCATCGAGGGTGGGTTTGGTGGGGCGTTTGTCTCGCATCTTGGAAACAAGCAGTGGGTGTAAACTTGGGGTCCCGCTCCATCAATTACTCTGATACACTTATTGATGTACGTGCAACACGTGCATCTACGTATACTCTACGAGATCAATACACTCGATTCTAGATGTCTATTCGGGCTGGCCACCATCCCACATGACCCATACCTTCTTGCCACCACGTCTTGTTAAGGAGAAATTAAAGGTAGGGCCACAGGCGAGATAATATTGATTGGATACATGCTTAGGAGAAGAATATTGAGGTGGGTGGGTGTCTTTTATAGACCCCGATACCGCCTTCTAGATCTGATTCCCACAGCGGGGTCAAGTACGCTTCAGTCAATCGTTGCTCTAATTCTGGCGGGTTGAGAGATATACTTTGAATCTATGGGATGTACTACAGCTCCCATTGACTACTTGAGACTGTGCTTTCAAGATAGACCGTCGGCGTATAGCACATTTGATATGTGATGACAATCCATACAACATGACAGCATGTAATGTTCCACAGTAGAGCTACAGCTCTACATCTACAATTGGCAGCCATCTAGGTACAACTCATGACACAGAGTGTAGAGCCCAATATACAGTAGTCGCAGATACATTTAATACATTAAACACAAGAAAGCAGAAAATCAGAACATCAAACAGAGCACAAAGTCAAGCAAGGTGCCATTTTTGTGCCAGATATCCGGAACTCCCTTAGCAGAATGCTAGTTGCTTTTTTTTCGAATGCTTTTTGAAGGGGTCGTTGACAGGGTCGGGGCATTCCATCTTCTATCTGTCATCACACGCAAAGAAAAACAAGAACTCAACGCTGAGATATTAATCATCACCGTAAAATGCAAAAGAAAGAACAGGCAATGGGTGGAAAATAGGATGAGAAATGGGTCCCAAAAGGCCACATTCAAATTTTGTCTTCTTCAAGAGGGGATCCAGCAACACTGATATAGTATGGAAAAAGGAACCATATCACATCATCTGCAAATCGCACCCCCTCACAAAACCCAACACCAGTCGAAAAAACAGTTAAGGAAAATGTCCGTCCATGTGGTTCGGTAGGGGAAGGGTGATATTGAAAAAAAGGGTTGTTTGGTATGTGACATTTTGAAGCCCGGTAGGGAGAGAGAAAGAGAGAAAAGCCCAGTATATGGAACTGGGCTCGAATAGCAACTCTCTCCCCGAAACACCGAAAACCGAAGCCGAGACGATCAAAAAAAAAGTAAGAAGAGGTCAACCCCGGGTTTTGGTATTTTCATCCTAATTTCTCCATGCTAATTCTCTCTTTGACGTTTCAACCGGAACATAACAAGAAAAAAAAGTTTTTCATTCGTTTCTCGTTTACTTGCGGCGGAAAGAGCAGCCCTCGGTCAGACGAGCCTTACCACCTGTGGGCTGGCAGAGGACGGTCGAGCAGCCGGCGCAGATGACGACGGTCTGGGCGTGCGAGAAGACGGTGGTGATGGTGAAGCAACCGGGGCACTTGACGTCCATGAAGAAGGAGCGGGGCTGGGGCACGAGGGTCTGTAGTCGGAGAATTCGAGAATCAGCCATCATTTTCTTCCAACATTTCCAGTTTCCAAAAAGATTCCATATCATCCTTTCGTTCGGTGCCTTTTCCCATTTGCTCCATGTCGAGCATCGGAGGTCCAGGTCGAATATCCAGGTTTCGCCCCTCGTCGGGTTGATATTTTCACATCTTTCGTGATTCTTTCGGAGGTCGGTTGTTTCATACCTTAAGCTTGTGCTTACGGGCCTCGGCCTGGGGGGTGGGGTTGAGGAGATCGACCGCGAGAACCTATCGAGGACAGCATGTTAGCGTCGGTGGACGTTGAATTTTGGAATCGATGATCCGTTATAGGTCTCCCATGTCCGTGTGTATCGCATCGAACTTGGACCGAGCGGAAAATCAGGGCGAAAATGGGCTTACCATCTTGACGAGTGAAAGTCGATCAGCGAGATAGTTGATTAATGGCGCTGATGGCGATGGCCTTGTGTGATGCGGATGAGGTGGTCTTCCAAGAGAAGTCTGAAGGGATTTGGACCGGTTTGGGTGGAGGTAGGGCTTTGTGCCGCTTTGTGCCCTCGCTTGTCCTTATTCGGGAAGGCGGCGAACTTTCCACCAATCAAAGTCGGATTAGGTAAGCTACTGAGGTAAGCACGAGCTCAATCGCTGGTTCCGTGTGGAGACGTGGATTCCGCTGCAGGCAGGCAGTCAGGTGCTTCACTATTCTTCTACAACAATCTCAAACAATCGCAAAACAACGGCAATATTACAACTCTCATATTCTATCGCTAGAACGCCACTCCGAGCTACTTGCTCTGTGTTGAAGGGAAACTAAATTATGTACTGGAAACGTCATTAGCCAGGCATCATGATGTCCAACGCTTTTTTTCAAGTGTCCGACTGATACCCGACTCTCCCACTCAGCTCAATTGAGCTGTCTCGCCTGTGGTGATCGAGGAGGTTGAACTGCTGTTCATCCACAAGCCCACCAAACACTCCGGATTGCGCCAATAAGCCCTTTATTTGGTCTTCTTCGACACGCCGGTCTTGCGCTCGGTCTCCTCGACGAACGGGTACTTGATCGTGAGGCACCAGATATCGATGTAGTCGCATATCGTGGTGATGATGTCAAACTGGAGGAAAATCAAGATCAGCAAATCGTCGCGCGCAAGGGAAAGATAAGGGGAAACATACCACGAAGCTACCGTACACACCGACAGCCAGTCCCAACAACCCGAACATGAATCCCACCTGCCCAACACCATACCCAAGCACAGGTGCGGACCACAAGCCGATCAGCGCACCCACGCTGTCCAAAACACCCAGAGCGAGCGGGTACAGCAGGACATTTTGATAAGGGAAACTCGTCTGAGTGAGGTGGCCGATGATGATGCGGCCGACAGAGTAGGCATTGACGAGACTCACAAACAGCCCGAAGGGAATGGTGTAGTTTTCCAAAATCACCGGCTGGAGGTATAGGTAGGCGGGAATGAGAGTCCAGATAACCGCCAAGGGCGCGAGACCATACAGCGGCGAGAAGGGGTCCTGGCCTCGCTCGCGACGCACCTTCATGACGTTCATGATACTCGAGCCGATGGCGAAGCAAAGCATGATCGAGCCATACACAAGATACCAATATGTGAAGGGCAGGTTGTATATCTGGCTTGAGAGGAAGCTAGGCTTCGGCACGCCGATAGTCTCCAGCATGGACTGGTGCCAGAAGCTGCCGCCACCCATGTAGGCGGTGAATATGTAGACGAGGCACAAGGTGAGGATGCCCTCGACAGGGCCGGAGACCACACCCAATGTGAGGATTTGCGTGTAGTATTCATCCCATGTTTGGACGTAGAAGGTCATCGTTGCTGCGATTGTTAGAGACGATTTACACGTGGAAGGGCACGGGGAGGGCTAGGCTTACAGCCGAATAGAGCGATGAAGGTCATCCAGGACTGGCCCATGTTCATTGCCGCTGCGAAGACCAAGACGCTGAGACCGGTGTTGCATGCATCGACACCTGGTAACGTAGAGACAAAGAATCAGCAATCCATACACTTCAAACTTTTTCATACTATCTTCGGGAACTCACTGTGATCAAAGAGCTCGCCTAGCGGGCCACTTTGTCTCGTCCTCCGCCTAAAGCGCAGCCAACATCAGTAAAGTCTCCCTTAACTGTCCGACGGAAAGTGTAGACATACGCCTGCATGCCATCTACGGCATCGAAGGTCTGGTACATGAACAAGCCAATCGCACAACTGGCATAGACCCAGGGCGGGCAGTCCGTATCCAAGTTCGGGTTGTACCACATAACGGTGAGGAAATTAATTACCACGAACATGAATCCGGTGAGGGTAATCTACCAAAACGAGCGAGGGATTAGGATCTTTTCTTATACTCCGGCAATTGTAACAGTGTCGCATGGGGCAAGACTTACGGCATTGGGTCTTTAGACGCGCAAAGAGTAGAAGAATAGAGTCAGCCATATTGCGCTGTATATAGATCCTCTGGAATAGAAGAACAGAAGACGAGGAATAACAACGTATCCATCCCAGTATGCAAAGAGGGCACCAGCGCAAGGATGTATAACCCATGCACACAAAGTCCGGGGAACGAAAGTAAAGAGAGGGAGATACTCACGCCATCCCCATGGGGAAGCAGCGAATCACGCATTTGTTGTAGAACGGCTTGAGGATAAACTGACTGACTGGCGAGTGGTCGACTCCAACATATTTGTAGTTCTTCAGATTCGCCAATTCATGTTGCCGGATGTAAACCATTCTCTTGGTTGTTTTGCGCGTGTGTGAACGCGCGGGTCTCTATTATCTGGGTATTTCTTTCTGAGCGCGACACATATATTTGATGGAGTTGTCGCGTTGCGGTGTTCGCATTTAAATATGCGCGATTAGGGTCGAGGGGTAATATTGAAGGATATCGGAGAGGGTATCGCCGGGAAAGGGAATTAAAAAACAAAGGGGGAAAAAGAGAGGATGAAGAGAAGAAGAGAAGAAGAAAAGAAGAAAAGAAGAAAATGGGATCTCCGTTAGGGAGGAACAGCCGTAGACGCAGGTCTATGGGGGTGTGATATTAAAGATCGGCGTTGAAGAGAGAAAGAGGCCACTTGGTCTCGATCTTTTGTTGACTTTTTTTTTTCTGCCGGCGGAGAGAAGTGATTTGAGGTCTTAGATTAGATCAGGATGGTTGGTCTTTATAGTCCATGGATATACGTATGTACATGTTGGAATTTGACTACAAAGTTATTCTCTTGGTCCTTGTCAGATCGGCAATCCATGTGCAGGTCGATATTCAACTAACCCCTCTCTGCCCAAGCGATCTAAGCGTTGCCAATGAAGTGATGCCTCAAAAGGGTTGAGATGAGCAAAAAGTGGGGTTATTCGATGCCTGGGACTGGCAATGAGATCCGAGCGCAACGAATAATATGGGGGAAGCAGGGTTTGTAACTAAATAAGACCTCGGAGGTTTGATGTTTGACTAATGGATTTGACACATGCTTAATGCCTAGGTACACAATACAAAATCGGATGCAAAGGGCCTAGTATCCCCATAACATGCATCCCGACAGAAAGGAAATAAGGGGTATGCGTTAATGGCGAGACCAACCTCGGTCAATACACCTCGCGACATCCTGCTCGTTCGAATGAAGATTCCCTGGACGCCAAGATCCGGGGAATAGGCCAAGGGAAATCGTTTGAGCTGGCTCAAACAATTTAGCCGACAGGGCTCCAGGGCATCGGGACAAGAATCCGACTCTTCATGCTCTGGATCAAGGGAACAGTTTTGTGAACCGTCTCGGCCCAGCCTTCGACGCCCCACGACTGCTCGCGGCAGATCTTGCGCTCCTCCAAGTTGGCATACTGCCATAGGTGGTGCACTGTGTTTAAGTCGCCAATTTGCACGAACCATGCACCTACGCCCTCCATCACCTCACGACGAGCTGTAAGGCCACGGCGCCAGTGTGTCTCCCACTCCAGGAGATTGCCCGGGTGCAGGGTGTACGACCGAAGCTCAAAGAGTCCACCGAGACGGCGAGGCGGGGTTGTGGGCCAGAACGAGAACTCCTGCATCAACGAGGTCCTCTTGCTCTTAATCAGGCTCTTGAGTTTGCGATCGAAGGCAGGGAACTCTGGGTGTTGCGAGATGTTGTGAAGAGAGTCGTGGTAGCCTTCATAGCGTTGGTATTCCCAGATGTGGACTAATTCAAGCAAGGACAAGAGTCAGCGCGCAGAAAAGATTGGGTCATTTGATCGGGATTTACCAAAGGTATCATTGTCGCCCACTTGCGTCCGCCAGCTGCCCACCAAGTTGACACGGTTCTCCTCGGTACCCGCCATGCGGGGGTACCACTGGCCCACCAGATCCACATATTCATCAACCTTGTCGGGCTTAACGTCGTGCATAACGATGGAATGGACATATTTGCCGCGTGCTAAAACCTGTGAGAAGGAGCGCTCCATATCCTTGTCAAAATGTTGGCCCTCTTTGGTGCCGTAGATGAGCGAAGACAAAGGGCCACGTTTGGCCACAGCTTCTTGGTGTTGGTCATCCCCTAAATAGCGGTGCATTGAGAGTGAGCCCAGTTCTTTCTGATCAAGCGTCGTGGCAGCATCGAAAGTAGGGTGGATGCGATCATGACTGCTCGCATTGCTCACTTGTGGAGCAGTGGGAGCGTACTCACGGGAAGGGGTAAATGAAGAAGCAGAAGCATTGACAGACTGACTCTCTTGCTGTTCTCTTCTCAAACGAGCCTGTTCCAAGTTCTCGCGGAACTCCTTCCGCCGTCTGAGGTATTCCTCAGTCGACTGGGCTGTAACATCGCGAATCGAGGGAGAACGATAGGCCACGGCTGACGAGCTGAAGGGTCGTAAGAGTGAAGTCACCGCTCGAGTTGAGCGGGCTGCGCGTGGACCCAACATGATGGTGTGGAAAGAATAACAGAAAATACGCTTGACAATAATGAATCCGAAGTTGACAGTAAGCTAGGGAGGTAAAGTATAGAATCAAGGAAGTGAGAAGAAAAGGAAGGAGAAGAGTGGGAGGTGAAGATGGTAGAAACAAAGTGAAGAGGGGGGATAGGAGAGTGGAGAGGTAAGTGCAGGGACTAGGCTGGAGGTTGCAGGGGAGGAGAGTTGAAGAAGGGGGCGATGATCGGGTGGATGTGTGTACCGATCGGATCGGAGAGTATGAAAATGTCCAGTACCAGTAACAAAGGGAGTACGAGACTGAAGATTAGTAGAATTAATCTCCAGTTGCGAATTGATTACAATATGGAATACCTAGATACTCCCGAGTACAATCATGATGTTAGATGTGGTTTATTAACGGTAGCTCATGTGCGGGGAAGGAGCTTCCCCGAGTTCTTGGTATGGAGTAATAGTGACGGGCTGTGTTGGTACCACTTGCCCAACTTTACAGCCAATCTCCCACTAAAATGTGGGTAATGATGACTTCGCCCGCATGTACTCGGTACCATTGGACTTCTGCAAGCATCTGTACCTACTTGAGGTAGCGTGCTCCGTACATCGCCACTTATTATAGACTAGTACTATAGAGCTACGGAGTACGGAGTAGAGACACGTCTGCTTGCTTGTACCTCGATGCAAATATCATGCAATAATAATACAACATCCGACATATCTGCCACTATGACGTTATCTGGGCTGTCTCCACGCTTTTGCAAATCACTTCTAATCCGTGTGTTCTGAGACAATTGCGTGGAGTGTTCTGTACTGTGTCCACCAAAAGAATGAGTCTTAAAAAATAGCCGTAGATCGGAGCATAACCTGCAAGTAGGCTACCAAGTTGGAAATCAGCATGAAGTGATGACGTTGCCGGACAAACAGCACCTAAACCCCTTTGGGAAGGGGACACCGCCCCCGGAGGGCAGATCTCGATCCTCTCCTCCCGCGGTCCTAACTTCACGATTACTATTTTGGTTCTCAAATCTTAAGAATATGGCCGAATCACTCAACCCCCCGCTGTCTTACGAGGCATCTGCCACCACCACTCATCCCCATGTCGCTACCTCGTTGCCATCCGAGGTCATTTCATGCCTCAAGAACTCGCGCTTCGTAAGTACAACGCCATTGAACAACCAACCCACCAAACTGACCTTCTATCGCCCCAATCAAGCTGCACCTGGCAACATGCGATGACAAAACACCCCACATCTCACTGATGTCGTACACATATCTCCCCTCGACCCCATTCGACCCGCACCCCACCATCATCATGACCACAAACCCCGCATCGCGGAAAACAAACCACCTGCTGTCCAACCCGCGGGTCTCACTGCTGGTCCACGACTGGGTGTCGCATCGCCCTCCCACCCGGGCCCCGACGCAGGGTGAGCGCGACGGCTCCCCACCACCCGCTGCTACCCGCTCGTCTCTTGCCAGCCTGCTGCTCAACCTGAATACCAGCGCGCTCTCCAGCATCTCGACTACCATTACTGGCGAGGCGCGGTTCTTGGAGTCCGGCTCGGAGGAGGAAGCGTGGTGCAAGGATCGCCATCTGGAGAATAATACTTTCGAGGAGGAGGAGATCAATATCTTCGGCCAGCAGCAGCAGCAACAGGATCCTAGCGCAAGACGACCTAGCGTTTCCATTGACACTGATGTGCGGGTCGTCACGGTAAGAGTCACTGAGGGTCGTATCGCGGATTGGAAGGGTGGTGTGCGCGATTGGGTCCTGCTTCCTGCTGAGCAGCAGGGCTCTGGGCTGGTCAATGGCCCGGCCTCTTCATAGTTTTCCAGTTTCCAATTGGAATGAAAGGAATGAGTTTATAGCAATGGACCTATACTTTCTACGACATTGGCACTACGTTCCCGACCAACTGAAATAGTATCATTTGGCTATTCGATTTAGAGAACTTTGCGCCAATGTATGATTCCCTTTGGGCTAGTTTGTTTAAAATCGTCGGCTTGTTAAACGGCCTGCGCTTGCATGATTAAGTTAAAATAACAGAAGTGAAATCAACACAAATAGCTGTAGGTATTAGACTCGAAGTAACCAGTGTTCAATGCATCCATAAATGTAGACAGAGATCGCAGAGGGGGCCGCCACTTATCAAACCTTATCGGAGCGAGCTCAGCTTCTCCGCAACAACCGACCTCGTACTCCGTGGAAAACGCAAACTCTCTCCCACAACCCTACAATGCGCTGAGAGATCCAATTATTATACATCCAAGACTTCAACCGTCTCAGCAACAACAAAACCACCCAAAATGAGACTCGCGCACCTCCACCTCCCCCACACAACGCCCTTCAGCCGCGTCTCGCACCTCCAACAAACCCTCACAACCCGCCTCCTCGCGCACAAAAAGCTTACCTCCCCAGGCTCAATATCCTCCCAACAGCCGATCAACCCAAGCGCCACACTATCCAAAACCCCACCCCCACCCCCAGACCCAACAATCATCACCTTCACTCCAAACCCCGTCTACACCACTGGCCGTCGCGACCTCCCACCTTCAAACACAAGTCCGCCTTCCACGACAAACCCCACCCTCTCTCTACCCCCAGCCCTCGAACCAATCCGCTCCCTCTTCATTCCAAACGGCACCAACCCCGCAAAGGCAGAGTACCACCCAACTCTCCGCGGCGGACAGACAACCTACCACGGGCCGGGCCAGATGGTCGCGTACACGATTCTTGATCTCAAGCGACTGGGTCTAACGCCCCGGTGCCACATCCGTGTTCTCGAGAATAGTGTCATCGACCTACTGAAAAGCTACGGGGTGGAGGGGTTTACCACCGAAGATCCGGGGGTCTGGGTGAAGCCCGGTTCAGGATCTGTATATGGATCAGGATTGCAACCGAGGAAGATCACGGCTGTGGGGGTGCATCTGCGACGCAATATCAGCAGCTTTGGAATCGGGCTGAATGTTACGGACGAGCCGATGTGGTTCTTTAAGCAGATTGTGGCTTGTGGGCTGGAGGGTAAGGAGGCGACTAGTCTGCAGGGTGTGGGTGTTTCAGGATTAGAGGTTGGGGATGTTGCTGCTGCTTTTGTGGAGAGCTTTGTTAGTCGGGTTAATATGGATTTTGCATGTGGGGAGAACTCGCTGGGGGAGAAGATTGATGAGGTTTATCGGGTTACGGAGGAGGATTTGCTGAACGATGAAGTTTATGCTTGCTGATGCTCTACTTAGATGATGCGGGGCTTGTGTTATTAGTGAGTGTTGTTTTTTTGCTTGGTCGTTTCATGCTGTTTGATAGCTCAGCTGTCAAGCCTGTATAACCTATATGTACGGTGTATGTACCTCAGCTGGTATTTTAGATAGAGAGCTGTGCTTAGTGACTTGACTGGATGGTCTGGAGCACGATGAGGATGCAATGTAAGAAGCCCAATGAGGAAATGCATTTTCTACATAGCTGTATTCATAATGCAGTCACAATGCGAATTAGGCCACATAAGGCGAGCGAAAACAAAAGATGGAGAAACACAAAGCGCAAATCCTTAAAAGTTATCGAGCAACATGAATGAGAAAGTATTGCCGGCAGAAAAGCAACCCAACCCCAAGTATCTTTGCGGTAAACTTCGGTGATAAGGTACCTTATCCGATGTATCCTATGGCGGTGAAGCAAAGGCGGTGGGAAGATGGCTGAGAACTTTCGATTCACTGAAGTAAAAAATATTAGAGAAATAATATACCAAAAAAACCCCGCAAAATCCAATGAAAATTATATTTGTATATCATAAATAGGAATCAAAAAACCAACCTCGCTGAGATGCTCGGAGCACAGAGATCCGGAGCTATGCAATCATGCAATCAACATGGACCGATTTCTATGGGATCTGAATGGAGCAGACATAGTCTGCCCTGGGGAAGAAAAAAAGAGTTGAAAGCAAGCTCAAAACACCGAATGCATGGGGGAATCAACAAACCCAACCGGGAGAAACGTGGGATAAACAAAAGAAACAGAGGGCGAATAAATGGGGAAGAGAGAATGGGAAACTTCCAAGGACGGATATCCAGCGAGTAAACGAAGGCCAATATGACAGACATAAAGGGATACTATGTGTATCAAGAACGGACCGCAAGACATTACCTCACAGAATAGTGCACTTCGAACCGGAGGACGAGCTCCCGCCCGCGTTAACCTCGAGGGCAACCTTCGCAGCCTCGTAGAAGCTTTCTCTGATGCCGCGGTTTTGGACCGCAGAGCATTCTAAAAGAATGTCAGCCGTGTGATCAGGTATAGATGAATCGAAGAGCACTCACCCAGATACTTTACCGCTCCAATCTCCTTCGCCTTCGCTAGGCCCTGGTCGAAGCTAATGGAGTTGGGGGTATCGTTCATATCTTCGTCCTTGCGCAGATCGCACTTGAGTGCTGTCAGGACTACGCGCACGCCCGGGCAGTTCTCGTTGATCTCGGCGATCCATTTCGACGACACGTTCTCGAAGGAGTCAGGGCTGTCGACCTATTTATCAAAATTTGTTAGCTTATATGCGGTATTTTCTGAGAGGGAACATTGTTCGTACACTGAAGCAGAGCATGAGAACATGTGTGTCCTCGTAGGACAATGCGCGCAGTCGGTCGAACTCTTCTTGACCGGCGGTATCCCATAGCGAGAGCTCCACATGTATGTTGTCGACGAAGATATCTGGGTGCGTGTGAGTTTCGAGGATTGTAGACAGCGGAGGGGAGCGGGGTAATTATGTACCATGCACGTAGTTTTCTATATTCCTCCGATGTTAGCAATGCGGGTTCAGGGAATTCGAGTTTGGGGGAATGCGCGCATACCAAAGACTGTAGGCTCGCTGAACACAAATAATAACTAGAATCAGTAACATGCACTTGAAAGTATGCTCTGAATATAATATAATTTCTTACTAGACCGTCGGGAAGAATCTAGTCAAAGTCCGTTAGCCATGCTATCATCGGAGACGGGTGAGGGGGAGATTGCGCACCCACGAGTAAACACATTCAGCGCAGAAGTCTTGCCGCAGGCACCATCGCCTCTGGGAGAATGTCAGACCAATCGCCAATAATCAGCGGGAAAATTCCGATCAAAACTAACAGCAGCACCATCTTGCGCTGGACCACCTTCTGTCGGCCGCAAAGCTGCATTGCGCAAAGTGATTCAGGAGACTCGGAGTAAGGAGATAAGGGGGCAATGGACAGTATGTCCAGGTATTATGTGTTGGTTTGTGAAGCGGTACTCGTATAAGATTTAGGAACAATTATGTGACAGTAGAAGAACGAGATTGTTGTCGGGGGAAGATTCCAGGATTGGCTGGGTCGATGA